CCATTGTGTAAATAATGTATATAAAGCAGATACTTTGGGGGGACTTTGATTCCTTCTCACCACTATGAGCTGGATAAAGAGCATGAAACCCACTCTCGACTCTGAGTATATTTCAGAAATATTGCTTGCTAATGCCAGCTCCTCGAGCTTCTGTTAAAGGTTTTAAAGGAGCAGGTGCTGGTTGGAAAAGTTGGCAAACCTCCCTAAGGTGGTGTGTTTGTGTAATACTTAAACTGAGAATTGAATAATGTGAAATAAAAACATGTGGTATTGGGTGTTAGCCTACTAAGTTTTACACAGAGTAGAGCCATTAAAATTAATGAATGTGACTAAGTTATGTTCATTAATTTCACCAGGTCTGCTCTGAGGAAAACCCAGTTGAAAACCACCCACTGTGTGTTTCCCGTTACTTGAAGTGGTTTTCTGACACATCCATGCTTCTGTCCCCAAGTTCCTATCATTTCCAACCTCACCTTTTCCTTTAATAAGCAGCATTCGCATTTCAGGTTGTGTTCGTTTGCATAGGTGATGTAATGAGAGCAAGCAGGCTTGGGTCAATGAAAGGAGGAGTGAGGAAACTCCTCTTGTTTTGCCAAATGACGCCTCCCCAATCCTCCTCCTCCAGAGTTTTGCAATCCTCCTCTGGCCCGCTTTTGGAAGGACACCAGGATTGGGCCATGCATGCTGCAGGCATTCAACATACGCGCTTGTAGCATCTGCACACCCTTCAAGATCTTGCCCAAAGAGTGAGCAATCATTTACACACAGTCCAGTCAACATCAGGCCACTACTTGAGATTTTAACTTCAGAGCAGTTTTGTCATGCTGACACCTTCTGACTGTTACACACCCTTTCCTCAGGCTTAGAGCAAATTCAGTCTCCCCAACTCCTCCTCTCCTGACTTATTTCTCTTTTGCAATCTTCCTCTTGCTTAAGATAGCCAGATCCAAGTTTAAGAAATAAGAGGCAGGCGAGTGTGTAGCTAACCAGATATTAGTGCTAAGCCAAAGCTGTGTGTGTGTTTAGGTTGTCCCTTGAAGTAAGCTCCCATCCTTTCTGGCTGTGTTTTTTTTTTTATTTGCAGCCCTTTGCAAAAGGGTTGGGTATCTCCAGTGCTTCCCCGCCCCTAAAAAAAATGTTTAAGGGGTAGTCTCATTTTCCTACTCATATTGAAATATTGCCCTTCAATGAGGCCAAACTTAGTTTCACAAAATGTTTAGGGATATGCGTACCCCTGCGTACCCCCAGAAAAAAAGCACTGGGTATCTCAAAGGGAATGTGCCCTTGTTATGAAGGCAATTGTACCATCATCCCCTCCCTTCAATGCAGTTGCTCATATTTGGCTAATGGTAGGATTAGTGAGGGTGAGATTGATGTACAGTGGTGCCTCGCAAGACGAAATTAATCCGTTCCGCGAGTCTCTTCGTCTTGCGGTTTCTTCGTCTTGCGAAGCACGGCTATTAGCGGCTTAGCGGCTATTAACGGCTTAGCAGCTTAAAGAAAAAGGAAACAAACTCGCAAGAACTCGCAAGACGTTTCGTCTTGCGGAACGACTCAAAAAACGGAAAACTCTTTCGTCTTGCGCGTTTTTCGTCTTGCGAGGCATTCGTCTTGCGAGGTACCACTGTACTGCTTTAGGTTCATGCACAATCTCCCTGTTTGGATACACATTCCCATCTGTATCATTTATTTATTTATTATTTAAAACATGTCCATATTGCTTCCCCCATCAAGTCTCAGGGCAGCATGCAGCAATATTAAGACATACAGTGGTACCTTGGGTTATGTACTTAATTCGTTCTGGAGGTCTGTTCTTAACCTGAAACCGTTCTTAACCTAAGGTACCACTTTAGCTAATGGGGCCTCCTGCTGCCACCGCACCGCCGCTACATGATTTCTCTTCTTATCCTGAAGCAAAGTTTTTAACCCGAGGTACTATTTCTGGGTTAGCGGAGTCTGTAACCTGAAGCGTCTGTAACTCGAGGTACCACTGTATTTTCTTCTCCTTCTTCTGTGAGCACTCGTAGCCGAGTAAGATTGCCTTCCATGAATATATGGTCTTAACAGTGTGTCTGCAGGTGACTGTGGAGGCCAATTCTGGCTCCGCACATCCTTCCACAGTGAGGGACATAGGTTTCCTGGCGAGAGTTGATCACGGTGAGGATTTGCGAAACTTGCCTTCCTCTTCGCCTGTTACAGGAAGAGAATGCAACTGAAGAACTAGGACAGAGTAAAACAAAAGCTAATGTACTGAGATCAAGCACCAGCAAAGGCCTGGGAGCTCAAAGGAGTTTTTAAGAGACACCTGGATGTCATTACTGTGGATGCTTGCCTAAGCTCAGAGGCAACAAGTCATGCGTTATGTACCACTAGAGCTAAATCAAGACAAAGCCTAATTATGCTGCACTGATGGGTAATAAAACTGCTAGTGCAACACCACAAGTCAGGGCATATTGGCTGGGTTGCCTTGGCAATGGGGACACACTCTCCTCTCCAGAACACAGGCAGAGTAATATGAGGGCTTTGCTTGCACTCAGTCACATAGCCAAATCTTATTAGCTATTTGTGGAGATACTCTGGGATAACTAATTGACTAGAATCGCATGGTGAAGGCCTTTCAAGTTAAAAAAATACACAGGTAGCAGCAGACCAGCAGTTCAATTGCAACAGAAAGGTGTCTGAAATCTATCAAGACGATTAGGCATCAATACTGGCCAGTTCATTTACACGAATTAACGTCATGGAGATTTCCCTACAAAACTGAATCAGGATTATCTCACCTGCACCAAAATGTGTAGGGTTGATTTGTGGTTAGTAGTGAATGAAAGGCATTCTGCACAATGTGTACAAAATGGGAATCATATATTATTCCAGGACTGGAGATACACTACTACTGCACTGGCAAAACAGCTGCCATATCCAATGTGTGCTCAGGCCGGGGGGAAATACAGAACTGGAAAACACAAAAACAGCTTAAAAAGCAAATACAGTGGTACCTCATGTTAAGTACTTAATTCGTTCCGGAGGTCCGTTCTTAATCTGAAACTGTTCTTAACCTGAAGCATCACTTTAGCTAATGGGGCCTCCTGCTGCTGCTGTGCCACCGGAGCCAGATTTCTGTTCTTATCCTGAAGCAAAATTCTTAACCTGAAGCACTATTTCTGGGTTAGCAGAGTATGTAACCTGAAGCGTATGTAACCTGAGGTACCACTGTAACACACACACACATTAGCATCTTTGGAAACATGTCACAGCACATCAGCCAGGGATCTCACTGCCACCCATGCGCCATGCAGGAATAGAGGGAGCCCGTCTCTGTAGGTCAAGCCAGTACTCACATTGCCACACACCCTAAAATGCAAGAAATATAGACAACTAGCCACAGGCTGTTAAAGCAGCAACGGTCAGGAAATTGCTGGTTTGAACCACACCCAAGGGTAAAAAAGTTTACTCCCCCCCCTAAATACTATACAAGGAAGACATAAAAATCAGGTAGCAGCAGCAGCAGTAGCAGCAGCAAGGAAAAGGAACACTCTTTGTTCTCAGGGTGTTGCTGGATCAAATCCATACAGAAGGATTCCTTCCAATTTCCTTGTAGGCACCATTTATTGAAAAAATGGGGTGGCTAATGCACACAAACAAATGCACACATGCTCCCAGGGGCAAGGAAATGGGAGGGAAGCCAGCGGGAGAGAAGTTTCCTGTACTTTTTAAATATATTGTATCTTGGTGAACCATTTAGAAACAATTGTAGGTCAGTGGTATATGAATTGTTTAAATAAATAAAAGTCAATACCATTAAACCGCTCAGGACCGCAATACTTCATGGACCGCCGCTTTTCATATGAACCTACCAGGACCCTGAGATCATTTTCCAAGGCCCTCCTTCGTGTGCCTCCTTATTGAGAGGTCCAGAGGGTGGCAACATGAGAACGGGGCCTTCTCTGCAGTGGCTCCCTGTCTGTGGAATGCTCTCTCCAGGGAAGTTCCCCTGGCGCCTTCATTATACACCTTTGGGCGCCAGGCAAAAATCTTCCTTTTTAACCAGGCCTTTGGTTTACCTGATCCAACATCCCATGCCCTTTTAAAATGCAGCTCTTTTGGGGGGGGGTGTTATAGGGTTATTGTTATTGTTTTGATTTTATATATTGTGATCTTTTCTGTGAACTGCCCTGAGACCTCCGGGTATAAGGCGGTATATAAATTCAATCAATCAATCAACTGGTCTCAAATAAAGTTGTGCCAGGGACGCGGGTGGCGCTGTGGGTTAAACCACAGAGCCTAGGACTTGCCAATCAGAAGGTTGGCGCTTCGAATCCCCGTAACAGGGGTGAGCTCCCGTTGCTCGGTCCCAGCTCCTGCCAACCTAGCAGTTTGAAAGCAGGAACTGCTTCCGGCAGGAAGGTAAACAGCGTTTCCGTGCGCTGCTCTGATTCGCCAGAAGAGGCTTAGTTATGCTGGCCACATGACCCAGATACTGTACGCCAGCTCCCTCGGCCAATAAAGCGAGATGAGCGCCGCAACCCCAGAGTCGGTCACGACTGGACCTAATGGTGAGGGGTCCCTTTACCTTTAAAGTTGTGCCACTGATAGTGTCAGGGCTCTGAATTGAAGGGGTACAGGATATGGAACATGTGTGATCTTCCCCAGTGCAGTTCATGCCCTGCCAGTGACGCTGCACCTTTCAACCTGTTTCACCAGCATGCATACCTTGCGTTGTTCTGCCAGCACCTCTGCCTGGGCAGTGGCGTATCTGACATTCTGTTTTGGTGTACTGGGGTTTCCACCGAATCTTATTGTGCTGGAGGATCTCCAGTGTTGCTCATAGCCTCCAAAATTTGTTCTAGATACAGTGGTGCCTCGCAAGACGAAATTAATTCGTTCTGCGAGTTTTTTCGTCTAGCGAATTTTTCGTCTTGCGAAGCACGAAATCCCATAGGAATGCATTGAAATTCAATTAATGCGTTCCTATGGTCAAAAAAAGTCCAGACAAAGCCAGATTTGGTACAACAAGAGTTTATTAAGTGCTCTTTAAAGTCACACATACTGTAAAGAGCATTTCAAAAATTGAAGGAACAATAAATTAAGTTTCTAAACATGACAGAAAAACATTTAAAAATCATCAAAGTGTACAGTACATTTTCTAAGACTCTGGGGGACAACTCGAAGAAGGTTCCTCTTCCACTCTTTGCTTCTTGCTGAAGAACCTGTCCATGGTCTGCTGCTTCATCCGCCTTTTCAGCACCTCCCTGAAAGACGACATGACCCTCGTATCAAAAGTGTTCGCAAGGTCACGTGTCAGGTCCTTGTCAGGGTGGTGCCGCTGTGCAAAAGCCTGCACATCTTTCCACTTCTGGCAAATGTCCCTCAGTTCTTTGGAGGACACAACCTCCAGGAACTCCGCTGCAAAGTCTTCAGCCGCAGGAACATCAGAACTGGCAGCCTCTCCATGCCTGACCACGCTGTGGATTCCAGATCTTGTCTTGAACTGGTCAAACCAGCCTCTGCTTGCCTTGAAGACTTCTGGCTCGCCTGAGGTTCTTGGCTGTTCCCGGATGAGGTCTGCGTGCAAGGCCTTGGCCTTCTCACAAATCACGCCCTCAGTCACTGTGTCCCCTGCACGCTGCTTCTCTTCTAACCAGATGAGCAGCAACTTCTCGACCTCCTCCAGAACAGCTGGGCGGTTCTTCACGATCCTGGTGACTCCCTTGGCTGCATCAGTCGCAAGGATCTTCTCCCTCATCTTCAGGATGGTGCCGATGGTCGATGGGTTCCTGCCGTACTCCCTGGCGAGGTCTGTCACACGCATTCCACCGTCGTGCTTCCGGATGATCTCCTTATTCATTTCCGGCGTCACCTTCTCCTTCTTCCTCTCGCCGGCCTCTGCAGCAGCAGTCTTCTTGGGTCCCATGGCAGCACAGCTCCTAGCTTCGTAAACTCAGGGAAAAAAAATAATAATCAGTGCTTCACACCCAAAAAATTCAAAAGCACCCAGCCACCCACCACACAGGAATTCAAACCCAGAACCAAGTCCTTGAATTCCAAACACCCAACCCAAAATCCAAAAACCCCCAAAAAAGTTTTAAAAGTTTAACTTACGAAGTGGCTGCAAATCACCAAAGTCTTCAAAATCCTCAAATGGCTGCAAAAGAAGTTTTGGAAAAGCTTTAAAAATCACCAAAGTCTTCAAAAACCTCAACTGTTCCCCCAGCCACCCACCCACCACACAGAAATTGCAAACCCCTCCCCAACTGTTGCAAACCCCTCCTCAACTGTTCCCCCAGCCACCCACCACACAGAAATTCAAACTCAGAATTTTTTTTTTAAAAAAACAACATGGCCCAATGGTCACAGAAAATCATAAAAATTCAAAAAAAACCACACAAGCTCCCAGATTCTTGCAAACCCCTCCTCAACTGTTCCCCCAGCCACCCACCACACAGAAATTCAAACTCAGAAATTTTTTTGAAAAAAACAACATGGCCCAATGGTCACAGAAAATCATAAAAATGCAGAAAAAAAACCACACAAGCTCCCAGATTCTTGCAAACCCCTCCTCAACTGTTCCCCCAGCCACCGACCACACAGAAATTCAAACCCAGAATTAAAAACAAACAAACAGCAGAGTGCCCCAATGGTCACAGAAAATCATAAAAATTCAAAAAAAACCACACAAGCTCCCAGATTCTTGCAAACCCCTCCCCAACACCAAGTCCTTGAATTCCAAACACCCCAACCCAAAATCCAAAAACCCCCAAAAAAGTTTTAACTTACCAAACGGCTGCAAAAGAAGTTTTGGAAAAGCTTCAAAAATCAGCAAAGTCCTCAAAAACCTCAGAAAAGGCTACCACACCACGTGCAATGTGTTGCTCCTCGAAGTCAAGTCGCAACTGCACCTCTTCAAGCAATGCACCCTGGGTATTAACGGTTTTACGAAAAAGGAAACAAACTTGCAAGACGTTTTCGTCTTGCAAAGCAAGCCCATAGGGAAATTCGTCTTGCGAAGCAGCTCAAAAAACGGAAAACCCTTTCGTCTAGCGAGTTTTCCGTCTTGCGAGGCATTCGTCTTGTGGGGCACCACTGTACCTGTTTTCTAAGGGCTCGTTCACACTTCCACTTGCCTGCTCCTTAAACCCCCTCTTTAGTGTTCAGCTGGAAATCCAGATTGCCAATTGTTCCGATGGAGCACTAAAGAGTGGCTTTTCCCAAGGGAGAGCAGCAGGATATGAGGCAGTGTGGATGAGTCTTAAATTGGAAGTTTGGGTTGAGATGAATTAAGTTTTCACCAAGGAACAGGTGGGTGTTAGGCCTGGGCATCCTACAGTCAATAACTGTGTGGCTGCCCAATACACTTTGCTGCCTGAGGCGAAAGGACAATATGGCACCTCCTCTACTGATGGTGGGCTAGAATTTCTGCTGCACCTGAGAGCTGCCTCACTCTTCCTAATGGTGGGGCTGGCCCTGTGTCCGCCATCTGACGAATAAAATACATAGATAAAACAAATATATGAATAATAATCAGAAATTGTATGCTGCACAATTGCAGCCTAAATTATAAACTGATAAGGGGAAATGTTCTCAGAAGCACTGGGACTTGCCACGTGTTCCAAGGAACTCTAGCTTCTTCATGAGCCTATAGTGACCCATTTTATAAACATAATTATACATTTGAATCATAAAATTGCAGAGCGGCACCAGAGTGGTAGGATGGTGTGGGTGGTTCCGCTGCACAGGGCACGGAGCTAAGGGGGTACAAAATAACAACAACAATTAAAAAACCTATATTTAAAGGGGTAAATATATAAGTAAAATAATAATAATATTTTAAAACCTATATTTATATGGATAAATATACAAGTAAACTTAGGGGGAAACTGTACCAAAAGGAATTGTTGTAAAAATAAGAAATATCTGGGGGAGAGGGCAGCCAAATTTTGTCCTTGCTCAGGGTGCTCTATTACCAAGTCCACCCTTGTTGTAGAGTTGGAAGGGACCCTGAGGGTCATCTAGTCCAACCCCCAGTATTCAGTTTCCACTTTTTTTAAAAAAATTATAATTTCACTTTAACAAAAAAAATTAAAAGTAACCCACATGGGTGTAACCTCAGGGGAGGCAGGAGGGCAGGCTGCCCTCCCCCAGTCAAATAAATAAATAAAAATACTTAAATAAAAGTAGAAATTGTGGGAATATTTTGATAGATGTTTCTGAGCGCTTGGGGTCAAAAGGCAGTAATTTAGAACTGTTCTTGAGACATTTCATTCCAATTCTGCTCGACAAACATGGATGGAGGATGTTGACAGGTGTCTTGCCCCCTCAACATAAATCCTGGCTACTCCCATGGTAACCCATTTACAATATTTTAAATAAAATCGAAATGTGGTTGTTTAGCCTCCCTCCAAGTGTCCCTAATTTCCAGGGACATCCCTCATTTAGAGAAGCCGGTTTCTGATTTGATTCTGGAATGTCCCACTTTTCCTTAGGACGTCGCTATTTTTCATTGGAGAAATGTTGAAGGGTTATGGAGTTATCTGAAGGCAATCCTGTGTAAGGAAGTTTTTACAAAAATGTTTCATGTTTTATGATGTTTTTATATATGTTGGAAGCTGTCTAGAGTGGCTGGAGCAACCCAATAAGATGTGTGGGGTATAAAACAGTAAAATTATCATTCTGGAATGGGACGTCCCTATTTTCATCGGGGGAAAGTTGTAGGGTATGAAACACCCGTCTTGTCAAGTTACAGTAAGGAAAGTGGGATCCGGCAGATAGAGAAAACTACAGCTCCCAGAAGCCTTTGCAACACCTCCTCGCCACGCATCCCCGTCCCCCAAGCATCCCGTGTTCAGCTCGCGGGCGGTGAGCCAATGGGCGAAGTCAGGCATCGCTCAGGCAAGCAGCACGTGGGGGCCATGCTGCCCAATGGCAGGGCCGGGAGAGCATCTAGCCATATGAGAAGAGGCAGAGAAGGAGGAGTGAGCCAAAAAGAGGGGAAGGCGACGGGAAGCCAGAGGAGAGAGAAAGACTCGGACAAGAAAGCAGCAGCGGGGAGCAGCAGCTTCCGAAGTTGGGAAAGGCCCGGGGGAGGGAAGAAGGACAAGGCACTTTGCAGCAAAGGTAAGAGGAGGGAGACATTGATAATGATAATAATATTAATAATAATAATAATAATAATGCAAACTCAAATGAATAAATGCATCTGTTTATTTCCATCGCCTCGTTCTCCGCATGGATGCAATGGGGGTAAATATATATCTATATCATTGCATCTCCTGGGTTGTCAAGGGGAGCGGGGAAGAAATGATTTTAGAGGAGCATTGTTCGAGAACGACCAGGGACCCATCACTTTCTCCCCACCCCAACATCCCTGCAAGAGGTCCTGGAGAAAAGCAGGGCCCCTTCACCCCAGCGAGTTTACCTATTGCTAGTTTTAGATTGTAAAGTCATCGGGGCGAATGCCTGCTCGGTTTTCTCATTGCAATTGAGTAAAGTGTAATTCTTGGTTGTTAAACTTTTTTTCTCTTTTAAACACATTGCACTTGGCACAATTTTAATAACTAGCCTTCCATTCCGTGTGCATAGCACCAGAAGTGCATCGCTGTTTTATTTCCCGAGAATACATCTATGCGCCAGGATAGAAGTGAATTGTCTGCTCCCCCTGCCCTCCCTCAAGCACCCAGAGGGGTTGCAGCCAAATTATTTGGGCGAAATATTGCCAAGAACATTGGAGGTCTCGCTTGTTCCATCAGCCCTTGATGGGATTAAGATGACAAAGGGGGTAAGACTTGGGTGGAGAAAGGAAGGTCTGAAATTTTGAACCATCCTTGGGCATGTTTAGAGAGAAAGGGATACCTGCTTAGGTGTGTTTTGGAAGAATGGAAAGTTGAATCAAGAGAGAGACTTACCTCCTTTTCATAAGTGCTAGCATGTAGGCAACTGCCACAGGACAGACACAAGGAAGTACTTGCACATCGCATAATGAAATTATGGAATACTTGGTCACAACATGTGGTCATGGTTGATAACTTTAGATGGCTTTTAAAAGGCTTAACAAATCTTGTGGAAGTTGGACCTGGCACTGGATATCAGTCTTAAGAGCCAAAATAGAGTCCATATTCTCAGACAGTGTTGCATCAGAGATGTTTGGGAGCAGAACAAAGGAGAGCTTAATGTGCCCTTGTGGGCTTCCAAAAAGCTACCATTGTGGAAAATAAGTTGCTGAACTACACAGATCTTATACCTTGATATAGAATGCCATTCTTGCTAAATTTTACCTTACCGTCCTAAATGTAACCGGGAAATCAGTATGGTGTGATCAAATCAATCATCTGCCAAAGCTTCCTATGGTTCTTACCGAGTTTTTTTGTTTTCTCAATTCTTTTAAGGAAAGGTGTTGTAAGTCCTTTGGCTCATCGGGTAACAGGAGATTAGCAAGTTTAAGAAATCATCACCATCTCCTCCCCTGGCCTTGCCACACTTTTGTCAAGTCTTTTGCCTCAGCTGTTGACTTCATTTTGTCTCTGGGCAGACCATATTCTCTCTTGATAGTTTTCTGTAGGTCCTACAGTGTTATGTTGGCATGAGCTAAATGCTAAAAAAATAAAAAGACAGCAACATGATGGAGAGCATAGCACACAGGAACCTTTAACTCAAACAAGCACATATTTCACTACCCACTGAGAGAGCTCATGTTATTTTTGCTGTTAAGGATATATGGAGCTGCCTCATGGTGACTCAAAACAATGGCTTAGTATTGTCTCCTCTGGCTGGTAACTGGTCCACTAATGTTTTGGGCCAAGATACCTTTTACATCTCTGCGATGGCAGATCATTTTTAATTGGAGACATTGGGAATTAAACCTGGAATCTTCCACATGTGGTCTTTTTCCCTTAGTTGTGACCCCCATCTCAGAGGACTTTTTACTGGAAGAGTTGTTTATGTGTAGTAAAAAAGCAAGAATATTGGTCAGAGATCCAGTCTGAGAAAGTTGGAAGGCTTATTTAAAGGGCAGGTTATTGGTAACAAAATATTCCAGAGCCCCTATGATGAATATCTTGCCTCCATCGAAGCAATGCCACTCTCTGCTGTTGGAGTTCACATGGGCTAAACAAGCAGGTACCAAACAGAGAATGCAAGGTGAGGGGGTAAATATTATTGAGATTTTACTTAGCTGACCTCTGGTATATCATGTCGGAGACATCAAAGTTATATTGACATGTAAACCTGGGAAATCAAGAAAAAACAGCTGATAACTCTGCTGGTCAAAACATAGAAGTCTGGGTTCTCTTTTGGTATATATCAGTATTTCACATCTCTAAGTCGAACAGTGAATTGTTTTCTTTTACTGTAGAAAGAGGACTGGAGTGTATAATTAATGATATTGGGAGTTCTGTGAAGGTTGTTCTGGACTAAAGTGTGTGGGTTGGTTTTGTAGTTGTAGAAACAGAAGGGCACCAGGATTATTGCTAACTGCTTAAGCCCAGGCTGCTGACACACATTTGCATGTGCTAATTTATTTGTACAGGAGCCTTTGGACAAGTTAAGTTGGTAGCTGGCTGGGGTGGGGGTGGGGGAGTCTTACCAACATGCTGCTTTGGAGGATGCCCAACTGCCTTATAAGCAAGATTAAAATATTTTCAAAATGGGGGGGGGGGGTTAGCTCAGGAGACATGTGAAAAATGGGTTTGGGCCCCCGGAGACCCTCCACTTTTGTCTGATCTTCCCATATGCCAAAGCAAGCCGGTAATGGGGCCGGAGGGAACCATGAGGTTATGACACTGCAACCCAGACTTTCTTGTAAGTGTGCAGTTTTGACCTTCTTTTAAGCAGTGAATTGGGAGCTTTCAGAGATGCTCTGTTTCATTCAAATCAGAGGCTGGAAACCTGGTGCCCTGATGTTGTAGGACTACAACTCCCATCATCCATGACCATTGGCCATTTTAGCTGGGGCTGATGGAAGTTGGGAACCCAGCAACATCTGGAGAACTGCAGGATCCCAGCCTCTGATTTGAATGCTCCAGTTTTCAGACCATAGAGATGTTCGGAGGGACTATTCCGGTGTTAAAAGCTTGAGACTTTATATAAACGATACCTTCCCACCACCATTTTTTTAAAAGCACAAAACATGCTCTGAGACATTCTGCCTGATACTGGTTCCAGCCAGAGCCCACAAACCCAAAGTGCTGCTTAGTTTTCTTAGCTTACTTGTAAGCAAGATGAAAGATGCACTTTTAACTCACAGGTTCGTGGTATCCGTGCAGATATGAGGGATTTTAACTGTGCAGCTGAACAGCTCTTTACACATGTGTGTTATTTAAAAATGGAAAAAAAATAAGAATGTAGGCAGGCTCCATTGAAATCCATGGTTTGTTGCTTTCCCTCTCCCTTGCCCCATGCCATCTTTCACTGACTCCAATCAAAGACGGATTGCAGCCATAGATTTCAGGTATGACCTGTGTTATGAAAGCACAAAAATGACAGACTCAGCCTGCTTGAAGCCATGCGTTGGCTTCTTTAATAAATCAGAGTGAATAATGGGGAAAGATGATCTTGATCAGTGTTTTTGTGCCTTGGCTGGCACCTTCCCACCCACTATCCTCCGCTAATCCAGAACGAGACCTGTCTGTTAAGTATCCATTGAACTTTCTTTACAAAGCAAAGAGGGCAGATTACTTGGGTTGGCTGGGCTGCATAGCCCTGTCTGCGGTTTGCCTGCCTTCTGAAGGTGGCACACGCTTGTAGAAATTACAGTTTCTAAAAACCTGGATACTTCTGCAGTCGGATGGCGTAACATTTGGTGTAATAGTGGTGATCTGTTGTGCTTCTTAAGCAGCTTGGCCAGTGTCATTTCAGTGCTTTCCCCCCAATTGTCCAAAGGGAGAATTAAGGTCAAGGGATTAGGTGGTAGAGAAGAGGAAGGACTTCGACATTTCTTTCTCTGTAAGTTCTGTTAGGAACCAGTGTGAATAGCTAATCGGTGCTAGGGCATTGAGCCCTGTGTGTCGGTCCGTATCTAATCACTTGCAATGGCTGTGGACTGTCTCGTCTGAAGACCAGTTGCTGGGGAAAGTGCTTTAGTCTTCATGCTGGGCTTTCCATAGGCTGTGAGAGCAGGATTGTAGAACCATAGAGTCCAACCCCCTGCAATGCAGGAATATGCAGCTGTCTCTTATGGGGATTGAACCTGCAACCTTGATATTATCAGCTTCATGCTCTGAGCTTTTGGTCTGATGCAACAGGGCCCTTCTTATGGGTGCAGTGCTCTTACATTACAGACACAAAGTCTTCCTGAATACCAGATCTGATGCTTTCTTTGTCTTGGGCAACAATGGACACTTAATCTCTTGCTTTGCTCTCCTTATCTGTATACAGGAGACAGTGGATAGGAATTGAGGTTAGCTGTGTGGTCCTTCTTCCTAAGTGTTGGCTAAACTGTTACCGCAGACTCAAGCTTGTTGAATACAACTGGTTAGTTTTTTATGGGGTGTTTCCGTTTTGGTCGGCTGGGTGGTGGTCATTATGGTCTAGATGTTGGGGAAACTGTGAGTGAAGGCAGTAGAGGATGGAGCCGTTCTTAACATTTGCATTATTTTCTGTGCTTTAACCAGAATTCTTAAGACACTCCTGCTTTTTGTGTGTTAAATTTACTGTTATCTGTCCAGGACTTTGGGATGAATCAGGCATTTGGGATGAAGCAGGTGCCTACCTGCCTTTTATTATCAGTCCGCACTACAAGATGCATCAGTAAGTCTAGAAACAACGTAGTATTTGTCATGATTTTTATTATTTATTGGTCCAAACAATAATTTTAAAGACCTTGCAAGATTTTTAGTGTGATGGAACTCTTACATCAATCAGGTAAAATGGGCACTGATCTAGAATAGCGGTTTTCAAGCTATATTCCCAGGCGCTTAGTGGTTCCTTGCCAGGCAATCCTGTACATGTTTAACTAGAAGTAAGTCCTGTTGGCTTCAATGGGATTTACTCCCAGGTAAGTGAGTATAGAATTACAGCTTTAGGAGCTTATTGGAGGTTCTGCAATGGTTGACTAACCATTTAGTTTGGCAGCATATGGGGGGCTATCAGTGTTCAAATTTAAAAGGTAAAAGGACCCCTGACCATTAGGTCCAGTCGCGGACGACTCTGGGGTTGCGGCGCTCATCTCGCTTAATTGGCCGAGGGAGCCGGCGTACAGCTTCCGGGTCATGTGGCCAGCATGACTAAGCCGCTTCTGGCGAACCAGAGCAGTGCACGGAAACGCCATTTACCTTCCCACCACAGTGGTACCTATTTATCTACTTGCACTTTGATGTGCTTTCGAACTGCTAGGCTGGCAGGAGCAGGGACCGAGCAACGGGAGCTCACCCCGTCGCGGGGATTCGAACCGCCGACCTTCTGATCGGCAAGCCCTAGTCTCTGTGGTTTAGACCACAGCGCCACCCGTGTCCCTTGTTCAAAATTAGCCGGGTGCCTTTTGCACCTGGCTATTGGCCCCTTGCAACTAAGTGAATATGCATGGGCTCCAGGATAGTGCCTGACATCTCCACTATCTGGAGGTGCATGCCTGGGAATCATTGGTTCTTGACTGTTCTCACACACACATCCTGTAGAATTCTATCAGTTCTTCATTTACCCTACCCCACTGCCCTACATTATGAATGGCCTGTATCACCATTAAGAAAAATAGGTTGCAATGGGATCAAGTGACTTGTCTTCTTTAAGTTCTCCAAGCTCTTAACTTAGCTCAAGGTTGTCTTCTGAACCAGCCAGGTGTTGAACTGATAATCAATCACAGCCAGTTCATCGTTTGAAAATCCAAGACTTGAGAGCCACCTGGCCCCAAGATGGCAACCAGACATTCTGTTTGGGCGACTGTAACCATGGTTTAAGGAGCCATTTGGTGCCTAACTTATACAGTATATCTTGAGTTCCTAACACTGTTTCTAAACCTGGCTTATACCTGCTGATTGGCTCTACCTGTAGGGCCTAGGAAAGGTTACTGTCAGGCTTGCCTTGTTTGTTAGGGAGAAAATGTTCAATTGCATCGGGGAAAGGAATGTTTCGGCAATTAGGTATTGGGCAATATTTAATATTCCAATCCTTTTGCAAGCCAAGATCCTGTTCCCAGTATTTGCAGAGGGGCAAAAGTGACGGAGGAAACTCAACTGCTGACGTAGCCACGCTTTGGCTGAGCTGGCCTCCTGTCTGTTAGCACAAGGCAACTTGCCAGCTGTTACACCTTTTTGTGGAGTCGAAACCCCCGTTGAGAATGGCAGCTGTTCTGCCTGAGATCAGGCAAGCAGAACAAGGATATGGAGTCCTTCCTGTGCATTTGACAGCTACTTGAGGAAGGCTTTGAATATTTATGGTTGATGTGGCATTTTGTCTTCTTGGTTTAATTTGGTTTTTTTATTTCTTTTAAAAATAAAACCTTATTGTATGCTGAGCACCAGTTGGGAGATTGCCCCGGAGTGACGATGCATGTTAATTTATGAGAGCAGGAGGACGGTAGCAATTCCTCCAGTCCATTTCCCATTTAATCCATAGAAGTGCATGGTCATTCCTGGACCCACTTTCAGGGAACCTAAACCGAACATCTCTCCCCTGTATGACTTGGCTCAAGTAAGTCTTTTGCTAGCGGTGCTTGCATTTTATTTATTTGCTCTTAGAACATTTTCTGTTTGTGCTTCTCTACAAACCCCCTCCCCTCCCCCCCAAATAAAAAAGTTCTCCTTTTTGATGGATGCCAGTGGGGAAGCTGCTATGGAGTGATGGCGCATATTAATGTTACAAATTTGGTCAGAGGCAAACAGAAAAGCGAATGGCAGGTGCAAGGCCAACAGCAATGCTTTGCTTACTCAGCAAAAGCAGACGCTGAGACAGCTGTTTTGCATGAAGACTTTTGTGAAAGGAACTGAAATGTGGCAACCTGTAAAAGGGTAAAAAAGTGCTGGGAAATAATTCATAGTGAATTGAAAAAAAATGTTTAAAAGTACTTTTCCAAAACAATCCAGAGTCCTTTTTGTTGGGGATAATTCAGACTGAAATTCCCAGGTGTCCAAAAAGGTTATTTATGTATGCCACTACTGCGGCCCAGGTTTTGTTAGCCCAAAGATGGAAAATGCGCGAGGTCCCGACCAAAGAAGAATGGCAACTTAAGCTGATGGAATATGTGCAGCTTGCAGACCTAACATACAGAATAAGTCACAGGCTTCCTCAACCTCGGGCCTCCAGATGTTTTTGAGACTACAGTTCCCAGCATCCCTGACCACTGGTCCTGCTAGCTAGGATCATGGGAGTTGTAGGCCAAAAACATCTGGAGGGCCGAGGCTGAGGAAGCCTGGAATAAGAGAACAAGAAAAACATACGTTTGAAGAAGATTGGAAAATGTTTATTGAATATTTTTTGGGGGGGGGATTGTGTACACTTGAAAACGTTGGCAGCATTAAGATAAATTCAACAGTGTACACAAGTTTTGATGAATGTAATAATGGAATACTGAATGGTTTAGTTATGTAAAATGTGCAGGGATTTATGATAGGCGAAATGAACCACGGAAAGAGAAGAAGGGAAGTCATTGACGTTTTAAGGTTGCTTAAACGAATATTCTATATTGTAAAACAGAACATTTCGTAAAAATTATAAACATAAAAAAAATACTTTTGTGAAAGCTCCTTATGCAGATTTTAAGATCCTGTGCTGGTAACCAAAGAGTGTAGGGCAGGGGTCAGCAAACGTTTTCAGCAGGGGGCCGGTCCACTGCCCCTCAGACCTTGGGGGGGGGGGCTGGACTATATTTTTTAGGGGGCAAATGAATGAATTCCTATGTTCCACAAATAACCCAGAGATGCATTTTAAATAAAAGGACACATTCTACTCATGGAAACACACGGATTCCCGGACCATCCGTGGGCCTGATTTAGAAGGCGATTGGGCCGGATCCGGCCCCCGGGCCTTAATTTGCCTACCCGTGCCCTATATGATGACCTGTTTTTACATGAGTAGAATGTGCCCTTTTATTTAAAATGCATCTCTGGGTTATTTGTGGGGCCTGCCTGGTGTTTTTACATGAGTAGAATGTGTGCTTTTATTTAAAATGCATATCTGGGTTATTTGTGGGGCATAGGAATTCATTAATTATTTTTTTTCAAAATATAGTCCAGCCCCCCGCAAGGTCTGAGTGACAGTGGGCCGGCCCCCTGTTGAAAAAGTTTGCTGACCCCTGAATAGGGTGACCAAAGCAGTTTCTGATACTCGGGAACCTTGCTCAAGAAGGGTAATCTTTGGTTAGGACCCCTTGGTTGGGGGTCTGTGTGGCCCCCATGCAGTGTAGGAGTTAGAGGGGAAAGTGGAGTTCTTTGTATGGAATTGCTTGTCTTGTCACGCTCTTTGGAACTGCTCCGATCTCCCTTCTTCCTGTCATGCTCTCCTGCCCTTTTCTGTCAGATTCGGAGCGCTATTTGACAACAGCGTCTGGAAGATTGATGTGACCTCCGTTCACAGAAGACCTTTGAGAAGCAGGTCTCTTGCAATATTCTGGGGGGGGGGGGAACGAATCCTTTGCAAGTTTTTCATGCCTACTCTTGAAAATGAAATGGAGACTTGTGTCTCTTTTAGCGCCATGAGAAGTAAGCAAGTGTTTGTGGTGGGTGGAGTTCTTCCAGAATAGGGAACTGGGTGCAATTCATTCTCTCTCTACCCTGGCAAAATGTGGGTTGTACCCAAAGCAGGAGTGGGGAGGAGTGAAATGATGGGGGCATGGCTCTTGGGCCTGAAGAAATTAGACACACCTTCGGTTCAGAGATGCAACAGAATTTACTGCCCTCAGAGGAGGCACAGACAGAAAAGTGATGCGTGCTGAGAAACAGGAGGTGAGCTTCCCTAAGGGCAGGTAGTTCTCTTTCTTGCACCTTCTATGGCTCTGTGCACAGCATTTAAAGCTCAACCTTTCCCAGGAACCCTGGGAATTATAGTTTACTCCCATTGGACTTTCCAGCACCCATAACAAACTACAGTTCCCAGTTTTGAGTGGTAGGGGAATCATGCTTTAAATGTATGTTGTGTGCACAGCCTAAGAATAAAGTTGCTGTTTTAAGTGAAGCGTACCATCACTTTTAATTCAGAGAAAAGTGTTCCTCTACTGCCAGACGTTGGGAAGCCAAGCCCTATGGGAAGATGCAAATGTTTGAGAGTTGCACAGAGGTCTTCTGTGTCTTTAGCAGGTGCATGGCAGACAGAAACCTGGCCAGCACAGTCTTTCTCAGCTTGGCACTATGGCGTTTGGGAAAATGCTGTGTTTCTGGTGTGGGCAGTGATGACCAAACTTTGGCCCTTCAGCTGTTTTGGGATTACAGTTCCCATCATCCCTCACCACTGGTCCTGTTAGCTAGGGATGATGGGAGTTGTAGTCCCAAAACAGCTGGAGGGCCAAGTTTGGCCATCACTGGGTGTGGGGAACCTTTAGCCACCAGAAAAAGATGGCAGTCCTTGGTTGGTATCTTGGAACTCTTTTAGAAATCTTAAAAACTCTCTAGCCCTGTTCAGGTGTTCAAAGAATATGTGAGGACACCATGTGTAGGACCCATGTGCACACCAGCCTCCCACTTCTAATGTCTCCATCTCTTCCGCCCCCAAACTCATGATCTTTGACTCCCCTAATGGGGCTTCTGTAAATGCATGCTTATTGTGGGTTTATTCTGGCCTCCTTTGGGAATAAGAATGCAAGGCCAGCCTTTATCTTAAATGCTCAGTTAAGGGTGGATTTGCTTCATGTGCTTGGGTCTGTTTTCATCCTGGCATCTTGATGGGGTTTCTTTTAGTTGTGGCTCCCAAATGCATCCATGCAAAAGCTGGCCCTGGGTCTGTTGGAGAAACAAGTGCTTTGACGGTTCTCCCCGCCACGTTTGGGTGCTGTTGAGAGTGTGCAACTGTGGCTTTCAGCAGAGAGCTCAGTGTGACTAGGGATGCCGGATGTGTCCATGTGTGGATGTCCCATTAAAGAAAGGGAAGGATAGCAGGACCATTCGTAGCTGTGTTGACTTTTCAGCTAGCTTGGTGGCCCAGGTGATGTGGAAATGACTCTGCAGCAACGCGTTTGACAGCAAAGGAAAGATGTAGCTTGAGAATGCCTGATTGACTTGTGATCTCTCTCCTTTTAACCTCACTGGCCTGGTCCATTAGTGGCAGGGCGTCTGTAGCTGATCTCAAAGGCAGGGGAAGAAGAGTTGGTCTGATTTCTGCCTTTTTGCTGCCCTCTGTGAATTAAAATACTGCGCGTCCTTGTCTGTCCTCCTTCATGCCATATCGCATGCTGTTCAGCATAGTAATCGTCCATCAACTGAGCAAGGGGTGAGCAGGATCCTATTTTCTCATGTTCTCACTGTCGAGAGAAGTCTATCATTTCTTTATTCTCCCCATTTACAACTCTGTGCTCTGAGATCCAAAGCTGTCTTTGCGTGTGTACACACTGTCTTCCCTTGGAGCAAAGATAATTGATTATCTGTCGCCGGTTACATGCATAAGCAATTGACAGCCTTCATTGGGTTTGTCTGGGCATGTTGAATTGCGAGATTTCTCGGATTTAACATCCAAGAAAACCACTCTGCCAAGAAAGCTCTACCAGGTGATTCCCAATTTCTGGTGGCCAGGGGACACTTTGCTTTCTTGCACTGCAAAAGGTTTCTCCCTCAGTGTGAAAAACTTAATAATTTCCTTGCCTTTCCAATGGATCGTTCTTGCTATTATTCTACTTGTATTGCTGCTCTGAGGCTGCTGCCTGTTTAGAGGAGAATTACGATGCAAGCAGACTTTCTCTGCAGAGATCCCCATAGGATGGGGGTTTGGAATTATAGGCATCTTGAATTATTTAATTTCTCACAGCGCAGCTAGAAATTCTCTTGTGGTCCAAGCTTTGGGAATTGTTTTTCTTCCTGAAATGTGGCTGGAAAGGACGGGAAAAGCAAAGCGAAACAACACTTTCACAAAAGCACCCTGCCGGTCTCTTCAGTTCCTTTTTTTTCTCCCCAGTATCCTCCAACTTTCTCTGTTGATAAAGGCTCTTCAATCAGCACCCTCATCAGCCTGATTGCTTTCTGTGTAATTGCGTCCTTAACGCTCTCCTGCAGTGCTGAGATTGTGGTGTCTTCAGGCTTGAAAATGGAAAGGAGAGAACTTTTGGTGGATGCCTTTGTCTTTTAAAATTTGCTTCTAGTTAGTACAGTGGTACCTCGGGTTACTCCTGCTCACCTAGCAGTTCGAAAGCACCCTTAAGTGCAAGTAGATAAATAGGTACCGCTTTATAGCGGGAAGGTAAACGGCGTTTCCGTGTGCTGCGCTGGTGCTGGCTCGCCAGAGCAGCTTCGTCACGCTGGCCACGTGACCCGGAAGTGTCTTCGGACGGCGCTGGCTCATGGCCTCTAGAGCGAGATGAGCACGCAACCCTAGAGTCGGACACGACTGGCCCGTACGGGCAGGGGTACCTTTACCTTACCTCGGGTTACATACGCTTCAGGTTACAGACTCTGCTAACCCAGAAATAGTACCTCGGGTTAAGAACTTTGCTTCAGGATGAGAACAGAAATCGTGTTCCGGTGGCGCGGCGGCAGCAGGAGGCCCCATTAGCTAAAGTGGTGCTTCAGGTTCAGAACAGTTTCAGGTTAAGAACGGACCTACGGAACGAATTAAGTTCTTAACCTGAGGTACCACTGTAGAATTATACACGGCCTCAGATATTTGGGGTGACGGGTGATACAGAAACGTGAACGCCAGGGGTCAGCAAACGTTTTCAGCAGGGGGCTGGTCCACTGTCCCTCAGACCTTGTGTGGGGGGCTGGACTATATTTGGGGGGGGGGGAATATGAATTCCTATGCCCCACAAATAACCCAGAGATGCATTTTAAATAAAAGGACACATTCTACTCATGTAAAAATCATGCTGATTCCCGGACCGTCCTTGGGCTGGATTTGGAAGGCAATTGGGCCGCATCCGGCCCCTGGGCCTTAGTTTGCCTACCCATGGGAAGGCTATAGCTGCCTTTAAATGTGAAGGAGGAGCATCTGTGCAGAATTCATTCCTTTTGCCAGATTTATTTTGCAAGGTATCTTGTCTCCATGCCCCCCACCAGTCCATCCACATTCTCAAGGAAGGTGCTAATTTGCAAAACATGTTTCACGGAGCAATGGGAAAGTGGAGATCTCATGGGGGGGTGGATCACCCCTTTCCCTAAAACCTACCATTTACAAAAATGTTTGCCTGAAAGGAGAGCATTTTCTAGCTCTTGTAAAACAAGTAAACCTGGATGTTAGAGATAAGGGCAGCACACTGGACTCCCAGGCAACTTAAATACAATTCCTCCAATGAGCTCCCTTTAGGTTTCCAAGGGCTGTGGGATTGAGTACCACACAATTGCTTGGGAATCCAGTCTTGCGCTGAAGACCCGCTGGCTGAGGTGTTTCAGGATTTGGCCTTGATTGCGCAACAATGGGATCTGGCCGTGACAGCGCAACTTTTAGCAAACCATATCGCAAAGAAGCGTTGCCAGTTAAAACCCATTGTCTGAAGTAAGAACCAAATCAAATAAAGGGAAAGAAGTACCCAGCCTCCTCACACCTTTACTTTTTGCTTTTTTTAAAGTTCCTCGCAGTTAAGAACAACACCTCCCACTATCTCCCAACATTTCTTAGAGACTTCAAAGGTTGTAGATCCAAAGTGATTATTAAGCTCTATCCTTTATTCCCTCAACCCTTCTTTAATCTGGTTCTCTGCTTGCTCCAGTTAGCATAGGGACAATCACTTGAACAGAAGTAACTGCCTTGACTTCCTCTATCTCCTTTTGAATTTGGGCTAATAATAATAATAGGCAATAGTAAAACATAAAATCTCACTATTACCTAATTTACCTGCTGGAGCAGGGGCGACCCTGTCATCATAGTAACCCTGGTGAGTGGTTTTGTCAATGCCTTTTTAAAAATAAATTCCTTCCCCGGAAGACAAGTTCAAAATATTATACATATTTGTACTTTTCTGGGACTAATGGGTTGAGAGCACGGTCAAATGCTTTTGAACTTCCATATTCTTTTTGGAAAGCTTTATTTGGTCTCGACTTGGTTATTGGCACAGAGTGGACTCACCAAAAGCCAAAAAACCACAGTGGGACTGAAAATTCAGTCTGGGTAACATTTGCACTATACATTTAAATTACATGGCTCCCCCCCCAAAGAATCCTGGGAACTGTAGTTTATTAAGAGCGCTGGGAATTAAGACTCAGTAAGGGATAAACTGCAGTACCCAGGATTCTTTGGGGAAGCCCATGTGCTTTAAGGTGTGGGTGTGACCTTGAATTTGGAAAAAAGGCAGTCATTTCTGCCTTGGAGGACAGAAGCTCTTATGTGCCATCACTCCACTTTGTTTCACAAAGGGGAGCATCCATGCATTCTGTGTCCCCCCCCCTGCATTTCGAGTGGTACTGCCCATTAGGAATATTGTATTACATGATTTTCCCCCTGCAACTTCAATGTGACTACCATTGGGGACTCTGCTGGGAAGCAGTACCTCCAGATCAGAGGCCATATTAATTTACATTCTAGGATTTACATTTTTCATCCGAACCTTTAAAAATCACTGACCTAGTGTAATCTAGTGGGTCAGTGATTTTAAAATGTTCTGATGAAAAATGTAAATCCTAGAATGTAATTTAGAGATCACACTAGACAAGAGTTTCAAAAAGCATGGGGAAAATGCAGAGAATACTTCACAAAACAGTGCCCTAAAATACATACCTGGACTTGTTTCAATTAATGTCTGCAGGAGACTTTGTGGATATTTAAGTTATAATTAGAAAAATCTTAATAATTATTCATAAAGGAAACAGTTTATTAGAAGCAAATAAGGAGACCAGATACAGGATAAAGGAAGTCTTTTATTTGGTTGTTTGTATTGTTGTATGTTATGCTCATTGTATGTTATGTTCACGTTTAACAAGGGTGGATTCGTGTGTGTGGGGTTTATGTTATGTTGTAAATAAAATTCCAATAAAAATTTAAACAATAAAAATAAAATAAAATCACTGACCTAGGTGTATTCTTCTTTTTTTTTTAACATTTGCATTAGGTAGCCATGTCCGCCAAAGCAATTTCGGAGCAGACGGGGAAGGAATTCTTGTACAAATACATCTGTACGTCCTCAGCCATCCAGAACCGCTTCAGATATGCCAGAGTGACTCCTGATACAGACTGGGATCGGCTAATCCAAGATCACCCCTGGCTCTTGACTGAGGTGAGCAGAACCGGCTGTAGTTGTTGTTCCCCACCACCCCACAAAGCAAAAACCCATAAAGTAAGAAGCTATACAGGCCCGGAACAAAATGCTTTTAAGCCTCCTTGTTGTGCAGACAATGGAACATACACAGCTGAGAAGTTCATCAGCATCAGGAACGCTTACATAAAGGACTCCACATGATGGAGGAAGAGGAGCTCTCCAAAGCAGGCTAAACCTTTTGCCCATGGGCAAGAAGTCTTTGGTCCCCTTATGTGCTGGCATTCGTCATGCTTGCCTTGGTGCTGAAATAGACCCTTGTCTTCTCGTTTATAAAAGATAATGATAATACATTTTTATTTATACCCCGCCCTCCCCGGCCAGAACTGGGCTCAGGGTGGCTAACACCAATAAAATTACTATAACACATCATAGGAAAGAAAAACCCCCAGTTAATTAAAATACGGGTTAAAATACAATTTAAAATGCAGCCTCATTTTAGTAGTAGCCATAAATCAAAACCATAAGGGGAGGGAAACGTAAGGGTCAGACAGAGTCCAAACCAAAGGCCAGGTGGAACAGCTCTGTCTTGCAGGTTCTGCAGAAAGATGTCAAGTCCTGCAGGGCCCTGGTCTCTTGTGACAGAGCGTTCCACCAAGTGAGGGCCAGTACTGAAAGGGCCCTGGCCCTCGTTGAGGTCAATCTAACCACCGTGTGGCTCTGGACCTTGTTGTTATTTGTGGACTTTAAGGTCCTCCGTGGGGCATACCAGGAGAGGTGGTCCCATAGGTACGAGGGTCCTAGGCCGCATAAGGGCTAGGACAGTTGGCTGACAAAATATTCAAAAATCATTCCTTCTTTTTTAAATTAGAAAGACGACAAAACTATTGTGATCATCGGCAGCTTTGATTCCTCACCCTAGTTACAGAAGCAAATCAAGTTAGCTATTAATATTAACACGTTAACAAGCCTGGATAGCTCAGTTGGTTAGAGCAGGCATCCCCAAACTCGGCTCTGCATATGTTTTGGGACTACAGTTCCCATCATCCTTGACCACTGGTCCTGTTTTCTAGGGATGCTGGGAGTTGTAGTCCCAAAACATCTGGAGGGCTGAGTTTGGGGATGCCTGGGTTAGAGTGTGGTGCTGATAATGCCATGGTTGCAGGTTTGATCCCTTTATTATGGGGCAGCTGCATATTCCTTCATTATGGGGGGGGGGGTTGGACTAGATGATCGTCTGGCTCCCTTCTAACTCTACGATTCTATGATTCACAGTATTTGACCAGTCGGCTGACAAGTGTGGCCAGTTGCATGTTTGGGGTGCAAACTTTAACTGGCACAGAATCTTAGGTCCTCTGTGTCACCCCCTTGGAAAGTTTTAGGGCCTCGCCCCAGTTTTTAACTGTGCAAGGAGACATCCTGTCCCCAGTTCCTTTCTATAGCTTGATCTCCTGGCTGCCATCCAGTTTAATCACATTTAGCCAAACACAGATCTGCCACACAGTCCCATTTCTCTCTCTGATGGAAGGCAGCTGTACTGCTGGCTAATTAAATACCCTGCAGTTAGTTATGTGAGTCAGTGGCTGGCATGCCTCAGCGAGGAGAATATAGTTTTCCGTGAGCTTTGCCGGAAGGCAGCAAGGGCTCTGGGTGGCTTTCTGAATTAATTCAAGGATTAATAGGATCCTTAAAGCAGGAGCTGGAAGAAATATTTTCGGATCCTTAAACGCTGGCATGAATGTTTCGGCTTGCGGTTATGTTAGGGCACTCGCTCCCCTGTGGTGAATGGAATTACCTACAGCTGACCAGACAGGGAAGTGGAACAAGCACCAATGCAATTAAGGGGAGGCAATTTAAGACAGTTAAAGCTATGGTTTTCCCAGTACAGTGGTACCTCGGGTTACATACGCTTCAGGTTACAGACTCCGCTAACCCAGAAATAGTACCTCGGGTTAAGAACTTTGCTTCAGGATGAGAACAGAAATCGTGCTCCGGTGGCGTGGTGGCAGCAGGGGGGCCCCATTAGCTAAAGTGGTGCTTCAGGTTAAGAACAGTTTCAGGTTAAGAACGGACCTCCGGAACGAATTAAGTACTTAACCCGAGGTACCGCTGTAGTAATGTATGAAAGTGAGAGATGGACCATAAAGAAGGCTGATCGCTGAAGAATTGATGCTTTTGAATTATGGTGCTGGAGGAGACTCTTGAGAGTCCCATGGACTGCAAGAAGACCAAACCTATCCATTCTGAAGGAAATCAGCCCTGAGTGCTCACTGGAAGGACAGATCGTGAAGCTGAGGCTCCAATACTTTGGCCACCTCATGAGAAGAGAAGACTCCCTGGAAAAGACCCTGATGTTGGGAAAGATGGAGGGCACAAGGAGAAGGGACAGCAGAGGACGAGATGGTTGGACAGTGTTCTCAAGGTTATCAACATGAGCTTGACCAAACTGCGGGAGGCAGTGGAAGACAGGAGTGCCTGGCATGCTCTGGTCCATGGGGTCATGAAGAATCTGACGCGACTAAACAACAACGACAACAATTTAATATAATGTCACCCTCAGAATTTACATTACTTTTGCTAAGTCGTGGTGAAGTGTACAGGGCATGGGACCTTCGATTAGTGTCTGATGAAAGCTCAGCTCAGCCATTTTCCTCCTCCTTCATCACTAGCTTCTTATGACTGTAAGCAAATTGGTGTGATTTAAAATGGGGCTGGAGAATCTCACTTGTGGCCCTGCGGGCCTTTTTGTTTGGCCCTCAAGACTCTTCCCCCAGACGCACACATCTTTCTCTGGTCCTGTATCACATTCCAGATGTTTTTGCCTGACTGCAATGTCTCCTTGAATTCTTACAATGCCTCTTGCTTGTCTGGAATGAGGACGGGTGGTGGTGGAGGTCTGTGTATATAGGAACCAACCTCCTGTGCATTAAAAGGAAAGGTGGGACGTGCATTAATTCTTTACCAAAAGGTGGACCGTGTTGACCGAGAGTCATGGGAAGTCTGAACAGCTGCAGGTCACTTCTTGACTGCTGGCGTTCTATCATCCAGCTCTTCCACAAGCAGTTGGTCCCTTACCTTTCTCTCCCTGATCTGGCCACAGTGATCCATGCGACGGTCACCTCCAGGCTTGATTATTGTAAGTCGCTCTACGTGGAACTGCCCTTGAAGCTGACCTAGAAACTCCAGCGGGTGCACAATGTCGTGGTGAGGCTCCTTACGGGGTCCTTGCCGCGGGATTACATTCATCCAGTGCTTTACCAACTGTACTGGCTCCCGGTGGAGTACAGGGTCAGGTTTAAGATGCTGGTTTTGACCTTTAAAAGCTCTATGTGGCCTAGGACCCACGTACCTATGGGACCGCCTCTCCTGGTATGCCCCGCGGAGAACCTTAAGGTCCACAAATGACAACACTTTGGAGGTCCCAAGTCGCAATGTGGTTAGATTGGTCTCAACTAGGGCCAGGGCCTTTTCAGTACTGGCCCTGACTTGGTGGAACGCTCTGTCACAAGAGACTAGGGCCCTGCGGGACTTGACATCTTTCCACAGGGCCTGCAAGACAGAGCTGTTCCGCCTGGCTTTTGGTTTGGACTCAGTCTGACCCTTATGTTTATGGGCTACTATTAAAATGAGACTGCATTTTAAGTTGTATTTTAACCCGTATTTTAAATTGGTTCCCCCCCCCCTTTTCTTTACCCCCCCATTATGTTTTTATTGTAATTTTACTGGTGTTAGGCGCCCTGAGCCCGGCTCTGGCCGGGGAGGGCGGGGTATAAATAAATTATTATTATTATTATTATTATTATTAAGCCATGAGGAGAAAACAATGCCTGCGCAGTTGTGACTGCTTTCTTGTGCTAAAAATGTGTACAGATTGCTTCCAGGAAGCAACACATATCTATTATCTTAGCTGTGCTGGTTTCTTTGTTGCTTCTGCTGTGTGACCTCTTTACAAGGAGAGCGTACGAGAACCTAAACTAGGCCTCGCCCTTCTCGGAAACTGGCAAGTTGTTTGCAAATTTTTCACTTATCACCTGTAAGGCTAGTTTTCCAGTTTTGGTTTTCCTTTTGCTAGAACATTAGCAGTGGCAAAATTTTTATCTGTGGTTGCAAGAACCAATGATCCCTATATTCTGAACAAAATGCTTGTTTAACCTGGAGGTAGGCCGTATGACATGTGTATTGCTTTGGTCTCCGGACCATAATAAAGATAGTTGTTGTTGTTGTTTTTTCCAAATCCCAGCGTCTCGTGGTGAAGCCTGATCAGCTGATAAAGCGGCGTGGCAAACTTGGCTTGGTGGGGGTGAATCTTGACCTGGAACAGGTGAAGGCCTGGCTGAAGCCGCGTCTCGGACATGAAACCACAGTGAGTGTTGCCATTCTTTCTCTGCCCCACCTGCTTGACTGAGTTGTTGTCAAGATGAAATGCTGCAATAAGCTTCCTTTTGAGGACGGGCAGGATATTAACGAAGCAAATAAAAAGCGACAAGATTAATTTATGACCTTGAAAGAAGGCATTTTCCGTGGCAGCTCACTAAGTTGTGAAACTGAGGCACCTTTATTAATATAGCTTCTGGTGAATGCTGAAGACACACCTCTTTACCCTGGCCTTTGAGGTGCATCTTTTTAAAACTCACCTTATTTCTGTAATTTAAAATTATTTTAAACTGTTTTTAGTATTGTGCTTTAATGTGGTAACCCACCCTGGGAACTTAGGGTGAGGGCCAGGGAAATGATAATAATTTTGTGAGAATGTAGCACTTCATAATGCAGGGGCGAATAATACCCTTTGTTTTCGATATCTGGGTGGGGCTTCTCATTCAGAGTATGTTTGTTTCTCATTTTCCACAGATTGCCAAAGCTAAGGGCATCCTAAAGAACTTCTTGATAGAGCCTTTTGTTCCACACAAACAGGTTAGTTTTATTTGTACGCGAAACATAACAGTTATTGCGGGAGCACAGCTTTAGTCTTGCATCATAAAGGCTGCAACTCCTTTCCTCCAAGACCCTTTCCCCCATGGAGTGGCTTTTATTAATCAAACCAAAGAATTTTGAAAACCTTGGCAGAGAAATTGGATAACCTCCCCTTGAGGCAACGAACACTGTTGCAGGGAGGGGTATTGGAAGCTTTCGGCCTGCCCGTATTCTCCTTCATATACTTCCGTTGGTTCCGAAAACGCAAAAAAGCTCTGCTGCTCTTTGGTCTGGGAAAACCTTTACCATCCTGGTGTCTCAAATCCACAGGCGGAGGAATTCTACGTGTGCATTTACGCAGCCCGCGAGGGAGACTATGTGTTGTTCTACCACGAGGGCGGCGTGGATGTGGGGGATGTTGATGCTAAGGCTCAGAAGCTGCTGGTGCGCGTGGACGAGAAGTTGGACGAACCCAGCGTCAAGAAGCATCTACTGGCACATGCCCCGCCGAACAAGAGAGAGTAATTCTGAAATCTTGCTCTTTTTATACACATATTAAAATGTTAATTGTGGGTTATGGACAGTCGTGTTTTACATGACCGTGCAGGGTAAGTACCCCAGCTCTCCCCCCCCCCCCCCCGAGTAGAGCTGGGCGATATATTGATAAGTTGTCCGAAACTGGTATGGCGTTCAGATTGCAGCAGCTCCAGTTGCCTGCGGATGAAAAAGGCTCAGGCAGGCAGGCAGATCCTGAGAAGGTTCTGGTGAGCACCTTCTTGGACTCCATCTGCCTATGCCCTTGAGGAAGCCCCCCGCCCCTCGTGAGCCTGAGCAGCATCGGGGCTTGCTCAGCTGGGGGGTGGTGGTGGAAGGCTTCCCATCCCCCATCTGAGCAGTTTTAATGAAGCACCGACGCTCCTCGTTTGCACGAGAGCAGGGGAGGTATCTGGCCTCGCTCACTAGGGCTGGGTGATGCATCCCTGCTGCTGTTTCTACCTCCCCTAACTTGGGGGAACAAGAAGCGGGTGAGATACATTCCAGACGTTGTGGTATATCAGCACATCACGGTATTTAGCTGCTCATATAGCACAGTGTTGAGAACCAGCCCTACTCCTGAGAAGAGCTCTGTTTTGAAGTCATCCAAAAGGTGTCTTCTGGTTTGCTTTTACAGTGGTACCTTGATTTACAACCATAATCTGTTCCGGAGGTCCGGTTGTAAACCAAAACAGGTTGTAACCCAAGGCGCACTTTCGCCAATGGGGCCTCCAAAAAAAGGGGGGGCTTGTAAAAAAAAAGAAGAAAGGGACACACACTTCCGGGTTTGACTTTGTTATAATCCAAAACGGTTGCAAACCAGGGTACCATTGTATATGGTAGGTAGAGGTTCCCGGGAAGGGTTTGGAAAATGCTTCTAGGCCAGCTTTAGTTTAAAGGGACAGGAAGGAACTGCTTTTCAGTACAGTGGTACCTCTGGATGCGAACGGGATCCGTTCCGGAGCCCCGTTTGCATCCTGAAGCGAATGGCAACCTGCGTCTGCTCGTGCACGGGTTGCAATTCGCTGCCTCTGCGCATGCGCGTTACGTCATTTTGAGCATCTGCGCATGTGCGAGTGGTGAAACCTGGAAGTAACACGTTCCGTTACTTCCGGGTTGCCGCGGAGCGCAACCCGAAAATGCTCAACCTGAAGCAACTTCAACCCGAGGTATGACTGTATCAGATTTCAGTTATGTTCCTCCTCTAGCATCTGAAGCTGTCAGGCAGGACTTCCACGCTCAAGGCCCGGGTATACCTGTGGCTGGGGCAGGCCAGCCCTATAGTGGTTGGCTGGGCTTGCACCAAAGCTTGTAGTTGCCACTTGCTTCGCCCCCTCTGCCCCTCTCTGGACAAGATCCCCTCCAACCAGCCATTCCCAAAGGAGACACCAGTGGATAGGGGAACATACCCTTCTGGACAACAATGCTTGAAGGTGCCCTGAACAACTTTGGGTAGCAGTGCCCAGCTCTCCTCCGCCTGCGTTCCTTGCTGTAGCAAGAAAAGCCGGCCCAGGGAGGGTTTCCTGTTGGGCCCTGCATGGCAGAGGCTCTTTAGGCATCTTGACCAAACAACCCCAAGCCTTCATCTCGGCATAGGAGCTGGGGCAGTGGCAGGGACTGCAGCGCAACCCACAGGACAACCCTTCACCTGCCTCTGCGGCTTCGAAGTCTGGAGGAAGGCCAGCAGCTCGCTATAGGGAAGTGCTGCTTGCTATGGCGAGCATAATTGTCTGAAGTCCACCTGTGGTCTTTAAGAAAAGCATCCTTAGTACTCACAAAGGTTGGTAGAGAAAACATCCTCTGTTTTTCTCCTGTCCTTTTTTTGTTTCTGTGGTGGTGAACGGCTGGGTTCTTCCCCCCCCCTTTCTTTTCTTTTTAGACTAAAAAATCATTTTCTCGACAAGGAGGTGCCCTGCTGACATTTTGAAGGAGCCTGCTTTCCTTTTAATGTCGTCTTCAGGCGGATAATAAATGGCCTTTAGGGAGGGATCGCGATGGCAGATGACGCAGTCCCAATGTCTGACTCATTCAGGCCTGGGCGTCTGAAACCTCAGCTGGACTGAGGGCAGACAGACTGAAGGAACTAACGATAGGGCTGTATAACAGGCCCAATGTGGAGTGTCTTTGGTGTGCACCCATTTGGTTTGGATGAATTTGTCTGTGTCTGTGTCTGTTTTCCCATTTTGTGTGTGTTTCTGCCTTCTTTATATAGTGTCTTGGCGAGCTTCATCTCTGGCCTCTTCAATCTTTACGAAGACTTATATTTTACATACCTGGAAATCAATCCGCTAGGTAACTCCTCTCTGTTGTTTTCAGTGAAATGTCCACATCTCATTCATTCTGTATTCTGCAGTTCTCAATTATACGGCGAAGTGTGGTAGAATAGAAAATGAAGATGGAGCACGGGCCGCTCGCTGCAGACAGGCAATGCATTTCCATGAACTTGTTCTTGTCAGAGTAATTTAAATTAGGCCTCCTCCACAAACAGGGAGCGTAGAAAGTGTCCATTAGTCTTTGAGAGCGCTGATGCAAGCGAACCTTTCCAGAGATTAATTTTGATGTCCAGTTCTCACAAGCCTCCAGAAACGAGGGTCAAACTAGATGCAATATAAAATGCACTGTCGTCATTCTCCCTCCCTTGTGAGTTTAAAATAACAACCATGTCCCCTCTCAGCTTTAAAAATAAATAAATTAAAATAAACAAAAGGGTGAATGATGAAGAACAATGATGTTTAGCATCACATCTAGTCTGGTCCTGAGAAATCCACTTTGATCAGAACATGTAGCATCCTTTATTTCCGAGGATCACTTAATATTTTTATTTATCTAGGAATTTTATTTGACATGGGATATATTGTGCAAATTCACTGCATCCTTGCCTGCATGTAGCAGGCATGGTTGGTGTATTGCATGATGTGTGACTTTCCCTTCCCCCAGCTCTATAATTCCCAGGGGCTTCTTTTGGCCTGTGGTGGGTATATGCAGGAAGCAGAGGTGGGGGTGGGGATGACAAATTTGCCTGCCACTTCTTGTTGTTGTTAAATATACATACTGCTTATATGCCAATATGGCTTCCAAGTGGTTTGCAACTATAAAATCAACCCACAATTAAAATACACGTAATATTAAAACATCCTTAATTGAAATATACAATCAAACAAATAACAAAAAAAGCCGCTAAAAACCCACCTCTCAGATTAAAAGAACTAAATACTTAATAACCAGACCCACGTGTCTTCATGAAAAAGGAGGGGGGACGACCCACAGATCATCATTAAACTATTATGCACTTAATGCATTCAGGAGATAGTTGTAAGAGAGGTATTTGTAAGAGAGCACATTTCTATTCAGTGAAAGTTGGCTTATTCATGTGTTACGCAATGTTACTGGCCTTTCACCCAGTAAAGATAAAAGGGAAAAGTCTAGCTCCTCTTTCAGGCCCTGAGGGAGACACATTTTTTAAAAATACTTCAGGATCCACTGTGTTTATTTTCTAAGTAAAGGTTTTGTTCTGAGTCTTTGGATGCTTTTGTTTTGTTTTGTTTTCTGGGGTACTCCTGTGATGTGAAGCAGCCTGCAGCCATGTTCAGAATAGTCAGAAGTAGTTTGCTGCAGACTAAAAGGCACTTTGGCACAAAAATATCACAGAAAGTGACCATGTATGGAGTTGACCTTGTTCAGCATGGGCTGGCTGTGGGTCTTGGGTAGATGTTAGCCACCCCTGTCTTTTCTGCGTCCAGATTTATTCCAGAAGTGTGCCCCAGCCATTGGAAGGTGCTGGTTGTGCTATGATGGTGGATCTGGTTCAGCACTCAACAGGGAAAGACCCCATGAAATTGAGAACCATTTCCTACCTAGGCAACGCCTTGAAACTAGATGTTTTCCATTCGTTTTTCCTTGTTAGCTGGTTCATGCTGACCTCCTCCTCCTTCTTCTGTCTCCCCCTCTCCCTTCACCAACAAAGTTGTAACCGCAGATGGCGTTTATGTTCTTGACCTTGCTGCGAAGATCGACGCAACGGCTGACTATATCTGCAAAGTGAAATGGGGCGATGTGGATTTCCCCCCTCCCTTTGGAAGAGAAGCTTATCCAGAGGTAAAAGAAAAGGGCTGCTCTTAGGGTGGTGTTAGGGAATTAAGGTAGCCTAAGTGCGTTCTGTTGAGCGTGAGGCTCCTTGACTTCAGCTAACGTGCAAAAAAGCCTCCATCTCGAAATCCGAATTCCCATCAGAACAGTTTGGTCCCACTTTGGTCTCCCAAAATCCCCTGTGTCTTGTTGCTTGGCAGAATGTCTCCAGCGTTTATCTGATGCTCTGGCATTTCTTAATTTAGTAATTACAGCAATTGCACAAAATACAAACCAAGGTGGAAGGTTGTTGTTTTTTTTTAAAAAAAGAATTGTTGTCTAGCCAAGAAATCCATTTAGATACCTCTTTTCTTCCCTGCCTGCCAATCCCCATTAGTGTGTTATGGCTCAAGTGCTGACACTTAACTCAATTTGGCCAGGTTTCTAATGGATGAGTTTTAAAAAAAAACAACACAACCTCACTGAATCATCCCCCTTGCCAGGCACTAATGAAGACTCTTAGACTCTACACTTGTTAAGAATGTTAATGAACTTGGGCCTGGCCTCTGCAAGAACAGAAATGAATGTTCTCAAAATGCACAGGATAGGAGCAGCTCCCATAGGAAGGCCCAATCTCTGTTATTAACTGAGGTTTGGGCCCCTACCCAATCACTTCATCAACCCCCTTTTTCTTCGTACACCTTTCTTGAACATTGGTTCTTTCGTCCGTCCCTCCAGTGGTAGCTGTGGTAGTTTGGCTAGCCTTGGAGATGAACAGAAAGCACCCCTCCTGTTTTTCACTGGTTTTTCTTTCTCTCATTTTGGGGGGTGCTTCTACAGCATTATTTGGGACCTGGGGTAGTCCAGCTTCCTTCCTCTTCAGATCTAATATTTGCACCAGAGATTTACATTGGCCTGGAATCATTTAACTATAATTTATCAGATTCCCATAGCACCTCACAGTATAAAATTGCCAGGATGACAAGTCTGGTATCCATACTTGACAGGGTGGGGCAAGCACAGGGGCCCATTATCCCTGGAGGACCAAACACAACTGATACCTGGCTGCCTTTTTTAGAAATAATAATAATAAGGTTTTTTTTTAAGTGGCTTGATACTTTGAAGAGAAACCCCGGTCCAGGCGGTGGCTGAATCCCTCCAACGTTGATCTTCAATACCTCTGCCCCCATCAAACACCACTGGGCAGATAGAGTTGTGTTGCTTTCAACACTGCCACCCATCTCTTCTGCCTCGTTAGTTTTTTTGGGTGAAAGAGTGGGAAAGTTTATCATGCCTGTGGCCTCCTCAGACCTGGCCTTGACCTTACAGGCTTGTTTACATTATTATTATTATTATTATTATTATTATTATTATTATTATTTTCAGCTTAACAGGAGACTTGGGTTGAGAGATCAAGGGAATGCCTGTGTAAAAGGTGTGCCAAATGTTGTGACCTCCCTCAAGGAATCATGGAATCGTATTGATGTAGGGGGAGAGGAGCCATGATCGATGACACACCTTGTAAATTCCTGAGGGTGGGACTAGATTTTATCTTTGGAAACATTGGTTTCAATATACGTGTTTGAAAACACAGAAATGAGTGCAAAGATGTGCACCTTGCCCCATTTTGACTCCAGAAAAGACATTTATCTGGCTTCATAACTCAATGAGTGAGCGAGTGTCATTTAAATTGATCTACGGGCATTTGTGGGGGAAAATGGAAATATGGGGAAAGGATTACTTGCTCCTCCTTTATTTCCCCCCACAAATGCCTCTGGCTTTGTGTTATGAGAGAAGTGCGGAGTTTACTGTTTTGTCCTTAGAAGTTTTGATTCTAATAATATGTGGGCTCTTGTCTGCAGGAAGCCTATATCGCTGACCTAGACGCCAAGAGTGGAGCCAGCCTAAAGTTGACCATCTTGAATCCCAAAGGCAGAATATGGACCATGGTGGCTGGAGGCGGCGCCTCCGTAGTGTACAGGTACCAAGCACATATCTTGTGGGAGTGGCAGCTGAATAATGTATGGTTCATCCTAAACTCCAAGTTCCATCTTTTGATTAGTCATCGTTTGCTCTTCCTTGCCCAATCATCCCACACGGGTTAATCATTGTTGGAATGGAATGATGAGACTTTTGAGAGGTCCCTGGAACTCTCTCGGCGGTACATTGCCCTTAATACTTAGGAGATTTTGCTGTCCCTGAAATGGAGCCTACGCTTAGGCCTTAGACAACATATTCCATATAAATACACAGACTGATAACCTGATACATGATTTGCCACCCTGGGAATCTCTGCTATTTTTGCTTTGCTTTCAAAATGCAGTTGTAGCAAAAATGTATAGTGAGAATTCTCAGGTGTTTAGGCTTGTGGAGCGCGGCTTCACATATCAATGCTTGAGAGGCATGGTGGTCCTGCCACATTTTTCTCCAGTTGCCATGGTGGCTGGAAGAAACTGTGCTTAGGCTCAGTTATGACCACTGCTGGGTAAATTCTTACCAACACTTAACTTTGGGAAGCCGAGCATATTTTATGCAAGATAATTTGATACGCATGCACACACTTCAATTCTGCTAAGCGGGTTCTAATCCTCGCTAACTAAACTGGCTTCTCTGCAAAGTTCAAAAAAACCCCACCTCCCACTGTTGGCTGAGCTGCTGTGTTGTCACATGAACATTTTATTTTAACTACTGTGGCGGGATTTTCTGACTGAAGAGCAGTTCAGCCAGGCTAGCTGATGCTCTTGCCTCAGTTCCTCATTGTGAACTAGGAATGCAGCCTCGTTCTTGCTCCGCTTTCCACAGGGTCTTATGGGCATCCTTAGTTTCGCAGACTGAGCCGTCTTAATATCACTTGTGTGCTTTCCACTTAGTGACACCATCTGTGACCTTGGTGGGGTGAACGAACTCGCCAACTATGGCGAATATTCCGGAGCGCCCAGTGAACAGCAGACCTACGACTATGCCAAGACTATCCTCTCCCTCATGACACGGGAAAAGCACCCAGAAGGTAAAAGAGAATGTGTGGGGTGGGCGGCACTTTAAGCCTGGGGACTGTTAGAATTCCTCCTCCATGATTGCAGTCATGGGATTGTTGTCTATCACATGATGGTGTATGTTTTGACTCCACAGAGTGGGAAGTCACGGAGACAGGATGTTTAAGTTACTCTGTTCCACGAAGTGGGACTATTGTCCCTCATTCTTTTTCTCTTTGCTGTCTGATGCTAGAGAGAGAGGGAGCCATGTTGCAGTGCTGCATGTGTGTTAATATGCAAATAAAGTAGATTAGCCAAAATGCTGAGTTGCTGAGGTCTGTTATGCATGATGCGCAAACTCTACAGATCCCTAATTGTGCCGGTGTCTGTTGGCATCGGTCGCTATGATGTTCAGGCTGAAGAAAGCTTTTGAAGCTCCCGAACGATCGACCAGGAGGGAGAGAACATGCCAGTTGGGCATGTGTCTCTGCCAGGGTCCTACTCAAGTGTAGGCCGAGCTTCTGACAGGGACCATTCTGATTGGCCCAGGAGGCCATGCCCAACCAAATCCCCCTCTGACCAGCCATGTTCCACACCTTCCTCGAGCATTTTTGGCCTTCCTGGAATGAGCCACTGAACTGTGATATTGTCTCTTGGATGCGGAATGGAGAAAGGTGTGTTTTGTGTGTGGATGTAGAAACCTTGGGTGCGCCTTTTGTGTGTCAGGAGTGTGGTTTACTGTGGAAAGCTGTTTCATAGAAATACTTGTTGCTCTTCGACGCAACACCTTGGTGGTCGGACGTTGGAACCACCGTTCTCTTGAACCCATCCTAGTGCCTAGAAATGACCCAGTTAATGGTCCATGCTGGGCTGGCCAGGAAAAAGAATGTGACAACAAGCAAGGGAGAAGCAGATAAAGAGAAGAGAGGGAGCTGGCAGGTAGAGAAACTCAGATGGGGAAGGAGGAGAAGGTCAATGAGAGGTGAGAGGAGGAGGGACAAGAGGAAGGAACAGTAGCAGGAAGGACCCGGTTTCTGACCTGGAAATGCTCCTACCTGGCTCAGTGAAAGCCGAGGGGCATCTTAATGGCCTCCTGGCCCCACAACCAGCTAGATCCTTTGGGGACTGAGACTCCCTGCCCCAGTGGTCCTCTAGGAAGGCCTAGCCTCAACCAGACCCTACAGGACTTCTACCCTGGTGCATTTTCACCAACACCTTCCAAAGAAGCTGGTAAGCATTTAAGTCCTGCAACTGCTTGCTGCTGAATGTGGTGATAATGAGTGATTGGGTTTGTGCAAAGCTTTCCAAATGACAGCTTTTCTCCCACCCCCCGAGACATCTAGGTGCATTCAGAATTTCTTCAGGGAACCAATGTGTGCATGTTATTTTAAAATGACCAATGTCTATATTGGAGCATCCTCCTGGCCAGTGCTGGATTTACATATAAGCTAAACAAGCTATAGCTTAGGGCCCCACTCTCTTGGGCCCCCCCCCCAAAATTAAAGGAAAACTGGATGTACCTATTACTAGAAATACCGTCTTTTACACTCACTAAGTGTAACAGGGTACAAAGGTCTGCTGTTCCAATGAACAGTGTGGGCTGCTATGGTGATATTGACATTATATAAAAAATCCATTGTATTAACGACAATTGCATTGTACAGGTTATAACCTTAATTTCATATTAATAAAGCTATTTATAATTATTAGTAGTTTGCATCATATATTTACACCTATTATTATTTCATTTTATAGTGAGTTTCTAGAGACTAGATTATGAGTCTTTGTAAATTGTGTTTCTAAAGGAACTCTTGTTATTGCCAAATGCCAACGTGTTTGCATTATTAAGTTTGTTATGAATAAAAAATCATTTTAAGTTAGAGCTTAATAATTATTTCACTATTAATATACTACTACTTCGTTGTATTTCACTGTTAATATACTTCTTCTTAATTGTATTTCAGTTCAACAATTACTTTGATAAAAATACATATTTTGTTAGGTGCAAATGGCTTTAGATACCTATCAGGTCCATCAATTAGCATATAGCATATATTCAACACAAAAAACAGCGACAATTTGTTGTTGACAAAGGACAGCTGGACATATAAAGGGCCTCGTTACCTTCAGTAGCTTAGGGCCTCATCAAACCTAAATCCAGCCCTGCTCCTGCCTATCAGCTGCTTCTAAAGCACTCCAGGCCTAGGATTATGTTCTGGTATTTCTTAACAAATCAATTCCTTTCTCTTCCCTCTTGTTCCTTCCTCTACCTTGCACAGGCAAAATCCTGATCATCGGAGGGAGCATTGCTAACTTTACCAACGTGGCTGCCACCTTTAAGGTAAAGTTGATCCCGAAAAGGTGCATGGCACTGGTCATTCATATTGGCATCCTCATCTGAGTACGCTGGTAAAGAAACATTTACGTTTTGCTGAGTTTCCAGGGTGGATTCGAACTGAATTGAATGGGCTGTTGACTCAGCACTGTCTGTGCGAGTGCCGAGGGAACTTAGGTTTTGTCTGGGGCAAGTGCTGCAGCGCTGTGATGAGGTTCAGTACTCTTGCGAGGATCAAAAAATAGGAACTGCCTCTAGTCTTTCATCCTAGTTGCAGTGCACTGACCAAGGTAGCCTGTCCTTCAGCTTCTGTGGTGAGAGGAGGCAAGATCAGGCGAGGCAGAGAGATGTGGTGTGAGCATCGTTAATGTGGATTTTGTTGGCTTGATAGCTAGAGCTAGCCATGAGTGTCTGTGCATGATTCTCTGTTTTTAATATTTCCTTCTGCAGGGCATTGTGAGGGCTATTAAAGATTATCAGGGTCCTCTGAAAGAGCATGAGGTCAGGATCTTCGTGAGGAGAGGAGGCCCAAACTACCAGGAGGGCTTACGAGTCATGGGGGAAGTAGGTGAGTAACCCTGAGGATTATTTAAACTTCAAATACTTCCTGCTTCCTCATTTGCTTTCATTTGTTTTTGCTCTCAGCCCAGGTCCTTAGCCTCATTTAAAGAGTGCTGATGACAGCTGGCAACAAAGGTTTCTCAATATGGCCCCTGGGGTTCCCCATCTGACTTCCAGCATGGCTGATGAAAAGAACCTTCATGCCCCTCAGCCAATCTCTTGAACTTGAGCCCAGAAGCAGGAGAAGGAAAGCCAGCAGACTTTCCAGTGCTTGCTCTGTTCAAAACATGGTTCTCTGTTTAAAAACCAGTGGCTGGCCCCAGGGCATTAAAGACTTGGTAACTCCAACTTTTGACAATTCGGGCTACATTTTTTTTATGCTGCTAGATTAAGACTTCTCTCTTACACTGTCTCCCAGTAGTACTAAACTTAACCGGTGATGGTCATTGCTGTGTACCCATGATAAAGCAAGGCCTCTCTTTAACTTCACCATACAGTGGACGCTCAGGTTGCGAACATGATCCATGTGGGATGCACGTTCGCAACCCACAGCGGCGCAGTGCGTTTCTGCGCTTATGCGCAAAGCGTGATTTAGCGCTTCTCCGCATGCGCGACTGCCGAAACCCAGAAGTAACCTGTTCTGGTACTTCCAGGTTTCGGCGGTCCGTAACCCAAAAAAACGCAACCTGAAGCGTCTGTAACCCGAGGTATGACTGTATTTCTAGAGCGAGTCTTTGCCAGGGAGGCTGCAGCCTGCTCTGATTCTGCTCTTTTTCTTTTGCATTCAGGGAAAACTACTGGCATTCCTATCCACGTCTTTGGTACGGAGACCCACATGACTGCCATTGTCGGCATGGCACTGGGACACCGGCCCATCCCAAACCAGCCTCCCACGGCAGCCCACACGGCAAACTTCCTCCTCAACGCCAGCGGCAGCTCCTCGGTAAGGCTGGTACTGCAAACCTGAGAGCCGGAGTGGTTAACAGTGTCAGACTAGGACAGGGGAGTAAAGGTAAAGGGACCCCTGACCTTTAGGTCCAGTCGTGACCGACTCTGGGGTTGCAGCGCTCATTCGCTTTATTGGCCGAGGGAGCCGGCGTACAGCTTCTGGGTCATGTGGCCAGCATGACTAAGCCGCTTCTGGCGAACCAGAGCAGTGCACGGAAACGCCGTTTACCTCCCCGCCGGAGTGGTACCTATTTATCTACTTGCACTTTGATGCGCTTTTGAACTGCTAGGTTGGCAGGAGCAGGGACCGAGCAGTGGGAGCTCACCCCGTTGTGGGGATTTGAACCGCCGACCTTCTGATCGGCAAGTTCTAGGCTCTGTGGTTTAACCCACAGCGCCACCCACGTGCCACCAGGGTTCAAAACTCCAGATGGCCTTGAAGCTCGCTAGGTGACCCTGGGCCTAGTCACTGCCTCCCACTCTAACCTACCTCACAGGGTTGTTGCAGAGGGATTAAAGGAGGGAGGAGAGAACCTTGTAAGGCCGCCTTGAGCTCCTTGCAGGAAAAGGCGGGACCTGCCGGTAAGAAATAATAATAACCCTATAGCACAAGGGTGGCTTATTTCCTGGCCCGAGGACCCACACTGATCCAGCCACCCCTTCAAGGGTCACATGCCAGTTCACGCATAGATCACATGCAGGCACACTCAATACGCATTCATGCTCGCCACAGGAACAAATGCACACAAACTTAGGTAGACAGCCCTCCCTGCTCCAGCACTGGGAATGTTGCCTTTTATGCTTAAAGAGTAAGGATTTATCTCCTGTCTTGGTGCTGTGGCATTCAGTACTAAGATGAGAGGTGGAAGTTTCCTCTTCCTGCCCTTTAGGGGAGATTTCTAAAGAGCAGGCAGAGGGATTTCATCTCCTTCCACTGTGGTTTGGTGGGCTGGATTGGGGCTGTGTGTGTTAGGGAGCCACTAACCCCCTTTTTTCTGGCTTCTCTGTTCCCCTTCAGACCCCAGCAACAAGCAGAACGGCATCTTTTTCTGAGTGCAGACCCGACGATCTGGCTCCGGCAAAGAAGGCAAAGCAGACAACGCTTTCTGGTAAGCTCCCGGTTTCTCTCCCGTTTCTTCGGATTCCCTCGCAGTGCTGCTTTCGCATTCCTGCGTGCTCTCCCTTTGCACTGGCTGCTGGAGCGTGGAAATCGGAAACGTAATATTTTCAGGGAATCCTTTCCATGTCTGTCCGTTCGTCCCCCTCTGCCCCCGCCCTGCCAAGGAGCATTTCCCATGGAATCCCTGCATTTTGCAGATAATTTTGGTAGCACGCTCTCTCCTTTTGCATGTTGCGTTGACCGGGTCTGTTATGCCTTGTTTCTTGCCTTGAGGAAAAACCCCTAGGCATCATTGTGTCTTTCTTTAAATTCAGGGACGGGGTGGGTGGGTTGGAGATCTTCTGAGCATCGCCTTCCACTGGAAACCTCCCCGTCAGCATATGAGCATGTAACATCTTTGCACATAGCACCACCCACTTCCTGATTTGTGCAAGGCAAGGTTTTTAGCTTCCGTTGTTGGCAGCTGCAATGTGAAACCAGTGCTGTTTGCAGGAATGTGGCTCTGGGTCTGCCTCTTGTGGGATCCTCTCCCTTCCCTGGAACTTTTATCTCCCACACCAACTCTCCCTGCACATCCCTGGGGTTGATGCCCCAAAATTTGAGATCCACCGATTCTGGGCCAGTTGCCCGCCACGATAGTTTTCACACACATATCCTGCCCCGCATTGACTGACACCTTTCCCCCTTTCCCTACTATCCTGGTAAGATTCGAAAGAGCTCCTGGGTTCCTAGACACCTGGTTTGAAAACCACTATACTTAAGATTGCAGTCGCTTAAGCCCCTATCCCAACTATCCCCCCCACCCCCGAGCGTAATGTGAGACGAAAGCCAAGACAGGCAGCCTTGTCGGATTTCTTGCAATGGTGATTCTCTCTTTAACAGATGCGTCCCCACCTCCGAGACCTGTTCAAGGTAGGACCCCACCACTAGCTCAGCTCAGTGTCCAGCCTTGCTACCAGCTGCTTGTGCAGTTATTTTTCAACGGGTGTCCTGTGTGGTTTTTGGTTTGGGTTGGCCGGTGTTATTCCTGCTCTTTACCCTTGCAGTTTTGTTGCCTGGTTTGTCCCTGTCCCCTCTTGTCCCTGGTAATGTGGCTTTTTAAAAACACCTCTCTCTATCTCTCTTCTTTCCCCTCTTGCCTCTTATTTATTTTAATTTCCCCCCCTAAAACACAATTGTGGGAAAAGAAGGGCCTATGATCACCAACTACCATATTAGTCTGCATATAAGTCGCCCTCGAATGCAGGCCACACTCCTAAAATGAAATATCTTTGAAAGTGGGGAGGAAAAATACCGTAAATCGCTGGCAGCATCCAGTGTCTTTCTAGATTCCGCTCACAATGAACAGTTCTCTGGGCAACCAGTGCCACCTGTTGAGAAGGACGGGCAATGGTTATACAAAAGGTCCCACCTTAAACCACAGCTTTTCTATCTGTTAAGACTGTGACTATAGACCTGTCTCAGGTTTTATGCAAGCCAGAATTGGGAAAGAGTGCAGACTATATTCAGACTGATGTGGTATTATTGTCAAGTCTTTGTAAACCTCTCCCTTGCTCTCAGGGTGGTACAGTTCCAATGTAATCTTTATTGGCCCTCCTGCTATTGAATTGTGAGCTGGTTTGCCACTGACTTTGCAGGTGTCAGGCATATAGTGCTTTCACCCCCCCATAGCCAGTGGTTTTTAGTGCAGTGCTACAAATTCAGACAGTGTGTCTCTTTATCTTTTCCTGTCTCTATTCCTGCTCTTTCATCGGCACCATCTTATCCTTTAGTCACTGGAGTTTAGAGTAAGCTATTCTTGCTGAGGAATTTTCTGTTGGGAATCTTCATCTGCTAGATTTTAATAGACTCACAGGAATGCAGTGCTATAGTACAGGAGATGCTATTCCAACAATGACAACAGCGTCCTTCAGTCAAAATATTCCCAGGAAGGATCACACCAATAAAACCATTGCAAAACAAGTTTTTCCCCTGTGGCTTACAGTTTGTGGTTTGTCTGGGGAAGCTGAACCACCAGCTGGGTTTGGACAACACGCTAAGCCCAAATAATGGCTTGGCTTAGCTTAGCACAGCGAAGAAACAGCTGGGAACCTCCTCTCTGGGAGCCCGCATGTTGGTTCGCTTGCTCACATTAAGCCATAGCACAGGGGTAAGCAACCTAAGGCCCGTGGGCCACAAGTGGCCCGGGGGAGTCGTTTAACCAGCCCACGAGCCACCCCTGAACTGAGCTGCCTGCTTAGCGAATCCCTGTGCGCTGCGCTAAACTGGTGCAGCACAGCACTGGGACTTGCTTCCGCATTGCCAGAAATTGCGTCTGCGCAGACGCAGATGCCGAAAATCACATCTGCGCAGATGCTGAAAATCGCGTGCGCAATCCGATCCCTGCATAGCATTACCTCAGCGTTGCATGTGGACGAGGGCGCTAAAATAACTTCTTGCATATTGCCTGCCGTTCCTTGATGGAAGAGCAGCAATAAGCGAATCAAATCCTGGACTTCTCCTTCCAGATAGGAGCCGGGATACTTGTTTTCTTGGCCCTTCTCCCTTGTTTTCATCCTGCCTCTGTTTCCTGCTCCCTTTCCCAATCCTTTAGGCACTTTAAGGTTTGGTCTATCATAAATAAAAACCCAAATACCCTTTGTTTACCCTATCCCACTTTAGCATTTGTGGTAGATTGTGGTGGTTTTTAGAAGTCTGGTTGGTGTGTTTAAGCTGCTTTTGTGTGCTGCCACTCAGCAGAATGAAACATTGGGTGGGTAGGTGGGATCTCTGGTTGGGGACTTCCCTGGGAGTGTGTTTGCGTGTTGGCGATAGAGTGGCTGCCATTGTAATGAAAACCACCGGGGCAACCTTCCTCAGCCCAATGCTCTCCAGATGTTGACTCCATCCTCCCTGACTGAAGGTCTGATGGAAGTTGGAACCCAACAATACCTGGAAGGCCACTCCTGTTTTAGAATCATCATTACAGCTCCTAGTTCCAAATTAGCTTTCAGTACCTACAACAGGAAAAGCATATTGCAATGGAGAGATTGCCCACCTTTGTAATAAAATACTGGGCAATCTTGTTGGTTGCTCCCCTGTCCCCACAGGTGTCAGGTGTTTGGGATTACAATTGAGGAGCTCTCAAACTTCGCTATAAGTGAACTTTCAAGTCTCAAATCACTGCTTCCCAAGTCTGCAGATGTACCACAAGACAAATCCAGATACCCATATACTCAGCTTTACAGGTGCTGCTGTGGTTGGCTGGTTTTCAGTCTTGTGGTTTCAATATTGATCAGGTTCCATTTTATGTAAGTGGCCTTGGGGATCCCTCTGAGATAGGAGGGAGGTGTAGAAAGCTGTGGGACACCTGTTGTTCCCCCCGCCCCTTCAGCACTTCCAGGTATGCTCCGAAACGTGTAGCTGGGCATTTCAGCATTATTTCAAAAATCCTGATAGCTGAATTAAAATGGGAGGCATGTCACTCTTATACTTGAGAATGCTTGTGGGTTTTTTTGTTTGTTTTGTTTTTCGAGGATAAGATCTGCGCTGAGAGAAGTTGCCCTTGCTTCTGCACAAGTTGCTGTTTAGAGCCAGAGGCGTAGCAAGGTCAGGTGGTACCCAGTGCGGAAATCCTTTTGTCGCCCCCCACATTGCAATTTTTGGGAACGTGGCCCAAAGTTGTTGAGCTTCTTTTAGGGAGGGTGCCCTAGAGTTGTTGAGCTTTTTTCGCCATCAGTGGTCAGATTTTTGTGATCGGCGGGTGGCGCTCACATCACCTGTGGCCACTGATCGTGAAAATCCGACCACAGATTGCAAAAATACGCCCGCCAGGGATACGAGTGCTGCCTGCCGGGGAGTGCCAGGCTGATTGCTGGCCGTATTTGCGTGATCAGCGGGTGGATTTTCACGACAACGTTCACACCAGTCGCAAAAATCTGCCCACCAGGGGTGCGAACACCACTATGCCTATCAACCTGGGGGGATTTTGTAACCCACCCCCTAGGCATGACACCAGGGGCGGCCCGCACCCCTCACACCCACCTTCCATCGCCCCTGTTTAGAGCATGCCCTTGATTTGGAGAAAAGCAGAGACTCGTGCAGAGATGCAATGGGCAGCTTCCTCTAAAGCTGAATAGTTTTGTAATGGCTCTGCACCAGGGGTCACTGAATGATCCAATGCAGAGGCACACCAAAATTGTTCAGTTCAGAGTGTTTCACTCTCCTGGTGGGTGCTTAGGGATCACAGAAGCTTTCCAATATGAGTCTTTATTTATTACAGCTTCGGGAGTGAGAAGCGCAGTCGCTTTTCATTGTACTGATTTAGGGGAGCAGTTGGGTCAGTCAAGATGTCCATTTAAGAGGGGATTTTCAGAAACGCCCCAAGATTGTCTGAGCCCCCTTTGGAAGAAGCTTACAGCTTTGTTTACATATCTTTGTAAGAATAGCCAGTGTGTAAGAATAGCCAGTGTGGTGGACAGGAAACCTTCCCAGTAAGAACCTGGTGACTTTGGCTGCTTTCTGTCTCTCATGCTTTGCTTCCTACGAATGGCTGGTATGCGCCTCCTTCCTGTAATGCAGAGAGAGATGTTTGGCCAGGGATGGCTTTTGCGGTCGTGTGCCTGGCCATGCACTGCCGCTTGGAGCCTTTCTGTATGGATGTTAAACGTCTGGCCCTGGGCGGGCGGGGTCGTCTTCTCTTTTCCCCTCATGCAGGTAAAGCCACCACCTTGTTCAGCCGCCACACCAAGGCGATTGTCTGGGGGATGCAGACCCGGGCTGTGCAAGGCATGCTGGACTTTGACTACGTCTGCTCCAGAGACGAGCCTTCAGTGGCTGCCATGGTTTATCCATTCACGTATGTTCGCCGCGCCTCCGTCCTATGTGAGGGGGTGGGGGCTGCTCCCATTGCTCTTCCTGCATCTCAATTCCTTTCTGCCATTTTTCTGTGGCTGTGGAACTTTGTGGCTAGGCTGGGACAAGCGCTGTCCTGCTAAATATTATATATTTTCTCTTTTTCCCTCTTTTATTGCAAACTTGGACATTGCTTTTGTGCTTTGCCCTCCTTAATCTGGTTCCCTTTCATCTCTTGTCTCGGATTGAGGCCCCAGTGCAGTGCCGGATTTACGTATAAGCTAAACAAGCTATAGCTTAGGGCCCCACTCTCTTGGGGGCCCCAAAAAAATTCAAAGGAAAAAACACTGGATGTACAATTCCAAAATATAAGATAAAAAACAGATAAAATAAAACCTACATACAGCAACAGTGTTTTGTGTTGTGTAGGCTCCTGTGATGTACGTCATGGGCCCCATCTGCTAGCCTGCTCCCTAAAATATCACTGGTTTGCTCCTTTCTATATATAGGGTGCCTACATTCTGCATGGACTGGTTGCCTCGCAACATGTGCAAATGGCTTGAGATACCTATTAGGTCCAGAAATTACCATATAGCATATATTCAACATAAAAAACAGCGACAATTTGTTGTTGACAAAGGACAGCTGGACATAGAAAGGACCCCATTACCTTCAGTGGCTTAGGGCCTCATCAGACCTAAATCTGGCTCTGCCCCAGTACATCCCATATCCTCCTGCATCATCTAAGTTACACCTACCGTGCATTGCAGCCTGTGTCATGGTCCTTGGCATCATTTGACATTACCTGGTCCTGGGGATTACATAGTACTTGTAGAATCTCTGCCATGCATGTACTTGTTGCTTCTTTCCACAAACTAGCAAGCTGGTAGAATTCCATTATCGCCCATTGCATTTGCATAGCTGCCCCTTTCCTGTCCTGTTTCCTTCCTTTTCTTTTCCGTGCTCCCGTTAGGGCTGGGCGATAACTTGTTTTCAACATCGTGATATATCACCAGCTAGACATCGCAATACATCACAATATCTGAAATAAGGATGGAGCTATGTAGAGGCATTGGCTGGCTTCATGGTTTTCCCCGCATCGTGGTTTTTGCATAGAGCACACACACACACACCCATCTTTGATTTGCAACATATTGCCAGGTCAAGAATTATGTAACCGATATCACAATACGGACCTCAAACTGGTTTTGGACGATATATCGCCTAGCCCTAACGCACGTCATGATTCGTGATTTATTGCCAGGCTAAAAATTATAAAACCAATATCAAGACAATAGACTTCAAACTGGTTTTGGACGATAGATCAATATATTGCCCAGCCCTAGGAAACTTGGCCACAGGTAAATTAGCTTCATCTTGGCTGTGCATAGAAAACTAGCCTGCCCCAAAGGAGACCAGGCTGGAGCCCTCCTGCTTCTGAGCTCTCTTCCTGAGGGATTGTTGTTTCTGTTGTATGGATGAGCATTCAGACATGTTTGCCCCTACCCTGAAGTCTGGCATACCAGATGGAGATTGACCACCTCAGGGAGAACTAAGGCTTAGATCGAGCCAGGAAAAGAAGTTCCCTTTTACCTACAGCAACAGAAGCTCCACAAGTGTTGCCCAAAGCAGTAATGCACATTCCCCACACTGGGAAACGTGCCACTGTTTTCGCCCGCATGTGCACCTTCATTTCTCTCTCTGTTGCAGCAGATAATTAATGTTGGGGCTTGTGATGCGTTTCCTTGCAGTGGGGACCACAAACAGAAGTTCTACTGGGGCCACAAAGAGATACTCATCCCCGTCTTCAAGAACATGGCAGACGCCATGAAGAAGCACCCGGAAGTGGATGTGCTGATCAACTTTGCATCCCTCCGCTCAGCCTACGACAGCACTGTGGAGACCATGAACCACCCGCAGGTGTGTGGAGTGGAGTTGGCGGGATCTGTGACCCAAGTTCTGAGGAGGAACAGAAGCGAACAAAAAATAATACAGTGGTACCTCGGGTTACATACGCTTCAGGTTACATACGCTTCAGGTTACAGACTCCGCTAACCCAGAAATATTACCTCGGGTTAAGAACTTTGCTTCAGGATGAGGACAGAAATCGCAAGGCCCCATTAGCTAAAGTGGTGCTTCAGGTTAAGAACAGTTTCAGGTTAAGAGTGGACCTCCAGAACGAATTAAGTACGTAACCCGAGGTACCACTGTAATTCCGTTCCTGTGCAAGCAGTTACACCACAGTTTCCAGTCACACGTAGACTGAATGTGCAAAGGGCAGAGGGGGATTGTGCCTGCTGGTTCGCCCTGTGCAGGGTTCCTGATCTTGTGGTATAACCCCTGTGCACATAGGGCTAGGGGGATGTGGATGGCGCTGTGGTCTAAACCACTGAGTCTCTTGGGCTTGCCGATCAGAAGGTCGGCGCTTTGAATCCGCGCAACAGGGTGAGCTCCCGTGACTCTGTCCCAGCTCCTGCCAACCTAGCAGTTCAAAAGCATGCCAGTGCAAGTAGATAAATAGGTACCGCTGTGGTGGGAAGGTAAACGGCGTTTCCGTGTGCTCTGGTTTCTGTCACGGTGTCCCGTTGCGCCAGAAGCGGTTTAGTCATGCTGGCCACATGACCCGGAAAGCTGTCTGCAGACAAATGCTAGCTCCCTCGGCCTGAAAGCGAGATGAGCGCCACACCCCATAGTCGCCTTTGACTGGACTTAACCGTCCAGGGGTCTTTTACCTTTTTAGCTGTATCCTTACACAAGGCTATATACACATATAGCTAACTGTGTCTAAGGGCCACATTCACAACTTCCATGAAATACACAAAAGTCAGGAGACAGAGCCATTGGGAACAGTCTTCTCCCCACCCGCCCCACCCCTGACCAAAATGATCTTTATACACAAGATCTGAAAAGCCGTAGCATTTAGTCAGTTCTGGATGAATGAGATATTTTCAAAGATTGGAGGGACAGAGCTGCTTTGCTTTTTCTGCCCCCCCCCCCCACTAGCAATGCTATGCAGAATAATGTAAATTTAACTTGCCTAATTTATGCAGCTTGCAAAATCCAGCTTTTCTTGTGGCAGATGTTGAATTGTCTGATGATACCCACAGTCCTGGTTTTAGGATTTCTGAGGAAACTTATTCATTTTTAAATCCTGCACCCAAGAGCTTTAAAAAGCCTTGATAGTTGCCAATGCTTTTCTGATCCTCCCTATCGCTGAGGAGGGAGAGACTCCAGGAAGTCATTGCCGGTGTTGATTTTTTCTTGGGCTGCAGATCCGCACTGTGGCCATCATTGCAGAAGGCATCCCAGAGGCGCTAACTCGCCGGTTGATCAAGATGGCAGACGAGAAAGGCGTCACCATTATCGGGCCTGCAACGGTGAGAGAAGAAGGAACCATGGCTTTCTGTGGCTTATTCTGCTTCGTTAATTTGTTTTTAACGTGCGTTGATGTGAAAATCTATAAATTCTTTCCTGCACAGTGGTAAAGTATAATAATAATAATAATAATAATAATAATAATAAATTTATACCCCACCCATCTGGCCAGGCCTCCCCAGCCACTCTGGGCAGCTCCTAACAGAATATTAAAAACGCAATAAAACATCAAACATTAAAAACTTCCCTGAACAGCGTTGCCTTCAGATGTCTTCCCCGCCCCATTTTTGTTCCCACCACAAAAATTGTGGGATCTGGTGAAGCCATAAATAAATACATGGGGGCTGAATCAGATCCCCAAATTGTGGGTCACACCTTCTACTCTCACAGATGGATCTGTTACTGCTACGTTGATGAAAGACCTTTTTTTAAAAAAAAGGCAAATTGAGGGTAAATCAGTTAGGAGCAAATATGCTCTGTGATTGGCTCTGGGCCTGATTTGCATATCCAAAAATCCCTTGTCACATGTACAAAAATTCTGGATTTGAATTTCCCATTTTATGAAAGAGAGAGTTTTTGAAACTGTTGAGCTGTTACTACACAAACTACAACCGCTCCGATATTTCATCTCCTTCGTTTTTGTTTGTAGGTAGGTGGAATCAAGCCCGGCTGCTTCAAGATCGGAAACACAGGTGGAATGCTGGATAACATCTTGGCATCTAAGCTGTACCGCCCCGGAAGTGTAGCTTATGTCTCCCGCTCAGGAGGGATGTCCAATGAACTTAACAACATCATCTCCAGGACCACAGACGGCGTCTTTGAAGGGGTGGCCATTGGTGGGGATAGGTGAGAGCAGCGGCCCAAGCGATATTCCGTGTGCTCTGAAATCCTTGTTCAATCCATCCATCCATCTCCTTTATTGGCACACACAGGATACAAAAGTATACAAGTCAAAGCGTAAAATTGACATCTGTTCGTAAAAGGAGATACTTTTAAGACGAATCTATTACAGTGGTACCTTGGGCTACGAACTTAATTTGTTCCGGTGTCCATTCTTAACCTGAGACCATTCTTAACCTGAGGCGCGCTTTCGCTAATGGGGCCTCCCGCTGTTGCCGTGCCGCCGGCACATGATTTCCTTTCTCATCCTGGGGCAAAGTTTCTAACCCGAGGTACTACTTCCGGGTTAGTGGAGTTTGTAATCCGAAGCATCTGTAACCCGAGGTGTTACCTCGGGTTACATACGCTTCAGGTTACAGACTCCGCTAACACAGAAATAGTACCTCAGGTACTTTGTTTCAGGATGAGAACAGAAATTGTGCTCTGGCGGCGCGGCAGCGGTGGGAGGCCCCATTAGCTAAAGTGGTGCTTCAGGTTAACAGTTTCAGGTTAAGAACGGACCTCTGGAACGAATTAAGTACTTAACCTGAGGTACCACCGTACAGACATAATAAGGCTAAAAAGTGCCTCTCAAGTCTTATGGCAACGTAGTTTTAATTCCACATTCTCCCTAATGCCATGCCTACAACTGTTCCATTGAAAGGAAACCCTGAAGAAGCCAGAGCAATCTTAACTTTTCTTTCAGCATAGGGTTTAAATATTTACCACAGATTTTTGCATGATATGGGCAGTAAAACAGAACAGTTGCAATGGTTTTGACCTGTTTTACACCTCAAGGAAATCCTTGTTGTGTGAATTGTACTTCTGGTTTTAAAATACACCCACCCACACCAGTTGTGCAGCCCGGTGTTTTGTGTAATGGAATAAATTCTTCTATCCCTCTCTGTTGTGGACAGAGAGCCGTCGATAAAAATTGTTGAGCCTTCGAGACCGGAGTTGAAATCTGGGCTGTTTGTGTTGTACAATATTCTTTAAGCAGCAGAATCTTCTTAACATAAACGCCTGACAAAAAAAATGTTGTTCCCTTGTGCCTAGATACCCTGGCTCCACTTTCATGGACCACGTTTTACGCTACCAAGACACGCCTGGGGTGAAGATGATAGTGGTGTTAGGAGAAGTGAGTACCTTCAAGTTTGTTTTTCTGTCTCCAGCATCACTTGGCAATGGTATCTTTGTAGCTTCATCTCAGCATAGGAACATATGAAGCTGCCTTATAAGTCCTGTTGCTCCATCTAGCTCTATATTGTCTACATTGACTGGTAGTAGCTCTGAGAGCTTCATCTAGAAGTAGATGATGATTTGTGTGGTCAGTATGCCTAGTATCCACTGTACACTACAGAAGTAGGAATGTTTGGCCGCAGAGGAGGCTGACTTGAGTCCTCACATGACCTTCCTTTGCATTTGCTGAGCACTGTCTTCTCAGCTGTGCCACCACTGTTGCGAAAGCCCCTCCTTCCAGAAGGAAGCTTGACCAACAGCACCTCTGTATTCCAATAATAATAATAATAATAATAATAATAATAATAATAATTTATTTATACCCCACCCATCTGGCTGGGTTTCCCCAGCCACTCTGGGCGGCTTCCAACAAAACACTAAAATACAATAACCTATTAAACCTTAAAAGCTTCCCTAAACAGGGCTGCCTTCAGATGTCTTCTAAAAGTTTGGTAGTTGTTTTTCTCTTTGACATCTGGTGGGAGGGCGTTCCACAGGGCGGGTGCTACTACCGAGAAGGCCCTCTGCCTGGTTCCCTGTAACTTGGCTTCTTGCAGCGAGGGAACCGCCAGAAGGCCCTCAGCGCTGGACCTCTTGCACTCTTCTTTTGCCTGGCATTTGGCATATGGGCTTTGGGAAAACATTTTATTTTGCAGCTGCTTTTTCTCTGAAGATATGGGACTGCTATGAGATCTTTTAAATACAGTGGTACCTTGGTTTTTGAACGCCCTATACCTGGAAGTAAATGCTTCAGTTTTCGAACACACCTCAGAAGTCAAACGTGCCACGCACTTTCTGTACTGAGTTTTCGTATTGAGTTTTCCATATTGAGGCTTCCGTATTGAGTTTTAAGATTTCAAACATTTTGGAACTCAAATGGTCTTCCAGAATGGATTACGTTCGAAAACTGAGGTACGACTGTGTGTGTGTGTGTGTGTGTGTGCGCGCGTGTACACACACACACACACACACACACACACACAGTTGTACCTTGGAATTCGAATGGAATCTGTTCCGGAAGTCCATTCGACTTCCAAAACGTTCGAAAACCACAGCGCGGCTTCTGATTGGCTGTGGGAAGGTCCTGCAGCCAATCAGAAGCTGTTGGACATTCAGCTTCCAAAAATAGTTTGCAAACCGGAACGGTCACTTCCGGGATTGCGACATTTGGGAGCCAAAACATTTGGGAACTAAACTGTTCAACTTCCAAGGTATGAGAGAGAGAGACAGAGAGAGAGAGAGAGAGAGAGAGAGAGAGAGAGAGTGTTGTAGGTAGCCTTTAAAAAAAGCAACCTCACTGGCCTTTCATTTTATGGGGTTTACTTTAAACTGCATTGAATGGAACAACAGCATACAAATATTTAAATTAAAACAAAATCTGCACATCTTCATCCTTCAATACAGGATTTCCCAAACTTGGGTCTTTGGCAGTTTTTGGACTACAGTTCCCACCATCCCTGACTACTGGTCCTGCTGGTTAGGGATGATGGGAGTTGTAGTCTTTACGTAGCTCTCTTTATAGTCCTGTAGCCCTTGTGGTCCAATTTCACCTGCAAAAGTGGGGACTGATTTGGCGAAATACTTTTTTCTATTTTAAAGAGCGCTGTGCCCACATGGGTTGAGTTGCTGCCCTTGACTCCTTTTTTCTTTTCTTTTCTTTTCTTTTCTTTTTTTTAGATTGGAGGAACGGAGGAATACAAGATCTGTAGGGGTGTTAAAGAAGGCCGGATCACTAAGCCTGTTGTCTGCTGGTGCATTGGGACCTGTGCCACGATGTTCTCTTCAGAGGTAAGGGAGGAATACATTGAATGGGGGTAGAAAATCTATTTATTATAGTTGGGAGTGCTGGATCTCCGATTATATTAAACAGTTGTTGAAATCACGGATTCTAAAACTGGGAATGCATATGGGGTCTGGTACGTTTCCACGGCAGCAGAATTCCTTGACCTGTAGCAGAGTCACTCAGCAAGTGCTGCTTGTGTGCATGAGCTTGCAGAAGAGAGAGTCCATATGCTGTTGTTTCAGTAAACTAGACAGCTTTATTTACAGCAAGATAAACAATCCATCAGGGACGCGGGTGGCGCTGTGGGTTAAACCACAAAGCCTAGGACTTGCCGATCAGAAGGTTGGCGGTTCGAATCCCCGCGATGGGGTGAGCTCCCGTTGCTTGGTCCCTGCTCCTGCCAACCTAGCAGTTCAAAAGCACATCAAAGTGCAAGTAGATAAATAGGTACCACTGTGGTGGGAAGGTAAATGGCGTTTCCGTGCGCTGCTCTGGTGTGCCAGAAGCGGCTCAGTCATGCTGGCCACATGACTCGGAAGCTGTACGCCGGCTCCCTCGGCCAGTAAAGCGAGATGAGCACCGCAACCCCAGAGTCGGTCACGACTGGACCTGATGGTCAGGGGTCCCTTTACCTTTACTTAAACAATCCATCGGAAGATGCAGACATTGCGTCTTCCTTGTCACGGCAGAAAAACGAAAGTAACTCACAGACCAAGAAAACAACCTCCCCCCCCCCATGTGGAGAAAGAGACGCAGGACACACTGAGCTGTTAACCCTGCAAGCTCTAAACCTCACAATGCAAGCCTGGCAGCGACCCAAAAGGGCTCCTAGGCACAAGTTACATTGTGATGAAGCTTTTGGCACTGAGAGAGGAGACCGCTGGATTCTCAGTGCGAAAATGAGGTCGAGGTACAGCCAAATACGAACAGAAGAAAAGCCCTTTTGGGTCAGGCCCATATTCCAGCATCCTGTTCCTGCAGTGGCTGTGGGAAACCGTCAAGCAGGGCTCGACAATGAAAGTACCCCCCCAAATAAATCACCTGTGGTTTCCAGTAGCTGGCATTAAGGAGCATTTGTTTGCTATGATATTAATTTAATGAATCGAACACTTGTCTTGCTAAAGACCAGGGCCGGATTTAGGTTTGAGAAGGCCCTAAGCTACTGAAGGTAATGGGGCCCTTTATATGTCCAGCTGTCCTTTGTCAACAACTAATTGTTGCTGTTTTTTTGTGTTGAATATATGTGCTATATCATGGGTAGGCAAACTAAGGCCCGGGGGCCGGATCTGGCCCAATCGCCTTCTAAATCTGGCCCGCGGACAGTCAGTCCAGGAATCAGTGTGTTTTTACATGTGTAGAATGTGCCCTTTTATTTAAAATGCATCTCTGGGTTATTTGTGGGGCCTGCCTGGTGTTTTTCAATGAGTAGAATGTGTGCTTTTATTTAAAATGCACCTCTGGGTTATTTGCGGGGCATAGGAATTTGTTCACCCCCCCCAATATAGTCCGGCCCTCCACAAGGTCTGAGGGACAGTGGACTGGCCCCCTGCTGAAACAGTTTGCTGACCCCTGTGCTATATGGTAATTTATGGACCTAATGGATATCTAAAGCCATTTGCACATGTTGCCATGCAACCAGTCCATGCAGAATGTAGGCACCCTATATATAGAAAGGAGCAAACCAGTGATATTTCAGGGAGCAGGCGGGGCCCATTACTTACATCAGAGGAGCCTACACAACACAAAACACTATTGCTGTATGTAGGTTTTCTTTTATTTGTTTTTTATCTTATATTTTGGAAATGTACATCTAGTTTTTTTCCCCCCTTTAAATTTTTTGGGGGTCCCAAGAGAGTGGGGCCCTAAGCTATAGCTTGTTTAGCTTGTACATATATCTGGCACTGCTAAAGACCCACCTATCCTTGTTATAACAGGTGCAGTTTGGCCATGCTGGAGCTTGCGCCAATCAGGCATCTGAAACCGCAGTGGCCAAGAACCGAGCTCTGAAGGAAGTGGGCGTCTTTGTACCGCGTAGTTTTGACGAGCTGGGCGATGTGATTCAGTAAGTAATATTTTTTTCAAAGAAGCAAGCAAGCAAGCAAGCAAACAAACAAACAAACAAACAAACATCAAGCTGTATTGTTGCTTTATTGCTATGGCAGATGGCTGACGCAAATAAAGATTCATTCATTCATTCATTCATTCATTCATCAAGCTGTAACAGGCCAACACATAGCCTCTTGCATGTCCTTCTCTCAGGTCAGTGTACGAAGATCTGGTTTCCAAGGGAGTGATTGAACCAGCCCAGGAAGTGCCTCCCCCTACTGTGCCAATGGATTACTCGTGGGCAAGGGTAAGTCTGCTGTTTTCCAAGCGGTTACTGAAAGAGCTAGGAGGATGCCTGGCTTCTTGGAATAACACAATCAAAGTGTTATGCTAAGAGAAATTGGTGGAAGCAAAAGGACAATTGCATTATCCACAACCAGGGTGGATTTGATTTAAATCACTAGTCCATAAGTCTTGTTTTAAATCTTTTTCTTTTTTTACTGACTCATTCTTGCTGGTATAATCTTAATATTCACAACCAGATGAAGGTTTCATTTTTGGAATAATAAATTTTCAGGGTAGTTTTTACAGTTATATCAGAAATTGCTGATGTGGTTATACTATTAGAAATACACAGACAGATAATTATGAAATTATTGTGAGGTTTAATAAGTTAACTGTTTATATTTGGACAGCTTTTCTGCTGTACTTTATTGGAAGGAGAAAAATAAACATTTCCTTAATAACAATTTAGACAATTTACTTAACTCAGCAATAACATTATAGCATATATATCTCCATGTTTGTTAACTGATGTGGTTAAACAATTTTTTTAAAAAAACAACCTTAGACTGAGTTTTAGCACACATGAAAAACTTAAAACATATCCTTATTTCCTGATGACCTTATAGCCTTTGGACTATAATGGAACTTAAATAGAAAACTATCTTTAGAAAGATTTCCCCTCCAAAAGCATTTTATTTTAAAAATCTGATTTAAATCACAAAAATCCGATTTAAATTTAAAAAATCCAATTTAATTTTTTTTTAAAAATGCGATTTTTATTTTTGTAAAAAATCATTGATTTTTATTCACCCTGTCCACAACACGCCTTCTGCAAACCTTTCTGAACTGAATATATAGAAGCATTTCCTTTACAAAGAAAACAGTTCTAGAAGAGTTCTAGTCTTGTGTCAGAGCTGGCTCCAGGTCCCAGCTCACAGAGGACCAACGCTAGCCGGCAGTAATGTACAAAAGTCTTTATTGAAGTACAGTTTCCATTTTCAAGCCGCAGCGCCCAGCTCTACGTCTAGGGGTTAGATCGGCGAAGCTCCATCTGAGTCTCCGCCCCTGTACACCAGTTTAAGATTCTAGCCTTACTCCACCTCTTACGTCTCTCCTTTCTCCTCTGGGTCCTGCTACCCCCCCGGTGTCCCTTCCTTCCTGGATTCTTCTGACGCTGACCCCGCTGACTCCTTCCCCTCTTTTCGGCGGGCTTTGGGACCTGGCTCCCTATCCGGGCTGCCAACTGCGCCGCCCTCCTGTACATTTGAACTTGGCGCGCGCCCAGCCTTCAACCTTCCTCTCGACCGTTTCCTCGCTCCCCGATGGAGGCGTGGCCAATCCTGACTCATGTCCTCCCACTGGCAGTGCGCCGCCTGAGTCCCGATGCCTGGGACCCCTCCCCTACTGCACTCTGGTGTGGACGCTGGTCCTGATTTCCAACTGCTGCTCTCTGAGTCCCCTCTGGCCCCTTCTTCCTGGGGTGTCCCCATCGGCACCCCCCTTGCTCTGACCAAGGGAGCCCCTTTCTGTGAATCTTCCGATTCGCTGGAAAGACTCAGCGACCTCGGACCGCTGTCATCGCTAACATTTCCTTCGGACTCCTCCCCCTCGCTCTCTATTTCCTCCCTTTCCTGTGCCTCTGCTCCTGAACCCCTGACATCTTGTTTCTATACGGAGGGGATTCTCTGTTTGGAAGAGTGTTTGTTCGTCCCCACCAGCAGTTTGACACAAAATTGCTCAAGCTCAGGTCTGCAAACTCCACTAGGTCTAGATCAGATTCTCTCTTGTTGTTTTTACAACTTCTTTGTTTGTGCACTCAATTTTCAGGAGCTTGGTTTGATTCGGAAGCCAGCTTCTTTCATGACTAGCATCTGTGATGAACGGGGCCAGGAACTGATCTATGCCGGCATGCCCATCACTGAGGTCTTCAAGGAAGAAATGGGAATTGGGGGTGTTCTGGGCTTATTGTGGTTCCAGAGAAGGTAGGTGTAGTTACTGCGCTGCTTGTTATTATTTGTCTATTATTAGTGTACAGTGGTACCTCAGTTTAAGAACAGTCCAGTTTAAGAATGATTTGGTTTACAAACTCCACAAAACCGGAAATACAGTGGTACTTCAGGTTACATATGCTTCAGGTTACATACGTGTGATGGGATGATGAGCTGCTTGTGCGTAAAATCGTATCCCCTCAGAGTTTGTTCAAGTCCACAAACCTCTGTCTGTGACGGAGCCCCTCAGACATGGCTCCTCTAGTCACTAGCAGATTCCGACAGTGGTTGCTTTCGTAATCGCTTCCAACATAAAAGCTCCTTAACGGAAACACGTCTTCTGGACTCTCTGCGTGACAGTTTCCGGCGAGGAGTGGGTGTTCTTACAGGAGGTCCTGAAACCTCCCCACTGTTTTCGCTGGAAGTGTCTCTGAGCCATCCCTCCAGCTCAGCTCCTCTCCCCCTGCTGGTTCCCTCTTCAGCTGCTGAGTCTCTCCCAACCTGTGTGAGCCCTTTCACCTCCCTGCTGGTTCCCTCTTCAGCTGCTGAGTCTCTCCCAACCTGTGTGAGCGCTTTACACTCCCTTCCGTCCGATGGCAGTTCCCTGACATCCACCTCCCCTCCAGGGCCCCCATCACCCCCTCTCGCCCCCACCTCAACGGGCGGTGAGGAGGCAAAACCCCCGAATGAACTTCCTTCATCTTCCGATGTCTCGAACACTTCTCTCCACCTGTTGCGGTTCCTGGTCTCGAAGTACACCTCCTCCTCAGAGTCCATCTCCCCTTCCCCTTCTGAGTCCGGTTTGCGTGAGAGAGCGTCCGCCCTAATGTTCTCTGGGCCTGGCACGTAACAAATCTCAAAGTTAAATTTGGAGAACTCCTGGGCCCATCTCACTTGCCGTTGGTTGAGCACTCGTGCCGTCCTCCAATACTCTAGGTTCTTGTGGTCAGTGCACACTTGCACCTTATGTTGTGCGCCAATTAGCAGGTGCCTCCATCTCCGGAACGCCTCATGAATGGCTAGTAGTTCTCGGTCATACACCGTGTCGTTCCTCTCGGATTTGTTCAGCTTTGCGAAAAATGGCACACGGTCTCCACTCTGACTCCTTCTTCCCTGGCTGCAGAAGCACCGCCCCAATCGCTCTGTCTGATGCGTCAGTTTCCACTCTCATCGGTTTTTGTAAATCCACATGCAGGAGTTGTTGTTCCGAGGCGAAGGCCCTTTTTAGTTCCTCAAATGCTCGCTCCGCCTCCTCAGTCCAAACGAACTTCTTCTTACTGCTGAGACAGTCCGTAATGGGCGCCGTCAGGTGGGCAAAGTTTCGGATGAACTTACGATAGAAGTTCCCAAATCCTAGGAACCTCTGCACATCCTTCCTTGTTTTGGGTGTTTTCCATTCCAGCACCGCCTGGACCTTGCCGGGATCCATGGCCAATCCCTTGTCTGACAGGCGATACCCCAGGAATTCCACCTCCTTGGTATGAAACTGACACTTCTCCAGTTTCACCCACAGCTGGTTGGCTTGCAGCCTGCTCAACACTTCTCTGACGTCTCTCACATGCTGCTCCTCATTCTCAGAATACACCAACACGTCGTCTAAAAAGGCCACACAATTCTTGTAAAGCAAAGGCCCCAGGACGTGGTTAATAAACGATTGAAATGTTGCGGAGCCTGCTTGTAGGCCGAAGGGCATAACCAAATATTCAAATGCCCCTAAAGGGGTGAACATAGTTGTCAGGGGTTCAGGAGCAGAGGCACAGGAAAGGGAGGAAATAGAGAGCGAGGGGGAGGAGTCCGAAGGAAATGTTAGCGATGACAGCGGTCCGAGGTCTCTGAGTCTTTCCAGCGAATCGGAAGATTCACAGAAAGGGGCTCCCTTGGTCAGAGCAAGGGGGTGCCGAGGGGACACCCCAGGAAGAAGGGGCCAGAGGGGACTCAGAGAGCAGCAGTTGGAAATCAGGACCAGCGTCCACACCAGAGTGCAGTAGGGGGGGAGGAGTCCCAGGCATCGGGATCAGGCGGCGCACTGCCAGTGGGAGGACATGAGTCAGGATTGGCCACGCCTCGACCGGTGAGCTCGGTTGCGGTCGAGAGGAAGGTTGAAGGCTGGGCGCGCGCGCCAAGTTCAAATGTACAGGAGGGCGGCGCAGTTGGCAGCCCGGATAGGGAGCCAGGTCCCAAAGCCCGCCGAAAAGAGGGGAAGGAGTCAGCGGGGTCAGCGTCAGAAGAATCCAGGAAGGAAGGGACACCGGTGGGTTGCAGGACCCAGAGGAGAAAGGAGAGACGTAAGAGGTGGAGGAAGGCTAGAATCTTAAACTGGTGTACAGGGGCGGAGACTCAGATGGAGCTTCGCCGATCTAACCCCTAGACGTAGAGCTGGGGCGCTCCGGCTTGAAAATGGAAACTGTACTTCAATAAAGACTTTTGTACATTACTGCCGGCTAGCGTTGGTCCTCTGTGAGCTGGGACCTGGAGCCAGCTCTGACAGTAAGCTCCATCTCAAAAGTTTTGCACCAAAGACCTCGTAACGTGAGTGGACGCAGCGAGGAAGAAGATTGGTGCTTCGCGAGCTCACAAAAGTCAGGCAAGATGACTACAGAACAGCAACTAGCAGCCCTGCAAAATGCAGTGACACAACTCAACGCGGAGGTACTCGCATCCAGGAAAAGGGAAGAGGAAGCGGCTGCCGCCTGCAGGGATCTCCAAGCCAGGTTGGAAGTGCTTGCTAAGCAGGGGCAACCGGGACCCAAATCAGAGGGGATTGGGCTGGGGAAAAGAGGAGGCAGCCTGGTATCTCATTTCGATGGGAATTTGCAGCAGTACCCTAACTTCCGAGCAGACGTGCTGTTTGCACTGGAACTGCTGGATAAAGACTTTAGAGATGAGCAAGAAAAGGTGGGGTTTATCTTGTCCCATTTGCATGGGGAGCTAAAGCGTGGCTGCGCAATCTGTGGAGAGATAAGGATCATGCGCTCCAAAATGCGGATGCATTCATTAAAGCGATTGATTCTTGATTTTTATCAAATATATAAATTGATATCGCCATAAAATACATACATGGGCTCAAACAAGTCAGAGCCAGTGTAAGGCAGTACCAGTCCCGTTTCGTGGCATTAGTCCATGCGCTGGGATGGGAGAAGGATTCTGCCCCAGCCAGAGTCCATTTTGGGAAGGCTTGATTGCAAATGTGAAAGATGCGAGTGCAACGGGGGAGACCAAAGAGCACTCAGGAGGTTGTCCGGCGGGCGCTGCAAATTGGGGTGCGTCTGGAAGAACGTCCATGGAACAGAGAAGAAGGACGTTGGGGACGTACGCCAGTGAGAGCACCTCCCCTCTTTCCCACGGATGCAGCGCGTGTGCAATCCCCACCTCCGCAAGGAGGGGGAGCAACCGATGGAGATTGGAGGCGCCAGGGCTCAGTCAACAACCAGAGCCTTAACACCGGGAGCAGTCAAGCGAAGCCTCCTAGAGGAACAGGAAGTGCTACATCTGCGACAGTGCTCAGCACATGGCGAAAGAGTGTCCCCAGAGGCTCCACAAGCACACTGCAGCCTCAGCAACAGTAACAGAAGCAACTCAGCAGAGGAACCACAGCAGGGAAACGACAGAGTCTGGTTGGAGGAAGAGGCACTGGGGCCCAGCCAGACACGTCAATGAAGCCGTCCCCAGAGATTTTGCAGCCCACAGACCCCCTCCCGCCCAAACCAGTGGTGCAGCTCACAGCATCGCTCCAACTACCCAATGGACTCACTATGGAAGTGCCGATTACCATTGACTCTGGTAGTAACGCAGACTTCATAGGACTGGATTTCCTTCAAGAGCACAACATAGCACTCCTGCCAGCCACGCTGCCTCTGAAAGTTGTCACGGTGGATGGCAGGGACTTGCTGGGGGGGCAGGTGGTGCAGCAAACTCCTCCGATGGTGATGCAAATTGGGAATCACCGAGAAGTCATCAGCTTCAATGTCACCCAACTGTCGGACACGCCTATAGTATTAGGCATGAGTTGGCTGCACAGGCACAGCCCAGCATTGGCGTGGTACCAGCGACAACTGACCTTCGGCTCCTCATACTGTGCGGAACATTGCATTCTGCCTAGCCCGGAAGGGGAAGAGGATGACCCGCAGCTACAATTAGGCACGCTGCAAGCAGTGCCACTCAAGTACGCAGCGTTTTGGAGGTTTTCTGCGAGAAGGAAGCGGACAAGCTACCTCCCCACAGGTCTTATGACTGCAAGATTGACTTCCTGCCAGGGCGCGCTGCCAACCGGGAAACTGTATTCCATGTCTGAAGACGAGCTGCAGGAACTCAGGGAGTTCATAGACCTCAACTTGAGCGCGGTTTCATCCGGGAGTCGAAGGCAGTGGGGGCAGTCCTGTATTCTTTGTGAAGAAGAAGGACACGCCCCAAAAAGGCTTGTGGTGGACTATAGAATTTTGAACTCAAAAACCAAGCCCACAGCCTTTCCCATGCCCAAGATAGATGACCTGCTCGCAACGGTGAGGAAAGGACGCGTTTTCACAAAGTTGGATCTGCGAAGGGCGACGAATGGAAGACTGCCATGTTCACGCCCCTGGGCACCTATGAATACAGAGTTATGCCCTTTGGATTACAAAATGGCTCCCACTGTTTTCAAGCCTTCATGCATCACGTATTGGCGGGTCTCCTCTACAAGAAATGCGTCTGCTTCCTGGACGACATCCTGATATTTTCAGAATCAGAGGAGACCCACGAGGGAGACGTCAAGGAAGTTCTGCAGAGACTGCAGGAGCACAGGCTGTACGCCAAGCTGGAGAAGTGCCAGTTCGACATGAAGGAGGTAGATTTCCTGGGCTACAAGTTGTCGGACAAGGGGCTCGCCATGGACAGCGCCAAGGTTCGCTCAGTGTTGGACTGGAAGAGCCCGCGCAATCGGAAGGAGGTCCAGCGGTTTGTCGGTTTCGCCAACTTTTACCGCAAGTTCATCAAGGGGTTCGCGATGCAGACGGCGGCCATTACCGACACGCTCAGCTCCAAGAAGAAGAAGTTCATCTGGACGGAGCAAGCGGAGCAGTCCTTTCAGAAACTCAAGCGTCTCTTCTCGTCCGAAGAGCAGCTACTGCATGTGAATCCCAGCAGACCGATGAGGGTTGAAACGGACGCCTCAGACAGAGCCGTGGGAGCAGTACTGTTGCAGCAAGACCCGCATGGGGACTGGAGACCGTGTGCCTTCTACTCCAGGAAGCTCAGCAAGTCAGAGCAGAACTACACCATCTGGGACAGGGAGTTGCTGGCCATTCATGCAGCATTCAAGGCGTGGCGGCACTTCCTCATTGGAGCCAAACACACAGTGCAGGTCCGCACGGACCATAAAAACCTGGAGTACTGGCGCACGGCAAGGTTCCTGAACCAGAGGCACATACGATGGGCGGAGTTCTTTGCGGATTTCGACTTCAGGATAGAGTACATCCCAGGCGACAACAACATCATGGCGGATGCACTGTCCAGAAAGCCGCAATACCTCGAGGAGCGGCACCAGCAGCGGCCAAGCACATTTTCGCACCGAAAGCGTGGGCGTGCGCTTCAGCAACCGTGGACCTGGATGCTGTACGTCGAGCACTGCAGGAGGACCCCTTCGCGCAAGCAAAGATGGCAGAGGTGCAAAGGGGCACGGCGGAGGACGACGAGTTCCAGATACGCGACGGATTGCTCATCCGCAGAGGGGCCCTCTACGTACCGGGAGACGACCTCCGCGCGAAAGTACTGCAGCAGTTGCACGACGCACCCACCGCCGGGCACTTTGGCAAAGAGAAGACGGTAGAATTAGTAGCCAGAGATTTTGGTGGCCCAAGATGCGGGGGGAAGTCGCGGATTACGTCTCGAGGTGCGACACCTGCCAAAGGGCCAAGTCAGTGCACAAACCGCCGGCGGGACTGCTCGAACCCCTGCAGACACCGCTCGAACCGTGGGAGAGGGTGGCCCTGGACTTTGTCACGGATCTACCCAGCTCGAGGGCAAGACGGCAGTGCTAGTGGTGGTGGACATGTTCACCAAAATGGCCCACTTCATTCCGTGCGCGAAGGTGGCCACGGCGGAACAGACCGCCAAACTGTTCATAGACCACGTGTTCAGGGTTCACGGTCTGCCACGGTCTATCCTGTCCGACCGGGGCGACAGTTCATCTCGAACTTCTGGCAGAAGCTGATGGGTTTCCTGAACGTCAAGATCAACCTAGCGTCGGCGAGACACCCGCAGACGAGACGGACAAGCGGAGCGAGTCAAGCGCCATCATGCAGCAGTACCTGCGATGCTACGCAAATCAGCAGCCGGCAACATGGGTGGACTACCTGCCGCTCGCTGAGTTCGCCTACAACAACACGAAGCACGTGTCCACGGGGGTGACACCGTTCTTCGCCAACAACGGGAGGCATCCCAGAACCTTCCCGGGATTAGCGAGAGCGGGGAGGGGAGCCACAGGCAGCGGAAGCCTTAGCATCAGAGTTGCAGGAGGTTCACGAACAGCTTCGGAGGCAGTTAGAACTAGCAAAGCACGCATACAAACTGCAGGCTGACAAGCACAGAAGGGTTGGGGAAGACATACAGGTGGGAGACTGGGTTTGGTTAGCAGCCCAGGCAGTGCCGGCCAGATCGTTAGCGAAGAAGAAGCTAGGGCATAAGCAGCTAGGACCCTACCAAGTCGAGGCACAGGTCAATCCAGTGGCTTTCCGGTTGACACTGCCGGAGGGATCCAGAATGCACCCAGTTTTCCATAGATCAGTGCTCACGCCCTACAAAGCACCTCATAGATTTCAGGAGCCAGGAACGGCACCAGACCCGTTCAGGGAAACGCCCACAAGGGGGTCGCCAAGGCGGGAACCCGTCAACGAAGTCACAGAGATTTTAGACTCGAGATGGGGGAGGAGGGAGTGGAATACCTCCTCGCCAAGGAAGGTACCCGGCTAGCGCCAACAGTTGGGTGCCAGATTATGCTCTGGAGGAATCTTGGCTCAGGGACGAGTTCCATGCACTTTTCCCACACAGGCCCATGCCAGCCGAGTATTTCGACGACTGGCTTTTCACACCCACATTTTCAGCTAGCACATTCCAGGGGTTCACCTCGGACGAGGAACCGGCACTAGAAGCACGTTCCCCGGAGGGATCACCCTCGGGGTCTGCCTCAGACCGTTCCTATTGGTGGGACACTCAACCAGAGGAGCAGTGGCGCAGGAAGTGGTTGGGGGGTCCTTGGCAGGCAACGTCCCCGGAGGAGACCGGGGGAGACGGACATGGACGTGTTGGGGAGGACCTTGGGTTCGAGCACGGCGGCAAGAGATGGAAGCAGAGGAAATTGAGGTCGGCGAGAGCACGGAGGACGAGCCGGACTTATCCGGCTGGATGCACGCCACGGGGACGAACTGTATCCGGCACTCACCCCCACAACGGCGGAGCACCCAGTACCCACACCTGAAGGAGGGGAGGGGAAGGGGGGCTTCGAGGGGGATGGATGTCAGGGGTTAAGGATCAGAGGCACAGGAAAGGGATGAAATAGATAGCGAGGGGAGGAGTCCGAAGGAAATGTTAGCGATGACAGCGGTCCGAGGTCTCTGAGTCTTTCCAGCGAATCGGAAGATTCACAGAAAGGGGCTCCCTTGGTCAGAGCAAGGGGGTGCCGAGGGGACACCCCAGGAAGAAGGGGCCAGAGGGGACTCAGAGAGCAGCAGTTGGAAATCAGGACCAGCGTCCACACCAGAGTGCAGTAGGGGGGGAGGAGTCCCAGGCATCGGGATCAGGCGGCGCACTGCCAGTGGGAGGACATGAGTCAGGATTGGCCACGCCTCCATCGGGGAGCGAGGAAGCGGTCGAGAGGAAGGTTGAAGGCTGGGCGCGCGCGCAAGTTCAAATGTACAGGAGGGCGGCGCAGTTGGCAGCCCGGATAGGGAGCCAGGTCCCAAAGCCCGCCGAAAGAGGGGAGGAGTCAGCGGGGTCAGCGTCAGAAGAATCCAGGAAGGAAGGGACCCGGGGGTAGCAGGACCCAGAGGAGAAAGGAGAGACGTAAGAGGTGGAGTAAGGCTAGAATCTTAAACTGGTGTACAGGGGCGGAGACTCAGATGGAGCTTCGCCGATCTAACCCCTAGACGTAGAGCTGGGGCGCTCCGGCTTGAAAATGGAAACTGTACTTCAATAAAGACTTTTGTACATTACTGCCGGCTAGCGTTGGTCCTCTGTGAGCTGGGACCTGGAGCCAGCTCTGACAATAGTGGTTTTCCATTCATCCCCCTTCCTTATTCGTACCAGGTTGTACGCCCCCCTTAGGTCCAGCTTTGTGAAAATCTTTCCCTTCCGCACCCTTGTCAAAATGTCGTCAATCCTGGGCATAGGGAAGGCCACTGGTTCTGACACTGCATTTAAGGCCCTGAAGTCACACACCAGCCTCGGCTTGTTCGTGTTTTTTTATCCACAAAAACACTGGGCTGCCCCCACCGCCCTGGACTCTCTGATGAACCCTCTCTTCAGGTTCTTGTCAATGAACTCTCTAACTCCTGCATCTCTCTGTCTGACATGGCGTACAGCTTGCCTACAGGGAGCTGTGCTCCAGGAGTAAATTGATTTGACAGTCAAAGGGTCTATGCGGGGTAGTTGGTCAGCTTCCCTTTCGCTGAAGACGTCACGGAGATCTGCATATTGTCGTGGTACCTTCACGTTCTCCGTTACTTCAGTCCCTGCTAGGGTGGCTTGGGCCCCTGCCAAACCCTTTCCCTCTTTGCAGTGTTCTAAGCAATGTGCTGAACCAAAAGAAACCACTCTCTGATGCCAGCCCACCAGCGGATCATGTAACGCTAGCCAGCTCATCCCCAATATAATGGGAGCTCCTCCCAAGGTGGCCACATTAAAAGCTATCAGTTCGGTGTGCCTTGCTACCTTCATTATCATTGGGACGGTCTGCAAGCTGACTTCTCCTCCCAACAGCTCCCTGCCATCGATCGTGGTCACCTGCAGGGGGTTGCTTAAAGGGATCGTCTGTATCTGGTGTTCAGCTGCAAACTCTTTGCTCATGAAATTGCAGGAGCTGCCTGAGTCCAACAGCGCCTTTATCTTTAGAGGGTGTCCATTTGGCAGCTCTAGCGTCACTTCTATCACTAGGGCGGGTTTAGGAGGTTCTGGCGTGGGCACTCTCACTGCTCTTTGGCCTGGCTGCTGTGCCCCGACAGTGGCAGCCAGGCGTTGGCTTTACTTGCTCCGGTATTTCTTCCTCTCTTCCATCCACAGCTCCTACCATCCCTTGCCATTCCTTCCTCTGGGGGCAGACTCTGGCAAAGTGACCTGACTGTTGGCAGAGATAGCATTTCCGGGCGCCTTTTCCCTCCTTCTTTCCCCCCTCACTGGGCTTTGAAACTGCGCGCGCGCGCTGTTCCGATTTCCATCGGCTCTGCCGGCGGGAAAGTTGGCTCTGGAATGTCTGGAATGCGGAACTCCTTCCAACGTTCCCCTTTCCCTTCCCGCCTCTCCAATGCTCTCGCCTCCTGGCGCGCTCCTATGGTCAGCGCTGATTTGGTCAGCTGGTCCATAGACTCCGCCCTGGGCGCCCGGGAAAGTTCGTCTTTCACAGCCGAAGAAAGCCCTTCTTCAAAGAGCATTTGAATGGGTTCCGCCGATAAGTCCCACCCCAATCTGTGAACAAGCATGGTGAACTCAGTCCAGTACTCACGGACAGATCGGCTCCCCTGTTTGCAAGCCATTAACTGTCTGCGCACCACTCCCTGTTCAATATCGCTGGAAAACATCAGATCCATGGCGCGAAAGAACTTCATCGTGTCCTTTAGGACGTCACTATTCGCTGCCATCAGGGGTCTAACCCAGTCTCTCGCCCCTTTTCAAGATGCTCAATCACGAAAGCCACTCGTGATTCCTCGTCAGGGAATTCATCAAACTGCAGATTGAGGGCATATTGCATTTCTGTCCGAAAGCCATGATAGTTTTGGGCTCCCCCAAACTTCTGCACCAATCCTGGTACCTTTCTGGCGAGCTGGGTGGCTTTCCCCTTTTGTCTGCATCCTGAGCCCTCCTCTCCTCAAGCCTCGCCGTCTGCATCGCTAGCTGGACCTCCAACACCCGGTACCTTTCTTCCAGGCTTGGACCCGCTCCAGCTCCTGCTTCTCCGGTTCCGGCTGGGTTGCTCATGATGCCTTCTCCTGCACAAGCTGCTTTCAAAGACTGTCGGAATGCTGTGATGGGATGATGAGCTGCTTGTGCGTAAAATCGTATCCCCTCAGAGTTTGTTCAAGTCCACAAACCTCTGTCTGTGACGGAGCCCCTCAGACATGGCTCCTCTAGTCACTAGCAGATTCCGACAGTGGTTGCTTTCGTAATCGCTTCCAACATAAAAGCTCCTTAACGGAAACACGTCTTCTGGACTCTCTGCGTGACAGTTTCCGGCGAGGAGTGGGTGTTCTTACAGGAGGTCCTGAAACCTCCCCACTGTTTTCGCTGGAAGTGTCTCTGAGCCATCCCTCCAGCTCAGCTCCTCTCCCCTGCTGGTTCCCTCTTCAGCTGCTGAGTCTCTCCCAACCTGTGTGAGCCCTTTCACCTCCCTGCTGGTTCCCTCTTCAGCTGCTGAGTCTCTCCCAACCTGTGTGAGCCCTTTCACCTCCCTTCCGTCCGATGGCAGTTCCCTGACAATACGCTTCAGGTTACAGACTCCACTAACCCAGAAATATTACCTCAGGTTAAGAACTTTGCTTCAGGATGAGAACAGAAATCGTGCAGCAGCAGCAGCAGCAGGAGGCCCCATTAGCTAAAGTGGTGCTTCAGGTTAAGAACAATTTCAGGTTAAGTACAGACCTCCAGAACGAATTAAGTTCTTAACCCAAGGTACCACTGTAGTGTCTTGGTTTGAGAACTTTACCACCTTGGTCTAAGAATGGAATCCGAACGGTGGAAGGGCACCGGCGGTGGGAGGCTTCATTAGGGAAAACGCGCCTTGGTTTAAGAACGGACGTCCGGAACGGATTAAGTTTGTAAACTGAGATACCACTGTATTTATAATCCTCTTCAGTGAAGAACATTGCACATAATAAAGCTGTAGACAAAACACAACTGAAATCCACAAAAACATATGAAATAATTATAATTGAAAGTTGTAGGGATAGTGTAGCTGTTTGCCTGCCAGCCTTGAACGTAATCAATCGATAAATGGCATGGGTCAGTCGGGCTGTGCTATTCTGTTGGTTGCTTTTTTAAAATAATAATTTTTATTAGTTTTCAGTTACAACAATCCAATAATAGACTCATTGTAAGTTGCCAAATTATAATACAATTAATAATACCTATCATTGAGATACCAAATTATACAATTTAGGTGGCCCCCCGCGTGCTAGAATTGATGGTTTGATGATTTATCAATTATCTTGTCCATAATGTTTCTTCCTGTCCTTGTAATATATTGTGTCTATCAGTTGTTGCTGTTCTCCATTATTTCTTGGGCGGAGCGAGTGTCCCATTGTTGTTTCATGAGCTCCCCATTGGTCCGCCCCAGCTTCATCGTTTTGCAACTTCAGAAGCAGCTGCAAAAATCACACTGTCCTGATAAATATCCCGTCCTCGCCATTTTTCTCTCAGCCTGGGAAGGAGATTGAGCTGTCGAACTTCAAATACAGTGGTACCTTGGTTCTCAAACTTAATCCATTCCAGAAGTCCGTTCCGAAACCAAAGTGTTCCAAAACCAAGGCATGCTTTCCGGTAGAAAGTAATGCAAAACGGATTAATACGTTGCACACTTTTAAAAACAACCCCTAAAACAACAATTTAACATGAATTTTACTACCCAATGAGACCATTGGTCCATAAAATGAAAGTAGTAAACAATGTACTGCAATCACACAATCAATCAATCAATCAATCAATCAGTAGCTGAACTGGGTTCCACACAGTCACAAAAGCAAAACAAAAGAGCCACAAAAACGCAAAATAAATAGCAAAAACAGCGGAAATATGGCACTCAGATCGGAAGCGTAACACTCAAAACGGAGCACGTTCGGCTTCTGAAATAAGTTCACAAACCGGAACACTTACTTCCGGATTTGCAGTGTTTGGGTTCCAAGTTGTTTGAGTACCAAGGCGTTTGAGAACCGAGGTACCACTGTAACCTTATCAACCCCTTGGCAAGCTCGCAAATTTCTCTCATCCCTCTGTTCAAGCTGGATGCTTTTTGTGACACAGTTGAAAACAGTTGCAGAATGAAACTTCTAAAGGCAAAAGTACATAACAGTCGTATCTCTGGCCCCCCAGGTTGCCCAAATACGCCTGCCACTTCATAGAGATGTGCTTGATGGTGACGGCAGATCACGGCCCAGCGGTGTCAGGAGCTCATAACACTATTGTCTGTGCAAGAGCTGGGAAGGACCTCGTATCCAGCCTCACCTCGGGCCTGCTCACAATCGTAAGCATTGAGCAACAGCCGGGCGAAAGTCGCCAATGATGCCTTTGTTGGAATGTAGCCGAAGTTCTGTGCAGGACAGGCTTCAGCTCCCATAATTACAATGTGCAGATGGCCTTGCAATGGGGCGTCCTTTAATCTGTGTAGCAAATATTCTAGAGTGTCTCTTCTAGCATGACTCTTCTGCCCCCTGTTTGCACTTTTAGTATTTTAGTATTATTTTGATTTTAGGATGATGATGATGATAATAATAATAATACTAACAATAATAATAACAATTTATTATGTATAACCCGCCCATCTGGCTGGGCTTCCCCAGCCACTCTGGTCGGCTTCCAACAAAATATTAAAATACAGTAATGCATCAAACTTTAAAAGCTTCCCTAAAGTGGGCTGCCTTCAGAAGTCTTCTAAAAGTCTGGTAGTTGTTGTTCTCTTTGACATCTGGCGGGAGGGCGTTCCACAGGGCTGGTGCCACTATCGAGAAGGCCCTCTGCCTGGTTCCCTGTAACTTGGGCTTCTCGCAGTGAGGGAACTGCCAGAAGGCCCTTGGCGCTGGACCCCAGGATTCCCCCCCCCCCCCACTGCCAGGCTTCGGGGACTCTGCTTCCTCCCCCCCTTTGGCCGTAGATAAGCAGGACAAAGCAAAAAGAGATGCTTACCACTTAAAGAGTCTTTAACGATCACAGCGAAAGAACAAAGCAGCCATTCTTGGAGTGACGGTGTTCCCAAATAAGGTTTCTACCTTGCAACCTGATCTCGCAACCACTGTGCTTTTTGTGTAGCCACTTTATCTGCTCTGCGTGACCTTGGACTGATAGGCAGGACACTGTCCGGCGAGATAGCGTCTGTTAGCTCTCTCTCTTTCTTCCAGTTCTTCTTCACTTTGCTGTTCACCCCCCAGTTCGCCCCAACTTTTGTCTTCAGAACTGTGCCCCTCTGCAAACCATTGTTCCAAATCTCTACTGCTCCTGAGCAGCTTCAGGATCCTGGTCAGGGGGAAGGGGAGGCTCCCACCATTCCTCATCAGAGCTGTACTCCTCAGCCTGGTCTCTTGACACCCACCCATCCCCAGTAGTTTTGGTTTTGGTGTGAGTTTCTTTCTTGTTTGCTGCTATCCAGGGCGATAGGTTTGGCGGTGCTCTGGATGCAGCGGCAAAGATGTTCAGCAAAGCATTTGACAGCGGCATCATCCCCATGGAGTTCGTGAACAAGATGAAGAAAGAAGGGAAGCTGATCATGGGCATTGGGCACCGGGTCAAATCGGTAGGTGCTGAGAACAGAGTCTGGTAGGGTGAAGTGGGAAAGGGGCACACAACTGCCTGTTCGAAGTTGAGTTCCAAGGGAGGGGTTATTAATTGAGACTACTTTTTCCAAAGTGTGCCATTTCTTTCATTTCTGTTTTCCAAATTCGTAGATCAATAACCCAGATATGAGAGTTCAGATCCTCAAGGATTACGTGAAGCAACATTTCCCTGCGACGCCTCTGCTAGACTATGCACTGGAAGTGGAAAAAATTACAACTTCCAAGGTATCAGCCTTCTCTTTTTCTTTTTCTCCTCCCCCCCTTTTTTTGGGTGACAACTTTTTAAACCTTGGTCTTTTTGTCCTACCCCATCACTCTGGGATGTTTATTTGTTTGCTTATTATTATATTTATATCCCACCTCTCTTCCCAAGGAGCTCACAGTGGTGTAGATGTTTCCCCTCCCTCTCCATTTTATCCTCAGAACAACCCTGTGAGGTAGGGTAGGCTGAGAGGGGGTGACTGGCCCAAGATCACCCCGTAAACTTCACGGCTGAGTGGGGATTTGAACCCAAGTCACCCAGGTCCTAGTCCAGTTCTCTTAACTACTGCACCACACTAGTTTTAAGTGTACATAAATATTGTAAGTCCAAAAAATAAGAGTTACTGGGCTGTTGTTTTATTTTACTAGCCCATCTGCCCCAGTATTCTTACTCCTCATCACTAGTGGTACATACAGAGTCTGGGAAAAAGGATGCGTCTGGTTAGGATGGATGGTTGGGAAAGAACTGTGCTGACAACAACAACAACTATTATTATTATTATTATTATTATTATTATTATTATATGCTGCCCATCTGACTGGGTTGCCCCAGCCACTGTGGGTGGCTCCCAACAAAAAACAGTAAAAGCACAATACAACATCACACACTAAAAACGTCTCCAAACAGGACTCCTTGCAAGCAATTCTTACTTGCCATAGGCGACCAGGCAAATGGTTATTAACAAGTTGTGCTACATAATGGAAGCCTGGACACGAATAACACCTAGATGTAAGGAACTGCCAGTGGTCCAGCTAAGCCAGTCAGTTGTCACAGGGGAATTTTACTGGAGAAGTGATAAACGAAGCATGCAAATAAAATTAGGAATATGATACAGTCTAAATCTGGCCTGCAGTTGACTCTCCAGGATCTCAGGCAAAGTGCTGCTCCCTTCGGAATAATAATAATAAAATACATACATACATACATACCCTGCCCACCTGGCTGGGTTCCCCCAGCCACTCTGGCCAGCTCCCAACAGAATAATAATAATAATAATAATAATAATAATAATAATAATAATGTGATAAAAGATCAAACATTAAAAACTTTCCGATCTAAACTTTCCTAAATGGGGCTGCCTTCAGATGTCTTCTAAAAGTTAGATAGTTGTTTATTCCTTGACATCTGGTGGGAGGGTGTTCCCAGAGGGCCGGTTCCACCACCGAGAAGGCCCTCTGCCTGGTTCCCTGTAACCTCACTTCTCGCAGGGAGGGAACCGCCAGAAGGTCCTCAGAGCTGGAGCTCAGTGTCCGGGCAGTGGAGGTGGAGACTCTCCTGCAGGTATACTGGGCTGAGGCTGTTTAGGGCTTTAAAGGTCAGCACCAACACTTTGAACTGTGCCTGGAAACATACTGGGAGCCAATGCAGGTCTTTCAGGACCGGTGTTATGTGGTCTCGGCAGCCACCCCCAGTCACCAGTCTAGCTGCTGCATTCTGGATTAATTGTAGTTTCCGGGTCACCTTCAAAAGTGGCCCCACGTAGAGCGCATTGCAGTATTCAACTGTAGGTGCAAGGGACCGGACCTGAGAATCTCAGGTTCTTCCCATGGCCCAGCCCTTGTTTTCATATTCTGTAGGCAATGTTTTCTGTACAGCTTAGAACCTGAAAGCTGTGGTACCTCTTGCTGTGGAGAATCTCAGGAATAGGAGCTCTATGGCAGTGCCAGGGATCCCTTTAAAGGCTGTGTTCACTCACTCCTCCACAGGTGACTAAACTTAGGTTTTTTAATTTCAGCGGGTCCACTCTAAGTAGATTTGTATGTCCCCAGCCAGAGAGATCAGTTGATAAACGCCTCACAATTTATCACTGAAATACTTCCAGCTGAATTCAAGTCCCTGCATGTTGCTACAATCTCTTGAATCAAGAAGCTTAACTTTTCCATCCCTCCCCCTACCCTTTTCTTCCACCCCAGAAACCCAACCTCATCCTCAATGTCGATGGGTTCATTGGTGTGGCCTTTGTTGATGTGCTCAGGAACTGTGGCTCCTTCACACGGTGAGCAGTCTATTATTCTCCAGCTGCGTCTGTATTGTGGTTCAGAAGTTTGGTTATGGTGAATCGCCCTGATCAAATGAGACAACTGCTCCCAAGCATCTTGGGTGCAAGTGAGTTGAAGTAAACCCAATAGGTAGAAGCTGTAGTTTAGAGTCGGAGCATGTGCGAGACTGCAGTCAATCTGATTAATTATTTTATTAGCCACAGGCAGGCTTAAATAGCATCTTTTGATGCCCCAGTTGCCACCTCAGATGCAAAAGGGGTATGTGGAGACAGTGCAAAAGAAGAGCCTGCTGAATCAGGCCAGTGGCCCATGTAGTTTAGCATCCGTTCTCACAGTTTCCCAACAGATTCATGTGGAAAAACCCGCGAACAGGACCCAAGCACAGGAGCGCTCTCCCCCCCTGCAGTTTCTAGCCTCTGGTATACAGGACGTGGGTGGTGCTGCCGTCTAAACCACTGAGCCTCTTGGGCCTGCTGATCAAAAGGTTGGCGGTTCGAAACCCCGCGACAGAGTGAACTCGCGTTGCTCTGTCCCAGCTCCTGCCAACCTAGCAGTTCAAAAGTACACCAGTGTGAGTAGATAAATAGGTACCACTGCAACAGGAAGGTAGAAGGCGTTTCTGTGTGCTCTGGCTTCCGTCACGGTGTCCTGTTGCGCCAGAAGCGGTTTAGTCCTGCTGGCCACATGACCCGGAAAGCTGTCTGTGGACAAACACCGTCTCCCTCGGCCTGAAAATGAGATGAGTGCCGCAACCCCATAGGCACCTTTGACTGCACTTAACCATCCAGGGGTCCTGACCTGTAGGTCCAGTTGTGGCTGACTCTGGGGTTGCGGCGCTCATCTCACTTTATTGGCCGAGGGAGCCGGCGTACAGTTTCCGGGTCATATGGCCAGCATGACTAAGCCGCTTCTGGTAAACCAGAGCAGCGCATGGAGACACTGCTTACCTTTCCGCAGGAGCGGTACCTGTTTATCTACTTGCACATTGACGTGCTTTTGAACTGCTGGGTTGGCAGGAGCAGGGACCGAGCAACGGGAGCTCACCCTGTTGCGGGGATTCAAACCGCCGACCTTCTGATCGGCAAGTCCTAGGCTCTGTGGTTTTAACCCACAGCGCCACCCGCATCCCAAAACTGCAAAACAAGAACTTGCAAAAGGGGTCCTTTACCTTTTACCTTATTCAGAACCACTGCTGGCTGCAACCATGGAGGCAGAGCATAGTGATCATTGTTAGTAGCCTTGAGTTTGTCCAATCCTCTTTTAAGGCCACACAAACAGGAGTGTTTGTGTTGGAGGGAAGGTACACTGCTGCCATGTGAGGTATGAAATGGCCTTTGCATTTGTAAGAACTGTTTGCACTGTCCCAAGTACAAAGTAAGATGGAAACAACTCCAGCGGCTAGAGCATCCTTCCCTGACCTCGTGCCTTCCAGATCATGTTGGACTCCCAAGTCTCCTCAGCCCCAGTCAGCATGGTTAATGGTCTGGGATGATGGGAATTGTAGTTCAGCAACTTCTAGAGGGCACCACACGAGTTACACCTGGTTTACCCAGACCCGCAGCAACCCTCCAAGGTCTCAGACAGAGGCCTTTCCTGTTCCTGCTTCCTGTGATCCTTGTGAACCCTCCCCATACCATGCGGTTGCCCGGTCACTGAGCTAAAGTATATTAGAAGCTTCCATCATTAAAAAAAAAAAAATCCATTGTCAACAGCTGAGTTGCAGCGGGGCCTAAGGGATAGTAGGTTTGCACAACCAAACAATTTCAACATAGAAGTATGGTCACTCATGTTACCTTGACTGGGTTGTGATGGGAAAGCTCGTTTAAATGTCAGGAAAAAGAGCGTCTCATCTCTGGCAACTGCTCTTGCCTCCATCTTGATTTTTTTTAGAACCAGGATTCTGTGGTATGTGTCAGATGGGAGCAGGGGTGGCTTCTATGTGGCTTTTATATGTTAACCAGCCTCTGAAAATATGCAATGCAATAGGATTAATGTTTTAAGCAAGAACTGCTTGGTTTGTATTGCAGGGAAGAAGCTGATGAATATATTGACATTGGTGCCCTCAATGGCATTTTTGTGCTTGGTAGAAGTATGGGGTTCATAGGTAAGTCTTAAAGCACAAGTTTTCTTCCATAAGGCAGCGGGGCTGGGCTGGACGGATTTTTATACCAGGGTGGAGAACTTCAGGCCTGCGTGCGAACTCAGGCCCACCAAGCCTCCCTATGGCCCGTGAGGATAGTTTGGCCAAGCCACACACACCCTTACCTATTGCCTGACTAGTTGTACAGTGGTACCTCGGGTTACAGACGCTTCAGCTTACAGACTCCGCTAACCCAGAAATATTACTTCAGGTTAAGAACTTTGCTTCAGGATGAGAACAGAAGTTGTGCGGCGGCGGCACAGCGGCAGCAGGAGGCCCCATTAGCTAAAGTGGTACCTCAGGTTAAGAACAGTTTCAGGTTAAGAACGGACCTCCAGAACGAATTAAGTTCTTAACCCGAGGTACCACTGTATATGACGTCTGGTAAAAGGCAGGGTTTGGACAAAAGAGGCTCTGGCAGCCCTCATTGTCAGGGCTAGGGAAATATTGCTTAGAGGGCTTCCTCAGTGCCGAGAAACTGCCGATCATCAGTGCTTGGGGACACAAAAACACAAAACGTTTTTTGCCCTCAGTAGTTTGATTCCTAACTGTACGGACCAGAAACGGGTCATCTTGACACCACTGTGTCAGACTTGGCTTGACCCACCTGTCAGCCTGGGCCTGTCAGGAGTTCAGCCTACACTTGAGCAGGACCCTGGCAGAGACACATGCCCGACTGGCATGTTCCCTCCCTCCTAGTCGATTGTTCGGGAGCTTCATAAGCTTTCTTCAGCCCGAACATCACAGCAACCGATGCCAACTGACACCGGCACACTTAGGGATCCGCGGAGTTTGTGCACCATGCGCGTGACAGACCTCAGTAACTCAGCATTTTGGCTGGTCTACTTTATTTACATATAAACATACACGGAGCACTGCAACATGGCTCCCTCTCTCTCTAGCATCAGATAGCAAAGAGAAAAAGAGCAAAGGACAATAGTCCCATTTCACGGAACACAGTAACACAAACATCCTGTCTCCGTCACTTCCCACTCTGTGGAGTCAAAACATACACCGTCATGTGAAAGACAACAATCCTATGACTGCAATCACGGAGCAGGAATTCTAACAGGGGGTATGGAGATAAGGATCTGCCGCAGCCAGCTGCTTTGATGCCACCTGAGCTCATCTGCGCTGCAGAGCTGCAAAAACACATTCTTGCTAGGCTGTACGTTGCAAACCTTGACCCATCTGCAAGGGGATGGTCAGATTGTTCTGTACCTGTCTCCTCTTCCATCCAAGTTGCCCATCCCAAGCTGCAGAGCAGCGACAGCCTTCCACCTGCTTCTAGGCCCCTCTCCTACATAGGGCTGGCAAAAACCTGTGTCGTCCCCACAGTTCCTTTGAGACAAAAAACACCTTTGCACAAAAGGGGTGGCAGGAAGCTGTTGCAGACCTGTCCAACAGATGCTGCGGTTAAGAGTGGTAGAGTTGTGTTTTGGGTCTTCACCTCTTGCTCAGCAGCAACTGGGACTGTGCTTTGGAGTGGGAAGAATTTTAATTTCTCCTGTTTTAGTTATTTTTTTATTTTATTTTAAGGAAACGTTTCAATTGAATCTGAAAGATTGTACACAGTAAGAACCCTCTGTGTTAATTTCAGGGCATTACCTGGACCAGAAGAGGCTGAAGCAGGGTTTGTACCGTCACCCTTGGGACGACATCTCCTATGTTTTGCCGGAACATATGACCATGTGACAACAACAGGGGGCAAAATGAGTTGCCTTTATGGAAGGCCAGTATGGGCATGATTGTACTATATGCCCCGGCTACCGATGTATAGGAAAACGAGGACTGGCTGGGCTGAAATTCTATACAAGGCAGATTTTTATAGCCCTAGAAGTGGATTCTATTAAAAAAAAAAAAGATAAACCAAAACCCTTTGCTATTTCCTGCTGTATTTAATATATATAAGCAGTTGCACTGTCTTGCTTGTTCTGTGTTTTTATTTTTCTCCCCTCTGCTTTTCCGCAGTGTTTTCTGACCAAGTTTTAATGTTTTTATTTTGATCCATGACCTCATTAGACTTGAAGAACCAGGGAGTCATGACTCCTGAATTACCAAACCCTTGAAGAACGTTGTCCTCACAAGCTGTATAATTTTGTGGTACATTTGTCCTTTTTTGTCTTCTGTGTGTTCATCTGCACAATCTGATTGTATTTCTAGTCGGGGGGACTACTGCTGATTTAATAAGCCATTCCAAGTCGGGTGTAGTCATTTTAAAATGTAAACTGGTGATATAAGCTGTTCTTCAAAACTGTGAAATCTGCGAGTATTCCAGTTTCTGTATTTATGCAGCTAATGTTTTTACTTATCATAAAATAAAACCTAGATCTACGATTCTTGCAAAGACTGACCTGTCAGTCAACTTACAAGATACACCATCTCTTGGCCCTTAACTTATATTCACAACAGTATTCAGTGCTGTGTCTCTGTATCATATAACCTGTCTCAAATAAATAGTACAATAATAAGTTGTCTTGGTTTGATTTTGTAAAGGGAGGCGCAGAACCCCTTAAACCCAAATTTGAGCTACCTATGAAGAAAATATTTTTACGTGACAAAGCTGCATGCTTTCCCCAAAGTGGTAAAATTTGGCTCACATTCAAGCATATACAGTGGTACCTCGGGTTACATACGCTTCAGGTTACAGACTCCGCTAACCCAGAAATAGTGCTTCAGGCTCAGAACTTTGCTTCAGGTTTAGAACAGAAATTGTGCTTTGGCGGCGCAGCAGCAGCAGGAGGCCCCATTAGCTAAAGTGGTCTTCAGGTTAAGAACAGTTTCAGGTTAAGTACGGACCTCCGGAACGAATTAAGTACTTAACCCGAGGTACCACTGTACAGTTATTTTAATTATCTGTTCTGGTGCTTTGCATTTTTATTTATTTTCATTTTATTAATTTTGCAAATTTCAACAAAAATGCCTTATTGAAGATCTTGAAGACATGGGACAGTTTTTCTCAAGTGTGAGAACATAACTTAATGAATAGCAGCCGTCCTATCCATTGTTAGAAGTGTTTGTTTATTTATTTAAAGGAAAGACTGGGAATGTTGGCGTTGCTGTGGCCTCCACTGTAGGACCATTATTTCCAGAGAGCAGTGAGCAAGTTCAGGTCTAATTAACTAAGCTTGGTGACTCCAGCTGACATTTTAAGCATTGTAAACCATAACTGTCAGACTGGTTGGGATGCAGAGGAATGGTGGGAGGAGCCAGCTGAAGAAGCTTCAGGGCCAGTGGTTGGAGGATGAAGAGTGGTCAGAGGGAGAACACACCTGCTGTAACAAGCTCCCCTCCGGTCTCCCAGAGCCAGGAGAGGCTTGAAGTGGGAGGAGCAAAGGTAGGCATGCAGGCGCAGTCTCCGGATTGCTGGGGGGGAGGAAACTATGGAGAGGAGGAGACACAGGCGACTGTGGGGAGGCAGGGACCTTTTTCTCGGCAACTGCCTCATGGGAACAAGACCTGACAGATGAGTTGCTATGCTCCTTAGACCTGGCACTCCTGTGCAGATCCCCTTTGCTAATAAAGAGTTAACTACAACTCAACTTGGTGTGATTGACTGCCCCTCCTGTCAAGAACATAATGCAGATTTGGCACCCAAAGAGAATAATCAACACTGCAACAGAATGTTGTAGTTTAGAATGGAGTCCCATTCACTGTTCCAGTCAACTATGCTTCCTTCCAAGCTGCTTACGTAATTCCATTGCCTCCATTAGTGAAGTCAGCATTCCTTGCCGACTGAAGATGCCCCGTACTCAAACACTTCACTGGGCTGTTTTCTGAGTCCCCTCAGTTTAGGATTTGTTTCCCCTAATTATTTTTTTATGCTCCTTTTTCTGCACACCTTGGTGTTCCTTTAAAGCCATTTTGGCCACCTAAGGATTCATTATTTCATAACGAATTTGCTGTCGATATAGTCGCAGCGCTAGTATAGAACACTTTCCAAACCACCTTTATAAAATTAGCGAAGCAAAAGTTTTACATTGCCTTTCCATCACAATAATTAGAGGGAAATTTGGTTCCTGAAAGTAAAGTGGTATTCATTCTTGTGTTAATAACTATGCGGATGTTGACATTTTGGGACTGTACTTGAGATTTTGCAATCATTCTTGCTGCAGCCTGGGAAGCAATTAAAAGACAGCCTGTCAGCAATAGATTTTTTTTACTGTGCTACCCCAGCCCAGCCCCAAACATGCTCTGTTTACTTTTTATCTAGCACAGTCAAATATTTTCCTGTTCCTACTTCTACACCCATTTTCCACCCTCCACTTTCTTCAGTTAAATAGTCCATCCTCTGTTGAGTGTGTGTGTGTGTGTGATTGAGAAACCCCCAGCCAGTACTTCATGCTTGGAGTGGGGGAATTGTTCACAGAAGACAGCAATTTACCACCCACCTCATCCCTTCTTCCTTTATAAACAATGGATGCTTATCATATAAGCTGCCATGTCTCTTCCTACTAATAACTACTTCTACCTGTTGCCTTGTGATGCATTGCTTTCCCCTGTGAAGCTGGCATGAAACAATGTGTCCCCTGTGATGTTGTCGTTGATATGCTTTTTAAAATTTTTTATTTTAAATTTTTATTGGAATTTTATTTATAACATAACAACCCCCAATACACATTAAACGTGAACATAACATACAACAATACAAACAACCAAATAAAAGACTTCCTTTCTCCTGTATGTGGCCTCCTTATTTACTTCTTATAAACTCTGTCCTTTATGAATAATTATTAAGATTTTTCTAATTACAACTTAAATATCCACAAAGTCTCCTGCAGACATTAATCAAAACAAGTCCAGGTATGTATTTTAGGGCACTGTTTTGTGAAGTATTCTCTGCATTTCCCTCATGCTTTTTGAAACTCTTGTCTAGTGTGATCTCTAATTGCCTCTGTTAATCTAGCCAGTTCAATATACTCTTAACAGTTTATCTTGCCATTCCTTTTTTGTTGGCACAGTTTCTTTATTCCAGTTTTTAGCAATTAGGATACTTGCTGCTTCTGTGGCATAGAGGAATATTTTATGCTTTCCTCTTGCTATGCCTGTGTCCGTTATCCCTAGTAGTGAAGGGCCTCAGAAATAGAAATTCTGAGGAAGGCCATAGAAAGGCGAGCAAGGCCATAGCAGGCAGACAAACAAAGAAGCCTTCAAAAGGAGAAATATGGAATGTTAGAGCCTGATTGGGTAAGAATGTAGAGTTTCACTCTCTGAGTATTTGTATCATCTATAAAAAGTGGGCACACCCTGATTGGGGTGTGCAAATTGCGAACATATTGTGCCGCACCATTTGCTATGCATATGCAAATCAAATAAACCTGCTTGAAACCTGAATTGGCGTTTGCCTCCCTGTGTCCAGTCCGTGCTCCAGAATATCCGAGTCACATGCGGTCCAACAGTAGAAACGCGTTGTATTTTTCATAAAGTTATACTTAAACATTTTTTTAAACTCGTCATACAGTGGTACCTTGGGTTAAGTATTTAATTCGTTCCGGAGGTCCGTACTTAACCTGAAACTGTTCTTAACCTACACTACACTTGATCTTAGCTAATGGGGCTTCCTGCTGCTGTCGCGCCGCTGGAGCACAATTTCTGTTCTCATCCTGAAGCAAGGTTCTTAACCTGAAGCACTATTTCTGGGTTAGCGGAGTCTGTAACCTGAAGTGTATGTAACCCGAGGTACCACTGTACACTGTGTTCCAGAAGCTTTTGATTTTTTCACAGGTCCACCAAACGGTGGACATGTTTGGTACATTGTTGATATGCTTTTAAATTGTTTTATTTCGTCCCACCCACCCAAAGTCATGATGGATGTTGGGATAGCGCCGTGGGTAGAGCATGGGACTCTTAAATTTCGAGTTGTGGGTTCGAGCCCCACGTTGGGCAAAAGATTCCTGCAATTAAAGGGGTTGGACTAGATGCCCCTCATGCTCCCTTCCAACTCTACAAGCCTATGGTTCTATGAAAAAGCGCAGGCAGGACCTATTTTAATTAAATAATAGGAGAGTTCATTTGGTGAGCTGTGGAGTCCCTATAACTGCCTTGTTCTGTAATTATTCCTATTCAGACTGGAATGAGGTGCTGGCTCACAGAAACTCAACGTCTGCTTGCACCTAAGTTGCTTTTCTGATCCCCTGTACATCAACTTGTTCTCTGAGAAACCAGCACTAAAAAGCAGTGGGGGAGATGATGAGAGGTGAACCAGTTGTGGACGGGGGCAGATCTCTGATTTGTAATGTTGATCTGTGATGTTGTCTTTCACCAGTAAAGATCAAAGAGGACACAACAGTTCTTTCCTGCTAATGCCTGGTGCTAGTGTAGGAGTTTGTGTCAGTATCATGTGGGTACTAGGTCCTTTGTTTACTTTTTTTATTGATATTGTCCCTCTTCCCCCCCCTCTATTTCCCCCCCCAACCGAAATATGTCCGTGGCAAAAGTGTCTTACTAAACATTAACAAACTGTGATGAAGATCCCTGGACTCTGGTTGGCTACTTTTGCTTTTGCATTTGCCGTGCAACAGCAATGTTTTAATATTTGTTAAGTATACTCAGAGTCCTGTAGTGATTTCATGCTCTTTATTGCAGCTTGTAAAACAGTGATGGAATTGTCCCCCAAACCTCAGGCTTTTATATACATTATTTACACAATGAGTCCCGTCTGATTGGCTGGTTCTGCTTCCCTCCTGGAGCCTGATTGGTCTTTTCCTGCAAGCCAATCAGTTGTTGCATTCTAGGATCCTACTTGCCTATTGTTCTAGGATCCAAGCTTAGTACATAACAATTTGGAAACTAAAAAACAACAGCTGCCCCCCCCCCCCCCCGCTATGTGTTGCATGGAGAAAATCCATAAAGAAATTTTTTATCTCCCGCTTTCCTAACACTGGGCGTAGTGGGCATTGTGATAGGAATTTTGAAGTCTTAGATATATGTGAATGTTCATAAGTGTACCAACCAAGCACATACATAGATCAGCACAGGAAGACCGACCTGGAACCATTTTGATTCCTAAACTGACCAAATGTTTTCTCTGCAAGGTCAAAGTGGGAAACCTCCCCATTGTCTCTTGCCTCACAAATCCTGTCTTAAGGACACATTTAAGATATGAATATGGTGTGAGCCTGTGACGTGGCCCGGGAACTAAGTATTTATCATTACAAATGACTGGCCAGGCTACCCAGGCAATCCAATCAAGTAACCTGCCAGACAGGAGATAAACGATGACAGGAGAAAAACAACATTCAATTTTCTGTTTAGACCGCCTTTTCTGTGATGTAGGTGTGATGTATCTGAGGGGTAGTCTTAGGTTACACCCCTTCTGTGATGTATGTATGATGTTTCTGGGGGTGGTCTTGATCTACAGGGTGGCAATTTCAAAAGTCTTTATAAGGCCTTGCGCGCCATTTTTCTGGGTTCCTCCTCTCCTGCGGGTGAGGGGAGCACCCTGTTGCAACAGATCAATAAAGATCAGGCTTAGTAGCTGCTTTGCTTCTCAATATTCTCTGGTTGGACTCTGTTATTCTCTCCTACCAATAGGGAACCTATGTAAGGACTCTATATGAGCTCTTGGATACCCCATAAGGGAAAAGAGCATTTTTTATTTACAACAGCATCTAGTGATGATCATTGGATTCAGGACATATAAAAGAAAATGCTTCTTCAAGCAGTTCCTAGTCAAACTGTGGCAGTCATTCCCACAAGAGGCAGCAATTGCCACCAACCTGGACAGCTTTAAAAGGGTAGACAAATTCAAGGAGGAAGAGGGCTACCAATTGCTACTAGTCATGAGGGCTATGCTCTGTCTCCACAGCTGGAGGCATCAGTACTTCCAAAAAAAGTTGCTGGAAACCTCAGGAAGGGAGAGTTGCAATGCTCTTGTGCTCAGGTTTGCTGGAGGGTTTTTTCCCATAGGGGCAACTGGTTAACCACTGTGAGATCAGGATGCTAGACTAGAGGGGCCATTGCCTGATCCAGCAGGACAATGCTTATGTTCTTGTGTTCAAATCAGAGTTGCCTCCCAGAGATTACAGACTGGCAGATACTCATGTTAGAATATCTACAATTAGCAAAACTGATGGGATCATTTAGAGGAATATCGAAACAAAAAACAACTAGAGAATGGATAGGGACATGGGTGGCGCTGTGGGTTAAACCACAGAGCCTAGGACTTGCCAATCAGAAGGTCGGCGGTTCAAATCCCCGTGACGGGGGGGGGGCACCAGGTGGCGCATTGGAAGATGGCCGACAATAACATCTCTCTGACCCATACGAGGTAATTAAGAGGCTGCTATGGGACGTATGCAGTCTTCCTACCCCCCCCCCCAAGGAGATGGGGGGGGGGGCTGCCTTGCCAGCGGTGTCCACAATGCACCCCCGGATCCGAGAGTCGGGGGTGCTGGTCACTTCACACGAGCCCTCGATGAAGTCAGCTCTTCCTGACGCTGATTCCAATCAGCGCGTGCTGGTTAGCTTCAGCTCGGAATTATAATTGGAAATATATAATTGGAATGAAGCTGAAGCACTTACATCAAGCAAAGTTCGAGAGATAAGGCTGCTGATTAATGCATCTCTGTGTTTGGAGCGACGGGAGGAGACAAATAAATCAAGCGATGAACCACCATTACGAGACTGGTATGTGCGGAGCGAAAAAAAGAGGGGGGATGAAGGAAAAACTTTTATTTTCTTTGCCTCATGTGAGTATTTATAAACCTCCACCCCAAGAGAGACGAATCGTCGCCTTTTACTAATCGCAAGCAAGAATTTAAGAGCTGTGTGGAGTGAATTATTGATTGAAGAAAGGACTGGTAAATATGGAGTGTGGAAGGAAAATTCTATGACGCAGTTGTTAATGGCGTCTTGCTAAGACAGGCTTGTCGAAGAAAGACGAGGGGAGGAGGACCAGGGTCATTGGAATGTAAATGATGGATTGAATGTGATAACCTGGCAGAGCCCCTTTGTGATATATGTGGCAAGCTTGGTAAAATTAAATAGGGCAGACCGAGGATAAATTTTTGAAGAAGGGGAGTAATGGTGGCTGTCCTTATGAGATATGACTTTTGGAGTGTGCAAAATCCACACAGATGTTGTTTGTTTCTAACCTGCTTGCGAAGATTATCAGAGATTGCAAAGAAAGGAAGACATGATAACAACAAGAAGATGAAGAAGTAATAAAGAGACTATTGGGACAGAGCTGGATAGAATCGTTTGATAAAAGCAGTAACAGAAGTGATGTTTTGATTCTTGTTCGGAGCTTGATGTAAGGGTACCCCCAACAAAATTTAAAAATCTGGCTGTATAATTTGGAAGTAATATGATTTGGAAATAATGTGATTGGATTGGCCTGTTAATAAAAATTATGTTTAAAAAACAACAACAAATCCCCGTGACGGGGTGAGCTCCCATTGTTCGGTCCCAGCTTCTGCCAACCTAGTAGTTCGAAAGCACGCCAGTGTAAGTAGATAAATAGGTACCACTCCGGCGGGAAGGTAAACGGCGTTTCCGTACGCTGCTCTGGTTAGTCATGCTGGCCACATGACCCGGAAGCTGTACACCGGCTCCCTCGGAAAATAAAGCAAGATGAGCGCCACAACCCCAGAGTCAGTCATGACTGGACCTAATGGTCAGGGGTCCCTTTACATTTACCTTTAGAGAATGGATAATATTTAAGAATTATGTAAAACTTTATTGTACAAATAACTCCATATTAGCAGAAATTGAGTGATATTTGTAAAGAAACAGATCAAAGGAATGTATACAAAGCAGAAAGAAATATACAATGTAAACCTGTGTAAAAAAGAATGTTTTTTTCAAACAGTATAATAAGTAGGATGGGAAGGACTGTGCGGATGAGAACTTTTACTATGTAAATAGCTTTTTCTCTCTCTCTTGTTAAATTTGATTTCTTTGTTTCTTATTTTTGTTACTTCTTTTGTAACTTCTTTTTTCTTTATAAATTTTCTATTTTATATAATTTTCTTTTTTTTAACCTGTTAAGAGATAGTACATAATGTTTGTATAGACATGCAAATCTTTAAATCAATAAAGAACTGATAGTCAAAAAAACAAAAAAACAAACACATCGGAGTTGCAATAATTATGGGATCCCCAAAGGTCATCCAGTCCTACCCGCTGCAATGCAAGGGACCAGAGTACCGGGACCTATTTTCCTAGAGGGGGGAAAAAGCACTGATTACAACCATTTGCCACGGTGGGAGCTGGAAGCCAGCAACACCTGGAGGACCACTGGTTACCCACCCTCTGCCCTTTCCTATGAGCAGCTTTCCACCGCGTCGGAAGAGACGGCGACGGCGACAGGGCAGGACACAGAGCAACCCCGCCGTCACGCGATGAGCTTATCCGTCTATCCCCGTTCGTAAGTCTATGTTTCGGAAACGACGCAGGGCGCGCGCGGAGGCCGTCAGCGGCCGGACGCCCGCTCCTTGTTTCTTCCGCCGCTCTGCCCTGCGTCTCTATGGTCACGCGGGAGACGCCGCCTCACAAGAGGAAGAGAACCAGCTAGAGCCGGGCTCAGGGAGAGGAGAGAGCGCTCAAGATGGCGGCGGCTGGAGGCGGAGGGGACTTGGACGGCGGCGGCCACGGCGGCGTCCCAGAGAGTGGCGCCCTCTCCCAGGAAGCGGAGGGCGGCCCGGACGCGGAGAGCGACTCGGAGGTGTTTTCGTGCGTGGCTCACTGCTCCGAGCTGGCCTGGCGGCAGAACGAGCAGCGGCAGTTGGGCCTCTTCTGTGACGTCACGTTGGCTTTCACCGGCGGCAGTAACGGCGGCGCGGAGCAGGAGGCGGCGGAGGAGGGGCGGAGGGAGAAGGGCGCCGGCCTCGGAGCCGCTTTCCCCAGCGCCGAGCCGCCCGCTCGGGAGTTCCGCGCCCACCGCTCGGTCCTCGCGGCCGCCACCGAATACTTCGCCCCTCTCCTCTCGGGGGACTTCGCCGAGTCCCGGTCGGGCCGCGTGGAGCTGCGCAGATGGAGCTCCGAGGCCGGGCCGGACCCGGAGACGGTGGAGGCCGTCATCGGCTTCATGTACACGGGCCGCGTCCGCGTCAGCCCCGGCAACGTCCACGAGGTCCTGGAGCTGGCCGACAGGTGAGGCGGGTGGCCGGGGTTGGGGGGGTCATGGGTTCAAGAGGAGGGCGGCTGCTTGGCGGGTTGGTAGCAGTGATCAGAAACTGAGCGGAACCTTCGTTTAACGTGGAATGATACACTTCTTTAAATATTATTCTACTATTTTTTGGGGTGGGGGTGGGGAAAATACATTCAGTGCACTGTTTCTTTTTGAAAAGAAAAGTTTGCGATTGCTGGCACATCAAGATGTATTGGGAGTATGCTGTGTCGCACATTAAGCACAAGAACTGTATATTTATCAGGGTGTTTTTATGTCATCTTAATTGCCCCACCCATAGTAAAAGGGACATGCTGACGTATATGATTGACATGCCCATACTTTGAAAAGTTTTGGACCATAGTGGAATGCCGAAATAATAAAAATTCCAACAGCATAGATAGACGTCAGGCAAATGCATTCCTCTTCTCCCAGACCGTTGGCCTTTAATTATCCGTGGCCTTTTAGAAGTGGGTGGGATGTATTTCTTTTTCCTCTTGGTTTTAATGTATTAATTGGGAGGTTGTCTGTTTGGTTGTAAGTTGCTTCGGGTTGCCCTGGTCAAGATAATGCAACTCAACAAATTCGATGGAATCATAGTAATATATTCCAGAGTTGTTCATTTTATCAATATTTATAGCATCTAATAAGAAGATAAGTTATAAGGATTTGATAGCACATTTTTGGTGGCACCTACTAGAAGAACAATAGTACAATGTTGGGAGATATCTGGATAATGTGTCTTGGTATGGAAACATATGGTATATAGCAGAAAGCATATGGTATATAGCAGTATCAGAAAAAGTTTGTCCGCATACTCAAAAAAGGAAAAGCACAGCCCCAGGATGTTAGCACTGTGGGTTGGGACTTTATATGCAATGGACACTGGAGAATATGAGGCATTATCAGAAGTGGCGAGAAGGGTGTGGCTGGGGCACTGTCTCCCTTCAACTACGGACAATTAATTAGAATACACTTGGAACTATAATGCAAGATTTAGATAAGATATGTGTGAGGGATACTGTATCATTTGAATCACCTCCATGATAGTTTGTGGTTATAGATATATTTTGTATTTCATTTGTTGAGGACCCCCCCCCCCGCCTCCATGTACTGTCATTTCTGTCCTCATGCATGAAAACTCTCCCTTACCATGTTCTTTGGTAGACAGAAAAATATTAACGCAGAGAGTGCTGAGCCAGTTGTACATACAGCTGAAGTAAAGACAACCCACCTAGGTCAGTGGGGTAAACTGCCAACCCCAACCTTCGTATAAATACATGAAATTCTGTGATGTATGATGACTGACTGACATATTTTCCCAGTCATTTCCTTCCTTCCTACCTACCTACCTACCTACAAAGACAATCAGTCTTTCTGATTGCCAGTGTGGTGTAGTGGTTAAGAGCGGTAGATTCGTAATCTGGGGAGCTGGTTCACGTCTCCACTCCTCCACATGCAGCTGCTGGGTGACCTTGGGCTAGTCACACCTTTCTGAAGTCTCTCAGCCCCACTCACCTCACAGAGTGTTTGTTGTGGGGGAGGAAGGGAAAGGAGAATGTTAGCCGCTTTGAGACTCCTTTGGGTAGTGATAAAGCGGGATATCAAATCCAATCTCTTCATAAATTTATAACAGGGCCATGAATTTATTTTTAAGATATATGTTTGCATTAAATTTGGATTTTATTTTAAAATGGGTTACTTTTTATAGGTGAATGTTTTTGAAATTCACAAGATTTAAGGAGAAGATCTGTAAGAAGGATGGGTTTCTGAAGGGGGAGAAGCTGCCCAAATGATAATGCTGTCCGGTTAGTTGTGACTTTCCATATCATGGAAGTTAGTTCTCGAAAAGGGCCAACAGTTCAGTAGTGGAGCATATGATTGTAATACATATAAGGTCTGAGGTTTAGTCCCTAGTGCATCTTTACAAAGCATATTGGAAAGCGGGACTGGAGGAAAAAAAATCCGTACTTGAGTCCTTGGGAACCATTTCTACTTGGAAAAGAGTAGACAATACAGTGGTGCCCCGCAAGATGAATGCCTCGCAAGACGAAAAACTCGCTAGACGAAAGGGTTTTCCGTTTTTTGAGTCGTTCCGCAAGACGAATTTCCCTATGGGCTTGCTTTGCAAGACGAAACGTCTTGCGAATTTGTTTCCTTTTTCTTAAAGCCGCTAAGCCGTTAATAGCCGCTAATAGCCGTGCTTCGCAAGACGAAAAAACCGCAAGACGAAGAGACTCGTGGAACAGATTAATTTCGTCTTGCGAGGCACCACTGTACTGGACTAGGTGGACCATTGGGCTGACTGGGTATAATGGTAATATACTTGTATATAGACTGAGTGGAACAATGAATTTTGCACAAGATTGGAGATGGGTGAGATGAAACCATGCAGGTGAATGTTGAGTTCTTATTAAATGTTTCTGCCCCACCTGTATAAATCATGTCCCATCTGTGTCATGGTTTTATGTGACTTTCTATTTTGTGGAACTGAACAGTTAAAGCATCTTTAATGTAGCTACATGAAGGTGTAGAAAGGGTAATGTCGCCTGTCCCTATTAGGTGTTTGTAAAGTGAAAAGCAGGGTACAAGTTGTTAGTTATATAGTATGACGTTTCTTCACTCCTCTCTTTGAGCTATTTAAAATATATGTATATTTCTTTTGCAGGTTTTTATTGTTGCGTTTAAAGGAGTTCTGTGGGGAATTCCTGAAAAAGAAACTGAACCTCTCCAACTCTGTAGCCATCCATAGCTTGGCTCATATGTATTCGCTGAATCAACTGGCACTGAAAGCTGCTGACATGATCAGGAGGAACTTCTACAAAGTCATCCAAGATGAGGAGTTTTTCACTTTGCCATTTCACCTCATCAGAGACTGGCTTTCAGATTCAGAAATCACAGTGGACTCAGAAGAAGTTCTCTTTGAGATGGTTTTAAAGTGGGTTCAAAGAAACCCTGATGAAAGAGAAAAGTACTTTGGGGAACTCTTTAAACTTCTCCGTCTTTCTCAGATGAAGCCCACTTACTTGACCCGACATGTCAAATCTGAAAGGCTTGTATCCAGAGATGAAGCTTGCCTCAATCTTGTGTCAGAAGCAGTAGAAAGCCATGCTCTCAGGGCTGAGAATTTGCAGTTAGGCACCCTCCAACAAGTCACTTCTGCAACATGCCTGCCTCGCTTTGGGCAAAACATGGATGTTATCATGGTTATTGGTGGTGTGTCCGAGGGAGGCGACTACTTGAGTGAGTGTGTGGGGTATTTTATTGACGAAGATAGATGGGTGAATTTACCTCACATACACAATCATCTCGATGGACATGCTGTTGTAGTGACAGAATCCTATGTTTATGTAGCAGGATCCATGGAGCCTGGCTTTGCCAAAACTGTAGAAAGATACAACCCAAATAGAAATGTCTGGGAGCAGGTTTCCAATCTGATAACCAGGAAGCATTCTTTTGGCCTTGCCGAGGTAAAAGGGAGCCTGTACAGCATTGGTGGGCATGGGAATTTTATCCCTGGTTTCAAAGATGTAGCTGTCTACCACCCTGATCAAGACAAGTGGCAAAATTTGGAGTCTGCACCAAAGATACTTCGGGATGTCAAAGTAGTCACTGTAGATGACAGGTTTGTGTATATGGCTGCCCGAACCCCGGTTGACGGGGATAGTGAGGAAGGCTTAAGAGCTGTCATCATCCGATATGATGTAGATGCAAGACAGTGGCAGGATTCTGAGTCTCTGCCACTCCTGGACAACTATTGTTGTTTTCAGATGGCTGTGGCCAACACAAACTTTTACCACACAGCCTCATGTTGTCCTAGGAGCTACCCACAGGATCATGAGGAAGTCAAGAGAAAGATCTCTAGCCAGGTGTCCGATGACATTCTGGAAAGTTTACCACCAGAGGTTCTTAGTATTGAAGGGGCAGCCGTCTGCTATTACAAAGATGATGTGTTCATCATAGGTGGATGGAAGAACAGTGATGACACAGACAAACAATACAGGAAAGAGGCTTACCGCTACTGTGCTGAGAGGAAGCGTTGGCTGTTGCTCCCTCCCATGCCCCAGCCTCGCTGTCGTGCAACAGCCTGTCATGTGAGAATCCCCTTCCGGTCCTTGCATGGTACCCAGCGATATCCAATGCCGCAAAACCTAATGTGGCAGAAGGACCGGATCCGGCAGATGCAGGAGATACACCGTCATTCCTTAAGCTTGCGGAGGATGCCACGGTCACAGATAGAGTGCTAACTTGAATAAATGGAGTTTGAAAAATGCCTTTCTGTCTTGCCATGCTCAGCATGGTCCTCCAACTGTAACCTAAGCAGTTATGTTTAGGCACTGAGGATTATTGAAGGGGATCTAGTTTTCTGGGCTTTAAATAGGTTGGCAGGATTGTGAGCATCACATGTGAACTTGGATGTATTTTAGCCATAATATGGAGGTAGGCATAGTTTTCAAGCTCTTCAATCCTTTAGTTTCCCCCACAGATGGGATGCAGATATAGAGCCCAGCAAAATAATTGTTCTGGAAATCTGTAGATGTGTTCACAGATGTCCAGTGTCACAGCACAGGCCCTCCCCTCCCTTTCCCTGGAGTTTATTCCATTTAGGTGTGGGTGAAGGAGAATTTCCCAGTGTACTGGAGCTTCTCACTCCTCTTAAAGCATTTATACAGGCTGTGTGAAGTATTTTTTTACTTACTTTAAAATACTGATAAATCTCATACCATTTCAAAAGTTGCATTTTAACCTGTTAGTTTTATTTGCTTTCGCAAAATTGTTTTTTTTTTTAAAAAAAATCTGCAATTGCTATGAATGCGCTTGCTTTTCTTAAACTTGGAGCCATGTGCAATAGTTTAATAACAAACCAACCCCTATATATTATAAGTAAAGCACAATCTTTCACAGAACTTCAAAACGTTCCTATGCTTATAAATATTTTATAGTTATATTTATCTAGAAGCATTTGCGTTTACAAAGAGATTGTGGTGAAAACCGGATATTCTAATAGTTGAATTATTTTCAGGCCTATATTAAAAGATTTCAGAGTCCTTACTTTTGAGGGTTTCACTGTAATTTTTGGTGATGCCCTTTTCTACTTTGGAGTAGTCCCATTGATTTCAATAAAATTAATATGTATATGGTTCAGGATTGTGGCCTTAAAGGAATGAGTGGAAAGACCAAAAAGATAAGCACTACAAGTCCAAATTCATAATCTGAAGGAATTGGGGGTTCATTAATGCAGGGAGAAAGCTCAATGAACTCTGTGTGTTCAGGTAAGTCTGGTTAGGAAAAAAAACACTCAACCTGCCTTTGACAATCAAATATATTTGCCTTTATGATGCTCCATTCCTTGTTCTGACTGTGTTGAGTACTTGAGACTGGTTGGAGTGGAACAGTTGCCTCAGTTATAATTTTGATAGTAAGGGTCCAAGTCTCACCAATGTCTTAATGGTGTTTTGGCAGAAAATAAAATAGAGAAAAATTATTTGAGTCTGGTGGAAGTTCTGTGCTGCTTTCGTCCCTCAAAAAAGCAAGGTGTTTGCTTTCTCTAGAATTTTGTTAATTTTATTGGAGATGTAACTTACTGGTCCAACTTAGGGGCACACTTAAGCTTTAGACCATTACAGAATTATTTCTCAGGCAGGCAAACTGCACAGTAAATAATTAATGAAACTCTGTAATATCGTAAGTTGGTCCAACAAAATATTTCATTTTACCTTTGTGAATTTTGTCCTTTTGGGATCAATGTGACCACTTTCTACTGATACCTTACCAAGTTATCCAAGGCAGGTTTCTCATTGATTTCCTCTGGCCTCATCACTTCCCTCCCCCTACCCTCCACTGACACCCAAACATACAGTGGCAGTATTTATCCTGCCCCTACTATTATCTTCAATAAATTACTTCTGGCATCATTGTTGACATGAGGCAGTTGTGCCCCCTCCACTCCACTGTCAGTGTGTACAGAAGCTTAAGGTGTGATGGTAAAGTTAAAGGGAAGTCCTCAGGTGAGATCAAGACCTGAGTCATGCAGTCACTGGGCTCTTGTGTAAGTAGAATACTTGGAATAAAATTGGTCACTATTTCCAAGTTTCTCCAAAAAAGCTCAAATGTTATTTTCCCTGGTTTCTGCCCTTCCTATGTCTTTTGGTGGTTTCCCCTCTGTTAACTTGTTCAGGTTTATATGATGCTTAATTCAGGATAATTGAGATGGGACAAGGAGAAATCAGTATGTGAGAAATCTGCATTGATCAAGATTGTTATGAAAGTTAATTACAGTATTGTTAAACAGCAGGGACTTAAATACTGTCAATTCTTGTTTTCCAATTTAGCAAGAAGCATAACTCATGTCTGATACAGTGGGGTAAGTCTTTAAACTGCATGGGTGTGTACAGGTTTTCTTGACTTGCATTTGACCCTTAATAATTGCCTTTTACAATATATATTTTGGATTAGAATTCTGTGTTCATTAAATAACTGTCTTGTTATCAAGTTCAGACTAACGCAGCCTTGTCAAACAAAGGAAGTCACAAACATTTAAGAGTCCAGTAGTACCCACTTGCTTGCTTTAAGATATATTGTATGCACCAGCCAATTATTTATGGAGAAGATAGATACTTCAAAAAGCTTCTTGAAAATTCAGGGCTCAAACAGCCCTGCTAAGTCCATTGGTAGAGGTACTGATTAAGAGAAATACACAGAATCTTTGCCTAGCATCAAATTTTGGATGCATCTATATGGAAAACAAACTTTAAAAACTGGGAATTGTGGTTTTTTTACAAGGTCTGAATGTTGTATGTTAGAAATTTCTCACAGCACCAGGATTGAATGGGAAAAGCAATGAGACTTTAAGCAGTTTAAGCTTGTAGTGGAGACACGGCCCTATGTGTGTCTGTTAAATGAAACGCTAGCTGAAATGCAACACAAGTTTTGAGATTTCATGACAGATTATCTGGCCTGCGGTGCAGAATGGTTGGTAGTCACCACAAAAGAGTATAATCATATTGACTGTGTACTGTATCTGTGCAGTTGTTCAGTCTGGCTGGTAAGCTTTGCTTTTTAAATTAAACCCTATGTCACTTTGGATGTTGCTTGTGAATGCCAGTCACTTAGTATACAAGTGTCTACATGTCTTGCTTTGAGATTTCTGTTTGCATGGAGAGTTAAGAGCACACTAGAGAACAGTCCCATTGTTCCACATGTAGTGTTAAATGTTGGGACTTCTTAATGTATACTCGGATGTTAGGCTACTAACTTGCTCCGTTGTTCTGAGTGCCTCTTAGCCCCCCTGAATAGCACAGCTCATGTGCTGCATGCAAAAGCCCTATCTACTTAGTCATGTCATTCCTTGATGAAACACAGCAGTTGATAATTATTGTTGCCTGGCAAAGGGAAATCCTGTTGGACCATCCAGATTACTCCCAGTTGGTGAAGACTGATAGCTGTAGGCTACATTTCTAAACATCACTGAGAGTCCCAAATCATTGGACGTGTACTTCGCTGGCTACGATAGGGCTACTCACCATAGATAGGTCCTTTTGTTCTCAGCAACTTAAAAGACGTCAAGAAAATTGCAGTTGAGTTACAGAACAGGCAAGCATGCCAGCTGTCAGACTTGGGAAGACAATCTCTCTTAAGATGTACTGATTCTCTGCTATGGCTGAATGCATGTTTCACACACTGCCTTCTTCTTGTGATGCTAGTGGACACAGCTAGATCTTTCTCTGATGCCTGAGCTGACATTATTACTGAAGTAATACTGTCTGTAGGTTACATAGTCTTTCCATTAGTAGATTTAAACATCTGTCTTGTGTCTGTGTATTTCCGTGAGGCTTACCCTTGCACAGTGAGAGTTAACAGTCATGTCAACGCAATGTTATTTCTGTAATCTCTGCAACATTGCCACGAATGACTCCTCTGTGCTTGCTGCAGCCTCTAACCACAGGAGGGCAGAATTCATATATAAAAATTAAGATACCAGTATTTGCAGTGTGACCAGTGGTCCATTTTTAGGAGGCCACATAGAAGTGCTACTAGTATGAGCACCTATCATTTAATAATAATAGTAGTATTCCAGGGAAACATCTGCTCACAGAAGCCAAGCTGAATTGGCGGTATGCACATCAGTCTGTTCTGCCTCCCTATTTCTGGGACACTTGCCACAAAGCTATCCTAGTTGGAAGCCATTTTTCTCCTTGCTTCCCCTGAGCCCAGTTAAGGTGGCGTTGAATGTAAGTCTAAAAGTTAGTTGGTAGTCCCAATAATCTCTCATGGATCAGTGAACCTCGAAAACAACACATGGTTTTTTTCTTTCTTCCTCATTCCAGCCCCAATTTGCCTTGTGTCTGCTGCTTAATAAACTGGGTAACATAAGCTTCATATAATGAAATGCAGACATCCATCCCTTTGGGTAGAGTCCTTTTGAAGCTATGTCCCTAAAGTCTATTTTTTAAACCTGCGAATCAATATATGTTGTACTACGGTTCTGTAACACTAAACTTGATCTCAATAAACATTTTATTTCTCTATTTCTGTTCTGACTGCTTCGTGTTATTGCTCATAATTGTTTATGGATGTGTTCCAGAACAGTATTCCCCAACAGTCTGGGGAATTTAGATCCCATTTGTCTCCTGCCTTCAAATTCAGCTTGTGGTTGGGGCATTCTTCAGCCATGAAGGAAAGTCTTCAGTCCCCATTTTTTATCCCAGTTTTGGTCACTTGGACAAGAAGAATGAATTAAAATGGACTGCATCAAAGATAGTGACTGGGAATGTTCGGTATTCATCATTTTGTCAGTCTTGTAGCTGTAGAAAATTGACAAAAGCTTAGCCTACCTGTCCAAGCTGTCTTATGTTAGCAAATTACTGTGGGTTGGACTGCAATTAAATTAGTTGCACTTTGGTTTCATTGAAATCAATGTGAAGTTAGTCATAATGAACTTAAGTTTTCATGTAGCCTGGATAACTCAGTTGGTTAGAGCATGGTGCTGCTAACATCAAGATGGCAGGTTTGATCCCTGTATGGGACAACTGCTTATTCCTGCATTGCAGGGGGTTGGACTAGATGATCCTCGGGGTCTCTTCCAACTCTGTAATTCTGTGTTTCTATTGATCATAACGAGGCCTATGGAAAATTAGTCTAGCTCCAAGCTATTGGGGTGCAATAAATCCAGTATTGGCAAGCATATAGGAATTTAGAATGTTTCTATAAAAAGCGCAAAAGTCTGAAATTCTCTTCTGGGAGTACCCATAAGAACAAAAAGCACTGGTTTTAGCAGATTTGGTGTACGTACTCCAACAAACATGTTTATATTGACACCTGGGTTTGAGGGACGCAGGTGGCGCTGTGGGTTAAACCACAGAGCCTAGGACTTGTCGATCAGAAGGTCGGCGGTTCAAATCCCCGCGACAGGGTGAGTTCCCATTGCTTGGTCCCCGCTCCTGCCAACCTAGCGGTTCGAAAGCATGTCAAAGTGCAAGTAGATAAATAGGTACCACTCTGGTGGGAAGGTAAACGGCGTTTCTGTGCGCTGCTCTGGTTCGCCAGAAGCGGCTTAGTCATGCTGGCCACATGTCCCGGAAGCTGTACGCCGGCTCCCTCTGCCAATAAAGCGAGATGAGCGCCGCAACCCCAGAGTCGGTCACGACTGGACCTAAGGGTCAGGGGTCCCTTTACCTTACTCCAAACAAACATGTTTATATTGACAGCTGGGTTCCACTCCGGGTGGCTTCCAACAAAATATTAAAATACAATAGCGTGTTAAACATGAAAAGCTCCCCTAAACAGGGCTACCTTCAGATGTCTTGGCCTAGAATTCCTTGGTTTTCATAACGAAAGGCAGTGAATTGAGTCAAACCCCCTGGCCCATCTTGCTCAGTGACCTGCTTGAGACATCCTCCAAGAGACTCAGGCAGGAGTCTGAGATTCCACTGAGCTATGGCCCTTTCACCTTCCCCCATAGACGTCCACGTGGAGAATCTGGAGCAGGACCTGCACTTGGAACAAGCAAAGGTGGTATGCAGAGGGAGGAAGTGTCACGTGGCGGGGCCAGCTTGCCTGCTCTTCTGCGACACCTACAGCCTCCACGGCAAACTACACACTGTTTTGGACTAAGTACATACACTTCGAACACCTTCCAGCCTTCGGAAGAAATAAACAGAGCAGAGGCAGGTCTTGGGTTGCGCCGCTGTTCAGCCTGGACATCTTTCATCGGCCCTTAGAAACAGTGCAAAACAGTGATCCCAGCGCAGACGGCATTTCCTCTTGTCGTACTTCCTGGCCTTAAGGATTTTGGGAAGGATTTCCACGTGAGAGGGAGGAGGCACTTATTTAATCATCCGCTCGGTTGTTTCCTAACGGAACGATGCAGCCCTTAAAATAAAAAAATCCCTTTGCAAATGCTATTTTATATGCTTTATGGGAGGGGGGGGGGAAACAACTACAAAACCACAAGTGCACAGAGTAAGGTAAGAAGAAAAAACAACAAATACAACCCATGTAGAAAACAAAAGATACTGTGTACGGTGCCAAAAAAAAGAAGAAAAATTGTCATTGTAGTTAACCAGATCTCTTTGCAAATCACAATAGAAGAGACAAATGAATGCCTGCCAATATCTATCTGTCTGTCTGTCTATCTATCTATCAGGTGCTTCACTTTGGCTGAGGGATCATTCCTTAAATCCAGGGGTTAGCAGGGGGCCAGTTCACTGTCCCTCAGACCTTGTGGGGGGCTAGACTATATTTTGAAAAAAATATATGAACGAATTCCTATGCCCCACAAATAACCCAGATATGCATTTTAAATAAAAGCACACATTCTATTCATGTAAAAACGCCAGGCAGGCCCCACAAATAACCCAGAGAGGCATTTTAAATAAAAGGACACATTCTACTCATGTAAAAACACGCTGATTCCCGGACCATCCGCGGGCCGGAATTAGAAGGCGATTGGGCTGGATCCGGCCCCCGGGCCTTAGTTTGCCTACCCATGCTTAAATCTGACTTTTTGAGTCTGGCAATGCCACTAATAGGAACCTCGCACGCACTGGCTCACATTAAGCTGCCGCGTAGCTGCGCGCGAGAGCGAGAAGGTCCGGTTATCGGGATCTTGCAGGCGGCAACTCCGCCCGGGGTGGAACTAAAGGCAGGGTGACCCCAAGATGCCTCACCCCCACCCCGGGGGGTGGAGTGGGGTTTGGGGGCGGGAAGTGCAGCGAGCAACCCGGCCGCGATCGAAGCAGCTTGGAGGAAACCTCTCCCCAGATCTTAGCCAGCAGCAGCAGCCAAGAACTCGGCCCAGACCCCGAGGGGCGGAGACGCAGGAGGAGGCGCCTGCGGAGCCCAGCCCAGCTCAGGGAGGGAGACCTCCCTCTTCTCCTTCCTTCTCCGGCTTTCTCCATTCTCGATCCCAGTTACAAAACTCCTCGTCGTCCGGGGACGGCTTGCTGGGCGAAGATCATGGTTAGATCCTGGGGAAGGCGGGCGGGAAAAGGAAGGGGGCTTTGCTAAAATGCGCTTTTTTTTTTGCAAGCCGTCGGAGAATACGCTTTCCAAAAACTCGAGGTGGGGGGTTTTGGCTGCAAAGCAAATTGCACAGCGCTTCCAAGCGATCTCCCCTACCATCGGCTATGAATATGCCCGTTTTGTAGGGTGAGGTGTGGGAAGGCGGAAGTGTGTTGGGTTGTGGGGGTGGGGGTTGGGGGTGGGGAGACATGTTGGGAACCCACTTTCTGAGCCAGAACTGGTGGGGAAGGGGATGCGGCTTTTGGAGGCGGCCTTGCGCTTGTCCAAACAGAATATGGGGTGTGTTTATATGGCAGAATTAGGGGCTGATCTTTTCATAAGGCGGGTGTTTAGTATGAAGGAGGGGGTGGGGGTCCAGGAAAGCAGCTGTCTGGGGGGCGTGAGTTCCCCTTCTTTATTAGGAGGTCGCCAAACACTGGAGGGAGCTGAGCGGATTCTGTGCCAGGGAGACAGCTGTCAGGAGCAGCTTTGCTTTGCTTATGATATTATGGTTATGTAATCCTTACAAGAACCCTGAAAGGTAGGCCAGTATTATTTCCCCAACCCCCCCCCCATTGCAGACAGGAGGGGTGGAGGCTAAAGCCGAGAGAGAGAGAGAGAGAGAGAGAGAGGGAGTGGCTTGTGCAAATTCAAGCTGGCAGTGACCCGACTTGTAGCTTAGGCTCTGCTAAGCCAGCTGCCCTGATGCAAGGTGATCTGGGAGGGGGGGGGTCAGGTTTGTGGGGGTCAGGTTTCACGTGGTTTGAGGAGAGAGAGGGTCTCTGGGGTGGAATCGTGGGGGGTCCGTGACTGGGGATGAGGAGGGGGAAATTAGATCGTTATAGGTCTTTCCCCTTGGTGAACGTAGTGGGAGATTTAAAGCAGAACATGGACTGCAAGAAGATCAAACCTATCCATTCTGAAGGAAATCAGCCCTGAGTGCTCACTGGAAGGACAGATCCTGAAGCTGAGGCTCCAATACTTTGGCCACCTCATGAGAAGAGAAGACTCCCTGGAAAAGACCCTGATGTTGGGAAAGATGGGGGGCACAAGGAGAAGGGGATGACAGAGGACGAGATGGTTGGACAGTGTTCTCGAGGCTACGAACATGAGTTTGACCAAGCTGCGGGAGGCAGTGGAAGACAGGAATCATAGAATCATAGAGTTGGAAGAGACCACAAGGGCCATCGAGTCCAACCCCCTGCCAACCAGGAAACACCATCAGAGCACTCCTGACATATGGTTGTCAAGCCTCTGCTTAAAGACCTCCAAAGAAGGAGACTCCACCACACTCCTTGGCAGCAAATTCCACTGTCGAACAGCTCTTACTGTCAGGAAGTTCTTCCTAATGTTTAGGTGGAATCTTCTTTCTTGTAGTTTGGATCCATTGCTCCGTGTCCGCTTCTCTGGAGCAGCAGAAAACAACCTTTCTCCCTCCTCTATGTGACATCCTTTTATATATTTGAACATGGCTATCATATCACCCCTTAACCTCCTCTTTTCCAGGCTAAACATGCCCAGCTCCCTTAGCCGTTCCTCATAAGGCATCATTTCCAGGCCTTTGACCATTTTGGCTGCCCTCCTCTGGACACGTTCCAGTTTGTCAGTGTCCTTCTTGAACTGTGGTGCCCAGAACTGGACACAGTACTCCAGGTGAGGTCTGACCAGAGCAGAATACAGTGGCACTATTACTTCCCTTGATCTAGATGCTATACTCCTATTGATGAGGCCCAGAATTGCATTGGCTTTTTTAGCTGCCGCGTCACACTGTTGGCTCATGTCAAGTTTGTGGTCAACCGAGACTCCTAGATCCTTTTCACATGTACTGCTCTCAAGCCAGGTGTCACCCATCTTGTATTTGTGCCTCTCATTTTTTTTTGCCCAAGTGCAATACTTTACATTTCTCTTTGTTAAAATTCATCTTGTTTGTTTTGGCCCAGTTCTCTAATCTGTCAAGGTCGTTTTGAAGTGTGATCCTGTCCTCTGGGGTGTTAGCCACCCCTCCCAGTTTGGTGTCATCTGCAAATTTGATCAGGATGCCCCTGAGTCCATCATCCAAGTCGTTGATAAAGATGTTGAATAAGACCGGGCCCAAGACAGAACCCTGTGGCACCCCACTAGTCACTCTTCTCCAGGATGAAGAGAAACCATTGATGAGCACCCTTTGGGTTCGGTCAGTCAGCCAGTTACAAATCCACTGAGTGGTAGCATAGTCAAGACCGCATTTTACCAGCTTATTTACAAGAATATCATGGGGCACCTTGTCAAATGCCTTGCTGAAATCAAGGTAGGCTACATCCACTGCGTTCCCTTCATCTACCAGGCTTGTAATTCTGTCAAAAAACGAGATCAGGTTAGTCTGACGTGACTTATTTTTCAGAAATCCATGCTGACTATTGGTGATCACAGTATTCCTTTCTAGGTGCTCACAGACTGTTTGCTTAATGATCTGCTCCAGAATCTTCCCTGGTATTGATGTCAGACTGACTGGGCGGTAATTATTTGGGTCCTCTCTTTTCCCCTTTTTGAAAATAGGGACAACATTTGCCCTCCTCCAGTCTGCCGGGACTTCGCCTGTTCTCCAGGAATTCTCAAAGATGACTGCCAGTGGTTCTGAGATCACATCTGCCAGTTCTTTTAATACTCTTGGATGCAGTTCATCTGGCCCTGGAGACTTGAATACATCTAAACTAGCCAAGTATTCTTGTACTATCTCCTTAGTTATTCTGGGCTGTGTTTCCTTTGCTGAATCATTTGCTCCAAATTCTTCAGGTCAGGCATTGTTTTCTTTATCGGAGAAGACTGAGGCAAAGAAGGCATTGAGGAGTTCAGCCCTTTCTGTGTCCCCTGTTTGCATTTCACCATCTTCTCCTCTGAGTGACCCCACTGTTTCTTTGTTCTTCCTTTTGCTACGAACATACCCATAAAAGCCTTTGTTGTTGCTTTTAACCTCTCTAGCAAGCCTGAGTTCATTCTGTGCTTTAGTTTTTCTGACTTTGTGTCTACACGTGCTGGCTATTTGTTTGAATTCCTCTTTGGTGGTTTCCCCCCTTTTCCATTTTTTGTACACATCCTTTTTTAATCTTAACTCAGTTAAAAGTTCTTTAGATAGCCACCCTGGCTTCTTTAGGCACCTTCCATGTTTCCGTCTCATTGGTATTGCCTGACGTTGTGCTTTTAGTATTTCCCTCTTAACAAACTCCCAGCCATCATGAACTCCCTTTCCTTTTAGTATTACTGTCCATGGGATCTCACCCAGCACTTCCCTAAGTTTTATGAAGTCGGCTTTCTTAAAGTCAAGAAATTGAGTCCTAGTATGCTTGGCTGCTCCTTTCCGCTGTATAGTAAACTTCAGAAGAGCATGATCACTCGCGCCTAATGATCCTTCCACTTCTACCCCACTAACCAGGTCATCAACATTGGTTAGGACCAGATCTAAAATGGCTGTTCCTCTTGTTGCTTCTCCCACTTTCTGGACAATGAAGTTGTCTGCAAGGCCAGTGAGGAATCTGTTTGACCTTATGCTCTTGGCTGAGTTTGACATCCAACAAATATCCGGGTAATTGAAGTCCCCCATTACTACTATCTCCCTTCCTTTTGCATGCTTGGCCATCTGTTCCAGGAAGGCATCATCTATGTCCTCCGTTTGGCTTGGGGATCTATAGTAAACTCCCACAATGAGGTCACTGTTATTCTTCTCTCCCTTAATTTTGACCCAAATGCTCTCACTTTGGCTTTGAGGTTCTAAATCTTGGATCTCTTCACAGGTATACACATCCCTGACATATAACGCCACTCCTCCTCCTTTCTTGTCTGGTCTGTTTCTCTGAAATAGATTGTATCCCCCATTATTACATTCCAATCGTGGGACTTATCCCACCAGGTTTCAGTGATGCCTATTATGTCATATTTAGTTTGCTGTACCAAGAGCTCAAGCTCATCTTGTTTATTTCCCATGCTTTGCGCATTAGTGTACAGACATTGAAGTCCATTAATCATTCCCCCGTGTCTCTTATTTAAGGATTTTTTCCTCCCACTACTAGGTCTGCGTGCTGTTTGCTCCATTTGGTCTATGACATTTGGATGATCGTCTTCATCAATTGATAGACTCCTACCTTCAGGAGCACTGTCTCCCTCCCCCACATTAATCAGTTTAAAGCCCTCCTGATGAGGTTTCTGAGATTTTTGGCAAAAGCATTTCTCCCAACTGTTGTGAGGTGCAGCCCATCGCTTGCCAGAAGTCCATCTTCAAGAAACTGCAGTCCGTGATCTAAGAATCCAAACCGTTCCTGTTTACACCATTTGCGAAGCCAGCTGTTCACTTCCACTATTTTTCCCTCTCTCCCTGGGCCACGTCGTTCAACTGGGAGGAGTGCCTGGCATGCTCTGGTCCACGGGGTCCCGAAGAGTCGGACACGACTAAACAACAACAACAACAAAATACTAAGGATGAATACTCTAGGTCGGCGGTTCCCAGCCTGTGGGTCCCCGTATGTTGTTGAACTACAACTCCCATCACCCCTGAGCTCTGGCCTTGCTAGCTAGGGGTGATGGGAGATGTAGTCCAACAACATCTGGGGATCCACAAGTTGAGAAAGGCTGTACTAGGTGCTTGTTTGTTGGTGCAACGGGGGAATGGAGGAAAAGCAAGGAGCCTTTGGAAGTGGAGGTTGGGAGTCCACCGCCCTCCAGATGTTGATGGACTCCAGCTCCCATCAGCCTGCCAATTAAATAGTCAGGGATAGTGGACGTTGTAGTCCCAGTGGTCTTTCAGGGAAGGCTGAAGGTCTTGGAAGGAAGTGCAGGAAGGTCCTTGGGAAGTGGATGGTGCAGGTTGGAGATGAGAAATGGTGTCCTTTTGCAAGACTATCAAGAAGACTAGACTGGAGAGGGGGCAGGAATTGTCTGGGATGCTCTATGGGAGAGTAAAGCCCACAGGCAAGGATTTGACTTGCTCTCTTCCCATTGGCTCCCTATGCCAATTTGTCCAAGTCCCTCAAACCCTTTGAGTCTTTGGCCTTCTCTGCAACTTGGTACTGACTCTTCAGAGTAGCAGCAAGTTGGGCAGAAAGGTACCCACAAACACACCTGTGTACACCAACCATGCTTGCATTGGGGGATGCTGTGGGTGTACTTGGGCTTTGGGTCTTTCTTCCTAAGGAGGTCAAGTTAGCCTTCTCTCTGTTAAACTTTACATCAAAAAGTGAAGACTTTTTTATTGGCCCACTGAGATAATTCTTATTCAGCTGCTTGCTTTTTTTTTTTTTAAGGCTCTGCTGTTTTTTTTAAAAATTCATTTTTATTGGGTTTTTCATTTTTACAATGTCTGTAATCATTACATTACATTCAAGTTTCAATTTCCCCTTTCCCTGCTGACTTCCCTCAACTTCCATCCCTGGTTTATTACATCTCATATTACATCCTGCTGTTTAGATATACTTCTGTATTATCGTACTATTAAGTTTCTTGTTTTTTTATAAATAAAATTGCCAATGTTTATTTAAATCCTGCCAATAACGCTTTTTTTTTCTTCTGCAAATATGATGTAAAAGGTTCCCATTCTTTTTCAAAGTCACTGTTGTCTTTTTCACGTAGTTAATCTGTTAACTTTGCCAACTCTGCATAGTTCATTAACTTCTCTTGCCATTGTTCCTTTGATGGTATTTCTCCAGTCTTCCAGTTCTGTGCTATCAGAATTCTTGCTGCTGTCGTCACATAATGTCTGTTTTTCTTTCGGCAGTTGTCCTAAAATTCCTATCAAAAGGGCTTCTGGTTTTTTAGTAAATGTCATTTTAAAAGGCTCTGCTGTTTTTATTTATTTATTTATTTTTAACTGTAGTTTTATATTTATGCTGAGCTTTATATAGCATGAATGCTGCATATCACTTATACGCTACGCTTTTAACAATGTGTATTATTTGCATGTTGTTTATACGTGCTGCTTTTCTGTGCTAGGGGCTCAATAACCATATTGCTATTGGGGGACCTAGTACAGCAATGTAGCACATATAAAATACTGTAAATAAAAAATAACCAAACACGCAAAGAGCACTGTTGAAAACGTCATGTGCTGTGCCTTTCCCTAGGTGCCCGAGCTGGAGAAAGCGACTGTCCGAATGAAGGATCCTGAACGCGTAAAAAATGTAATTTCAGCCCTCAGAAAAGGTGGGGTAGGAAAATTCCAGGTGCGTGCTCCTGTATTCATCTGTTTGTCTGCTGTTTGTCGTACCCTTAATTTATCCCTCCCACCCAGCTTCTTCCCAGATGTATTGCACAAGCAGCTGCATAAACCTCGGATCAAATTTTTACCTCAGGCGCTGCCTGGTTTTTGTCTTTGTCTATTTACTAGTGAAATGCCTGCCAAATGATGAGAACAGCATGGGTTTAATGCAGTGCTCAGAATGTTTAAGCATATAGGTAACCGTGAAGGCCATAACATTCTGCACCAAGAGAGCCTTCTCCTTAAAGTTGTTTCTTGGGAAATATGGCAATTTGGGGGTCATCTGGATTTCATGTGAAAAGTCAGGTTCCCCAAACAGGTTCTGTTAACTTAATGCTTTCTGTTGGTATCTCTCCAGCCTGCATCAGAGAAGTGATTTAAGAGCACTTGGCAGACTAAAACTCACCAACATCCAAAACTTTATTACACATAGATATAGGAGCTATAGAAATGCTAAAATGAAACCGTGGCAAAGATTGAATGGACTCATTTGTCATGTGTCACCAAAGCACAACAATTGTAGTAAATGGTAACACAGACTTTTATTTCTTTCTTAAAATTGCACTTATTTGACTACCATGCGTCAAACGTAATTCGCTTTAGCTCGGGTGAAGATGTGTTGAATTTACCGGCCACTGCCTGACTAGTGTATGCTAGATATTGCTTTCTTCAAAGCAAGAAGAAACAAGGTTGTGTTGGCAAATTATTATCTGTCTTAAGCTGAGTTTCCCTCTGTAAATGAAACCTGGCATCCTGTGACGTTGCTGCAAATAACAAATGTTTTGACGGTTTGACAGGACAACTTGGAATGACTCCGGCCCACTGTAACTTAAGAATTTATTTGGTTCCTTCTCAGTCTCAGTTTTGAGCCTGTTTAGTGTGAAGCACCAATCATCAGGTGGAATCACTTGATGTGCAGAGATTCCATCGTGCCTTCCCACCTTCCCAGTTGATAGGCACTGGGAATCGTCCCTTAGCCCACCAAACAGCAAATGGGCAGGCTGAAGAGAGTGCAGTTATGAAAATGGGGAGATCACCTTCCTCCACATTTAAATCACACTCCATGCAGGCAGCTCCAAGCAGCTGTTTGATGAGCTAAGTGAGTGACACTTGACAAATTCAGCAGTGGTGATGGTAGCAGAGGCAGGCGGCATTGAAGGCCTGAAGGCTGCCCACCTGAGATTACTTGGTAACTCTTGAGAGTTACCAATTTCTTGCTTCCCTGAATCTGTAGAGTAGTTTCTTGGGCTAGGCAATGAATCCCTTGTAATCTCTCTCTCTCTCACTCTCTCTCACACATTTTCCCTCCTTGTTCTCTCCAGGTCATTTCCGATTTTGACATGACTCTGACTCGGTTCGGGTTCAACGGTCGACGCTGCCCTACTTCCTACAGTGAGTCCAGTTTTGGCCCTTTTCTATTTCATTTTTCTCTTGTAAAACATGACGGACTTTTATCTCTCCCTCTTGGTCCCTCCAAGCCTTTGGGACAGTCCACATATATTCCTATTCCTATTCCTATATATATTCCTATTCCTATCTCTTTTTTAAAAAAATGGTGACATGGACCATACATAACGTAAGAATATTAATCACCACCGTGAGCAGGGCAGTGGGAGCAGGCGCGGGGGGGTAACGGAATACAAGTTACAACAATTAATTATAACGCTGTTCACTGCTCCTGCTCAGGCTGCACAGAAAAAGCATTTTGGTTCCTGGAATTCATTCCAATTGTACACATAAAATATGACTGATAGAATTCTACTGGATGTGGTATTAGTGTGTGAAAGCAGTCCAGATGCCATGATGCTCCAGATGGTGGGCACTATCCTGGTGCCCAGGCATCTGCACTTGGTCGCAAGTGGTCAATAGCCAGGTGCAAAATGCGCCTGGCGCCTGGTTAATTTCGAACACTGACCCCAAATGAGAGTAAACTGATTCAGAGTTATTTGCAGATGGTACCTGAGTAAATATTTTCACAAGTGGTGGTCCTGGGAGAAGCTACAAGAATTCTGGAAAACAATATTTTACAAAATTGGGCTTACCACAAGTCAGATACTAGACTTAGATCTCTGAATGGTGTTATTTCCATATTTGATGAGGGGAACCAAAATGTTACTAAAAATTGTATACGTGACAAAAAATAATAATTGTTATAGTAGTTAACCAGACCTTAATACGGTATTTATAAAAATGAATTCGATAGTTGGAATTTGGCATATATTTTGTGTGTGTGTCTCTTCAGATATCATAGATAACAGCCGGGTCATCAGCGAAGAAGGCAAGAAAAAGGTATGAGCTTTCATATCTTGGCATGCTGATATTTTAAAGTCTAAACTGACTTCCCAGTTCCATTCCCTCCTGCTGTTAGGAGCTCAAGGAACCTTGAGTTCTATGAGGGGACTAAGGTTTTGAAACAGAGAATTCTCCATTCCTTCTATTGAGAGGTTAAGACCTCATGAATGACTTTTTGAGTTCTCTCTATTCTACAGTCTCCGTGTAGGTTTGACTTGCCTGCAACTAGTCCCCCAAGCAAGAAACCAAATAACAGATAACATGAAGATGCTTTTCCTGTTTCTGTCGCCCACCCCCTTGGGGGACTGTACCTTGCAAGTACTGGCTAACGATCAATATCCATCCCATCCTCCTAATATGATAGGGAGCAGGCTATGCAGTTGGTTGTCCCAGTCCTAGCCAGAACCTCCATCTTGGAAAACCTCCATCTTGAAATGTGCGTGTTTTATCTTCTGACTAGCTAAATATCCCCCCTTCCTTTTCTTGATACTGGGAACTGTTCCAGCTAAAAGATCTGCTACATCATTACTACCCTATTGAAATTGATCCGTACCGGACCATGGAGGACAAGTTGCCCCTCATGATAGAATGGTGAGTATTTGTGTCGGAAGAGGTAATGTTTTCCTTAACAGGGAGGAAGGGTGATTTCTTCCATTACAGAACACACACACCCCAACTCCATTAATGAGAGTCCCCCCCCCAATATTTTTTATTAATTTTCCAATTTTATAACAAACATAAAAGAAAAACATTACAAAAGAGCAAACATATATCCTAGTTGTTAAAATCCTAATTTAAATACCATTGTTAGTTGACTTCCTCAAATCCCCCCAGCTGAGTTTCCATAGAACTCATTGTAGCAAGTTTCCAATATCCACTTTCAAATAAAATTAACTTATTCAATTAACATCTTTCGTTCTTTTCATAATATTTTCAATCCAAAATGTTGTACAATTCAGCATATTTTACTCCTAGGCCAATTTGGTACTTACAAGTAATTCTACATACGTTATCTTAGAATATCTAACTAAATAGTCCTTGATATTCTTCCATTCTTCTTGATGCTCCTCCTCTTTCTGTTTGTCAATTCTTCCAGTCAGGTCAGCCAGCTCCAAAAAGTCCATCATCTTCATCTGCCATTCCTCCACTGTTGGTATTTCTTGTAATTTCCAGTTTTTGGCTAACAAAATTCTTGCTGCAGTTGTGGCATACAAAAACAGTCTAACATCTTTCTTGGGCAATTCCAAACCTATTATTCCAAGTAGAAAGGCTTCTGGCTTTTTAATAAATGTATATTTCAACATTTTTTTCAACTCATTATAAATCTTTTCCCAGAAGCCTTTCACCTTGGGACGTGTCCACCACATATGATAAAAGGTACCTTCCTTTTCTTTACATTTCCACCATTAATGAGAGGTTTGAGGATCTTAAAAGGGATTGGGGGCACAGACACATCACCTGAGACAGGTCTGATCTGTGGCGGTCAAGCAAACACGAGAATCGCTCATGTGCCTGGAGAAACAAACTAACTAGAGGTTCTGTAAGCTCAATAGATACACCCACAGAGGACTCCTGGTCCCTGATAGGACAGGTGTGTGTGTTCCAGGTGGACTAAGGCCCACGACCTCCTGGCCCAACAGAAGATAAAGAAAAGCGATATCGCCCAGGTTGTGAAAGAGTCGGATGTCATGCTCAGGTACAAAATTTGGATGATGTGTGCAAGAACAGGTGGGCATGTGGGATGGGGGAACAACTTTATTTTTGTGGTCTGTGTCCTCCTCTGCCTCAACCCTTCCGGAATTCGCTGTCAGGGCAAGGTGGAATTTTGACACTTGAAATTGAAGTGTGCCATTGTGTTCCGGAGTTTGAGGGCTTGCGATTTTCCACACGCCTACTTGACATACAGAATGCAGATATTTTAAACTTGCAAGAAGCCAAGTTACAGGGAACCAGGCAGAGGGCCTTCTCGGTAGTGGCACCCGCCCTGTAGAACGCCCTCCCACCAGATGTCAAAGAGAAAAATAACTACCAAACTTTTAGAAGACATCTGAAGGCAGCCCTGTTTAGGGAAGCTTTTAATGTTTAATAGATTATTGTATTTTAATATTCTGTTGGAAGCCACCCAGAGTGGCTGGGGAAACCCAGCCAGATGGGCGAGGTATAAATAATAAATTATTATTATTATTGTGCAGTCGTTGGCCAGATTTGGCAAGGAAAAACATGGCTGTGGATGGGGAGATTTGGGGGAGCAGCAGGACTGGAAGCCGTAAACGAGGGAGAAGCAGCCAGAGCCTGAAAGGCAGTTCTGTCACAATTGATAGCATTTATATATCATGTTCGATGTATTCAAAGCATTTCACATTTATTAACATTTAGGCTAGTAGGGTAGGTCAGCTTTATTATCCTTGTGGAAGGGGTTGAGGAGACAGAGGCTTATCTAAGGATCTCTCCACACATTCATTTTTTGTTTTTGTTTTTAGTTAACTGCACAATTAAGATGTAAATCGTGATTACAAGAAGTGTGTCTCATGCATGTACACTAGTTGGTGATCTAGGATTAATGGCGGCTTCCTACCAGTCGAAAGTGGGTTTGTCCCATGTAACGTGTGCCATATCCCTACAGCAGAGTGGATTTTCAAGGCAACTGAAATAATAAGCAAAAATGTTGTGTTAAAATGATTGCCAAGCAAAACGTTGTGTTAAAATAATTGCTTTACATCGAGTTTCCCATTGTTATATTGTATATTTCCTTTTTTAAAAAACCATGCTTACATACGAATTGGTTAATTTAATCACTGCAATATTTTTACTTTGTTTGGACATTGCAGTAAGCCGTGGTTTGGTGAGCCATGAATTGAAATAGCCTTGTGTGTTTCACCATTTCAGTCGAATGTTAACACTTCCTCTCTTTCTTGCATTCAGAGACGGCTTCAACATCTTATTTGACCAGCTTCACCAGAACAAAGTACCCCTCTTCATCTTCTCCGCAGGTGTGGGTGATGTGCTAGAGGAGATAATTCGCCAGGCTGGGGCGTTCTATCCCAATGTCAACGTGGTCTCCAACTACATGGATTTTGACGACAGTGTGAGTTGATCCCACTTCACTTTCCCCAACTCCTATCTGCCCTGGCATGGAAGCGGTGTGCCAATCTGAACACCGTGTGTGTGGGTCTTAGAAAGGTTTGGGATGGTATTAATAGGAGGGGGTAAAATGGAAGTCATGTGTGTGCCTTCTGGGGTCAGCCGGAAAGTGCCAGGCACTACCAGGATGAGCAGAATTTTGGTTGTAGTGATAAAAATTATTTATAAGAGACTCAGTCCCAGCTCTCATTGAGCCGTCAACACAACCACGCCTCTCTGGTGCTGTTCAGCGAAGAGCATGGGCAAAGAAATAAGCTGGATGAGAGCTTTAAGTGCATATGGCGGAGAATTTGTCACAAAGATGATTGAACAGGCGCTATAGGACATATTCATGTTTACTACATCCAGGTGAGGAATCATTTTGCTGTATAGGGAAGTTTTTTTATGTTTTTGTATATGGAAACCACTGAGTGACTGGGGCAACCCAGTCAGATGGGCAGGGTACAAAGAATAAAATTATTATTATTGTGTCATCAAGTAGTCCACCAGTGCTGTTTGGAGTGTTTTGGAGTTTATTCACACTTGCCTGGTGATGAGGGTACTTGAACCCTTGGAGGTGTGCTGTGTGACATGTTTGCTAGGCACTTTGAAGGTAAAATCACTCATCTCTGTGATGACTTGGATTCCATATTTGTGACAAATTTGGGTGAAGTGTCCAATGCAATGTCTAGGCCAGTTTCGTGGGATCAGTTTAAGTCGTTGAGGCATGAGGATGTAGATAAGGTGCTTCAAAGAAGCACCAAGGCTGTTGTCCATTCAGCATCTGTGCAAGACTTTCCTTTTCCTTTTCTTTTTTTCTATAATTTTTTATTAAATTTTCTGTTTTACATTTTAGAATATTCATTTAACCAACCTTAAAATTTCAGTGACTTCCCTTCTGCTCTTTCCATGGTTCATTTTACAAAACATAAATCCCTGAATATTTTATATAAACTAAACCATTCAGTATTACATCCATCAAAACTTTTTTCTTAAAAAATGTTTAGGGCTATTCGCATTTTCCTACTCATATTGAAATACTGCCCCTCAATGAGGCCAAACTTAGATTCACAAAATGTTTAGGGGTATGTGTCCCTCTGCGTCCCCCCCCCGAAAAAAGCACTGATTACATCCATCAAAACTTATTTACCCTGTTGAATTTATCTTAATGCTGCCCATGTTTTCAAATAAACACAATTTTCCTCCATATATATTCAAAAAACAGTTTCCAATCTTCTTTAAATGTATGTTCTTCTTGTTTTCTTATTCTATATGTTAGGTCTGCAAGCTGCACATTTTCTATCAGTTTGAGTTGCCAGGGAATTCCCAGGTGTTAAAAAAGGTTATTTATGCATGCCACTATTGCGTCTGTTGTTTTGTTAGCCCCAAAATGGAAATTGAGCAAAGTCCCAACTAAAGAAGAATGGCAACTTAAAGACTTTGCTTTTTCAGTGAGCTTTCTAAGAGGAGATTTCTATTTGTGTTGGATCTTGAAGCGTTTCTGTACATGCAATTGTTTAAACTGTTTTTATATAGGTGTTTATTGTTTATTGTGAAATTGCCTGGATAAGCAACAGATGAAATGATTTGTAAATTGAAAAGACACTGGACATGTGAAAAAATCAAAAGCTTCTGGAACATAGCACTGTATATGACGAGCTTAAAAAAATGTTTAAGTATAACTTTATGAAAAATACAGAAGCTTTTCTACTAGGGATAACGGACACAGGTATAGCAAGAGAAGGTCAGAAAATATTCCTCTATGCCACAGGAGCGGCAAGGATCCTAATAGCTAAAAATTGGAAAAAAGAAATTGTGCCAACAAAAAGGGAATGGCAAGACAAACTGTTAGAGTATATTGAACTGGCTAGATTAACAGAGGCAATTAAAGATCACACTAGACAAGAGTTTCAAAAAGCATGGGGAAAATGCAGAGAATACTTCACAAAACTGTGCCCTAAAATACATACCTGGACTTGTTTTGATTAATGTCTGCAGGAGACTTTGTGGATATTTAAGTTATAATTAGAAAAATCTTAATAATTATTCATAAAGGAACAGCTTATAAGAAGTAAATAAGGAAGCCAGATACAGGATAAAGGAGGTCTTTTATTTGGTTGTTTGTATTGTTGTATGTTATGCTTATTGTATGTTATGTCCATGTTTAATGAGGGTAGATTTCTATATTGGGGGGGTGGGGGGTTTATGCTATGTTGTAAATAAAATTTCCAGTAAAAAATATTTAAAAAAAAGAAAGAAAAGGACACTTAACGACTTTGAAGTAATTACTGCTGAGTAGTTTGGCTGCACAGAAACACAACACAGAAGCTGCCTATTTCTGTGACTCGTTTATCTCATTTGTTTTTGTGTCCTCCATACAGGGAGTTCTGCGAGGTTTCAAAGAGCCCCTCATCCACACCTACAACAAGAACAACACGGTCCTGAAGGACACAGAGTATTTCCAGCAGCTGTGCACAAGGACAAACATCTTACTCCTTGGAGATTCCATGGGCGATCTCAGTATGGCAGATGGTGTCGTTGATGTGGAGAACATCCTCCGGGTTGGCTTCCTGAATGACAGGGTGAGTTGGGATTACCCAGCCGGGCACAGCTGACTGTGGAAGGGCTGTGAGACAAGGTGAGATGGCCCTTTCGGGTGGCAGACTTGGAGAGCTGGGAAAGTGGCCATCGGTCCATGAAAAGATTGTGCCCCACCCCTTCTTGTGCTGCCAACAAAGGCTTGATCTGCAGAAATTAGCAGAAAAAAAGCATGGAGCATAGCTGTCAACCATCCCTTATTTGGCGGGAAAGTCCCTTATCCCAGTGCTGTGTCCCGCTGCTGTCCCTTATTGATGATGTCCCTTAAATTTCCCGGGTTTCAAAGGAAGCAGCTCCTCTCCCTCCCTCCCTGCCAGCCAGGGAGGAGGTAGGCTCCAACTGTGCTGCTTGGCTGCGTTGCTCACCCAATAAGGAGTCTAAGAATGACTGGGGGGTGGAACTTGCATGCCTTGTGCCGATCAAATCGGCCGCGTTGCCTGGGGACTTGCCTTTGCTCAGCGCTTCCCAGTGGAGAGGTGACGGTGGTTTCCCTTGCTGCATCCTCTTTGCCGGGTTGCTGTGCAGTGGGAACCACCGCTTGAGGCTTCATTTGGCTGCTGGCTGGGCTTTCTGCCTTTGGCTCGGAGGGACTCAGAAGTTGAACATACCTGTGCTTGGAAAATCCCTTATTTTGGCTGCTGATCCCTTATTTTCGAGGCTGCTGGTCCCTTATTTTCAAATCTGTAAGTTGACAGCTATGACATGGAGATATGCAGATCAAAACTGGTGTTAAAGGCATCGCTGTGGTAACTGATAATAAGACAAAGCAGTAGGCAAATATGAAGTTTCATTCAAGTGGCTAAGCAAACGAAGCATGCAGTTTGCTTCAAGCTTGCATTTCTCATGCTCAATTCTGACACCCCCCTTTTTGGATCTTTTGCTGTTGATATCTGAATGCATTCCAGAATTTGTGAGAACTGCAGACTTGCAGGCAAATGGCACACTTACAAACAGTAAATCTAACCCTGTGGATTAATTTAAACTAACTTTAAAACACATGTTCTAGTGCAAGGCTGAACTAACAGTTAGGTTAGAGGTTATTTTATTGGCATTGGTAACTGGCTCCTCTTGGGTGATGAAGAACAGGGTGGAAGCAATAGCTGATCTCATGGAGGAACCCCTGAGGATCTTTGAAGTAACTTCAGGCTAGAACACTGCTTGGAAACCACTGTAACAACACTGTGCTAGCCAATGCTGAGTGCCTGTAAGACCTATTCATCCTCCCTATGAAGGTGACCCAGAAACTACAACTAATCCAGAATGCAGCAGCTAGACTGGTGACTCAGAGTGGCCACTGAGACCATATAACACCAGTCCTGAAAGACCTACATTGGCTGCCAATACATTTCTGAGCGCAATTCAAAGTGTTGGTGCTGACCTTTAAAGCCCTAAAAGGCCTCGGCCCAGTATACCTGAAGGAGCGTCTCCACCCCCATCGTTCAGCCCAGACACTGAGGTCCAGCTCCAAGGGCCTTCTGGTGGTTCCCTCCCTGCGAGAAGTGAGATTACAGGGAACCAGGCAGAGGGCCTTCTCAGTGGTGGTGCCCTCCCTGTGGAACGCCCTTCTACCACATGTCAAAGAGATAAAACAGCTATCTGACTTTTTGAAGACATGTGAAGGCAGCCCTGTTTAGGAAAATTTTTAATGTTTGATATTTTATCGCGTTTTTAACATTTTGTTGGAAGCCGCCCAGAGTGGCTGGGGAAACCCAGCCAGATGGGCGGGGTATAATAAATTCTTCTTCTTCTTCTTCACTCCATGTAGGTGGAGGAACAGCGGGGGAAGTACCTTGAAGCCTATGATATTGTGCTGGAGAAAGATGAAACGTTGGACGTGGCAAATGGCATCCTTCGTTTCGTTTTGGCCGAAACAGCCCAAGCCACACAGCCCACTTGCCCTTGATGACAAGCTGCCAAGAGATACTCCCTCCTCCATTTCTTACTGCCCTTTGCTATGCCATAGACACATACCAGTTCTCCCCGTTTCTTGCCATTGTCAGTATCCTAGATCATTAAAACTGAGCCGAGCTGACATGTAGCCTCTTCTCTCAACCACCCTGTTCCTTACTTAAAACCCAATCCTGGCTGCACAAGGCAAGACATGTGGAATCGCCTTGCAGTACATTTCTCGGCGGACCAAAATGTAGAATTTGCGAGGAAGCAATCGGGCCTCTAAAAGGCAAGCCAACGCTTGAAGTTTCTCCTTGGTTACTTCTAGATTTAGTTTCAAGGACGAATTTCCAGAGCCAACCAGTTGCATTTAAAATCACCCCAGGGCTATGGCAACTTTCAGGTTTGAGTTCCTGTTGGTTTCTTGTTCGCAGCAGGCTGATGATGTGAAGGGGTTGTGGACTCCAAACTGGGCTGTTTGCACCTCCTTGTGGCTTTGCCGCATGGTGCAACCCGATTGTGCACATAGCGATCGCTTCATATAAGCAGAGAACACCCAGATTCCATGTTTTGCAGTGGATTCTTGCAAAGTGTTGCTGCAGGTTTGCAGCCTGCTGTCTGCTAGGTGTGGGTCAATGCAATTTCAGCCACTCTGTTCCTCTTTAAGCCACGCCATTCCTGGCTCTCCTATGGCTTCCTCTGTTGCAGCAGACACTCGGACAATGTTTCCTTAATGGCATTGTCTATTTTTTTTAAAGGCCACAATTCGTGTTTATTCATATGCAGTGTCCCCCTGCCCCACTGCTTCTGAAACATCTCTTAAAACGAAAATCTAAACATAATAGGGGGTTCCAATGGTGAAATTCACTTTTCAGTGAAAACACAAGCCAGTGATTTAAGAGGACATGAATGCTCTTCTGCTGTGTTGAACCAAATCTGATAAAGCTGGAGAAACTCAGGCGTGTAAAGTTGGGTAAATTACCTTGGCTATACTCTTGGCAGAGGAAAACAGCCTAGCTGGAATCCTACAAGCTTGAGGCAAATGTTTTGTTTGGGTGGAACCGGTGTGTGCTGGTACAACTTCAGTTTCCTTTAGGAGTGTAGCTGTTGTTGCACGCTGGATGAAACAAATGTTTACCTTGGGTAGTTTTGCCCTTTAAATGCCAGTTCAAATGTGTGGTAAGTCATCTTTTTAAAAGATACCTTGTTTGTTATGGGGGGAGCTTTATATGATTGGAAGTTTGAAAGCCAGGTTGAATATTCATAATTGAGACGGCACAGTAGAATGGGATATTCTTGTATGAGTTATACAAGACAGTTTTAAATAAGAACAGGGGAATGGCATCTTCTGAGCATTCAATTCCACCCCCTAAAAAAACCATGCGTTTTGACAGGGTTTCTTTTGCACTATTTTTGGTTTCACCTTTCCCCTGCCCCAATTTTGTTTTACAAAGAACAAATCACCCCTTCCCAGTTTTCTGCACAGAATACAAGAATGTTGAATTGTTTGGGTGTTTTTGTTTTTATTATTCAAAGGACATGTAAAGATAATAAAACAGAGACTTCCTATTTTGGGAAAAAAAATTTGTATGCATATTGCTTGATTGTCTGGCTGCTTTAATCTAAATTCTTTTTCTTTTTAAAAATACAACACCACCACAATATGCAAGAACGTTATGAACCACTCCGTAATCTTTACCAAACCTTTCATGCCTCCCCCTTCTCCTTCAAGAAACCTGGGTCCTGTAGGTTTGAATGGGGTCTGACAATTGTGCTCGGAGTTCCTACCCGTTGTCACAGAACCACGGGTCCTGGAATGCTTTGAGCCGGGTTGAGGATATGACAAAGCAATTAAGCTCATGGCCTAGTATGCCGATAAATATTTCTTCAAGCCTATTCAAAGCTCTTAGAATGGCCTGCAGCAGACACAACCGCTAAGCTGCTACTGTCTCCATTGACGTTTGTGCCACACGGGAAAACTATGCAGCTAAATTGCTCCATTCACAAGAGTTTCTCCGGCACGGCCTCTGTGTCTTCAAGGCCTGACTGAAGTGCAAAAATTCAGCAAGCCAGGCTTTGCCTGGCATGCATTGAAAAGGAAAGCTTTGCATGCTGAATAGCTGAATGTCCTACAGCTATTCTGAGGCGTAGGAGCCCTGCCCAAAGAAGAAAAGAGCTGGCCAACCTGCCAGCACTCTTTATTGCTGCTGCTGCTTCTCAGGCTGAGCAACCATACTCCTGATTTAGCAAGGGCACAGTTGCCCTGACCTTACACCTTCATCAGAGCAGTAGTGAAACTTCTGAAGAGCTTTTATAACCTACAATAGTTTGGGATAAAGGCAACGAATCTAGAATCTAGTTGCAGAACGCAACCAAAGTTTGGGCACAACCGGCAAACATTTCTTAGAACAAAGGCTAAGGGGACACCAACAAGGCACCTACTGCAATCTTTATTGCAACTGCACACAATACACTGGGTTGTATGCAGCCAGGATTCCAAGATGGCAGCAGGCGCAGACAAAATGGCTGCCGCTGTTGCGTAAAATCTGTCAGGAATTCTAACATCATCTCCCTTGCTCTGCCGTCCCTCTGTTATAAAATGGAGGCGCAGGGGTGGGGGTAAGGAATAGGGAAATATCAAAACCGAAAGAAAGCCGGCGGTCTCGACACCCTGTTCCTCCTTAACACTAAATCCTTCCAGTTAATTTAGTCAGAGACAAATCAGAACATACCACCCCTCACTTCAATGGAAGGGTGTTAATGCGCATGTCTCACAAGCCGTTTTTTTAAAATAGTAAAACTGGCTCTACTCGTTTCTAAAGTTGGGGATCTTGTAGCCCCCATGCTATTGAGAAGCTTTCACCCACACCACGTGCCCACGATGGTGTTTGCTTCCCAGAATGGAGATCAACCAAGGAAAAAAAAATGGCAATAGGCTATGCAGAGCTAGTCATCTCTCTCTTGGATGGTAACAACCACAGCAGTTAGGGGGGCTATTACAGCTCACTGCGTTTTTCAGCGTGGCTACAGCTCCCTAAAGAAAAGTATATGGTAAGGCACAGCCCTATGTTTCAGATTTAAGGTATTTTGCAAGCCCTGAATAATCCCATTCCAGAGGTTTTGGGACTAAAGGATTAGAGTAAAAAACAAAACAAAAACAAAAAACAAAAAGGAGAAGCAATGGGGAATGTTTGCAGGAGGAAATGTGTTAAGTGTTGGAAGAGTGAACTCTCACATAAGACCCAGAAATGGTCAAGCCTTTCTGGAAACCCACAATTGCCAAAAAAAACCACTGACATGCCACACCCAACACTGAACAAGGTTGTGGGGCTGTAATCTCTTCAGGCTGCAGATGGAGGACGATGTTTTTGAATTCTCCCCCCTGTAAATTCACTGGGGAGAGCTTTACTACATGCAGGGACATTTTTTATTTGTTCTTTAGTGTGGGGGAGTATTAAAAAAAAAAAGCATTTCCCCATCTTCCCTCAAGAGGTATTGCAGCCCAGAATTTTTCCACCTCATTTATCTCCACCAACGTGTAGGACAAATGAAACAAACTGGTTGTAGTGAGTAAACATGAAGATGCAGGACTGCTTGGAAGGGTACAGGCAGGAAGGATGAGTTTGTTTAATGTTCAGGTTGAAGTAGATGGTATGTTTGTATTTACTGGTGGCTCTGTAAGAGTTTACTGTAAAAAGTCAGCTGGTATGGTATGTGGCTTGCAGAGCAGTTTTTCGAGCAAAACAAGGGCATTTTTCTTACCCACTTTAAATCCGAAATTGTCAACAGGTCTGCTCTCCTCTTGGACCTTTTAACAGGAGCTTGTCTGCAAAAAACCCCCACATCTGAGCATTTTCACCACCTGAAGAGAAAACCATCATCACCTGCTATTGTCTGCTGCCGATCAAGTTAATGTTGAAACGCACAGATGCAAGGGGAAGCCAAAAAGTTGGCAACCCCTTGCATGCTTTGACTAGCAAGGCAGGTGATGGAAGGTTGCTCCCATCCCACCCTCCTTGCACTTAAATCTCCAGTTTCTATCTCAGCCTAATCTTCTGAAGTAGGGCTTGTGGAACAAAAGTGGGCATCATCTATGAATTCAGAATCCTCAGAGGTAGGACAACACTTGTTGGAAGCCTCATGAAATGACTCGAGAGACTGGAAAAACAGTTAGCACTTAATAAAACCCCCTGTAATGTGCGTGATTGTGTGTGAGAGAACAAGACTGCAAGTAGGGGTTATGTGCACTGCACATTTTTTGGTGGGGGTCAGGAAGGGAGAAGTAGAGCTTGGAATAAACAGTATTTGCTGTGCTTATGTTATGCTCCTTTCAAGATTTGCAGCTGAAGGAACTTGGGATTTTATTGATGTACGCAAGATGTCAAATCGGTGAGGAGGCAAGCAGGACTAGTACAGTGGACGCTCGGGTTGCGAACGTGATCCGTGCGGGAAGCACGTTCGCAACCCGCAGAATTCACAACCTGCAGCGCCACGTGTGCGCACGTGCGGGTTGCGATTTGGCGCTTCTGCGCATGCGCCAAAACCCGGAAGTAACCCGTTCCGGTACTTCCGGGTTCGGCATGATGCGCAACCCAAAATCGCACAACCCGAAGCGTCTGTCACCCGAGGTATGACTGTATACGGAAAGAGAGCAGTCCTTATTCCCTACCCTTTTGGCTGCAGGGAGCCCAGACTGACTCATCTTGAAATTTCCAAGTCTGTCCTTTTAACATCTAGCAGTTGCTAACCCGCCTTAAAAAATACCAGTTCCAGTTTCTGCAGAAATCCAGCAGGTATTTCTGAGAGTGTTGCTGCCCTCTGGTTCTGCCTGCTTGCTTTCTGTAGGCATCTTGCGAGAGGAGGATTCTGGGACTCGATGGGCCTGATCTAGCCGGGTTCCTTATGTAGGCACAGACTTTCCTGGCATAAACAAGCAGCAATGAGGGAAAGCTGCACCTATTAAGAGTCCACCATCACAACCTGGTCACAGAGGCGGCCAGCCAGCAGTCCCTTGGCCTAATCTGCTCAGGCAGCTCAGGACTACAACAAGAATGAGCAGTCCTTTCCTCAGCAGCCTGCTGGGTGAGGAGGGAGGCGGAGAGAGAAGCAGGGCCAGAAAAAGGAGGAAAGAGGGACAGAAAGGAAAGGATGTGGCAGAAAGAATGGTTAAAGCAGTGCACCCTTTTGGCCACACCCACTCCTGTCTTCTGCCCCGCCCACTGCCATTGCATGGTCTGATTACATCAGAAGCAAGGCATCCCTTGACGGATTAAGAGGCTGCCCTCGCACCCGCCATTCAAAGAATATTGGAGCAGATAGGTAACCTTATCTGTACGTTTCCGCTCCACTCCTTTCTAGTTTTGCCCCGAAAGAAAAACTTAATAGCTCATTCTTGGAAATACACTTAAGTAATGCATTTGTTTGGTTCCCGTCACACGTTTCGGGATTCCTTAATATAGAATTCAGCTTCCTCGATTTGGCAAGAGAACACACAAAAATCCAATGGGGGGGGCAGGGTGTGCGCCTGGAAGCAGCAGAAGGCCTGAGTCGATGGGACGGCTCCTGCTCACGACAATTTTGTTGCAGATGGGATGCCTGAGGAAATAGAAGGGATTCAGTAAATGGTGTGGTGTGTGTGGTGGTTGTCTGGAAAGGCAATCGTTGCAAGCGCTAACTCCCTGATTTTGGTATGTCGAAACAGGATCTCAGTTAAATAGTTCTCAAAAAAGGGGAGAGGGAAAAAAAGAGCAAAGGTACAAAATGTGGAACAAAATAGGTTTGCGTCTGTAGGTTCAGTCTCTTTAACTCAGGAAAGGGAGTTAGTGAGCTTCTGGCCCCGCAAAGTAGGGGAAGAGGCACCAAACTGGAGTGCTTTTTTAAAAACAACAACAACGAAGCCCAATCCCAGAGTCCTTTCTCTTTTAAAGTTCCTCATGTTTAACTTGATCCTCGTCTGATTTCAGCTTCAGTTCCTCTGCTGTGATCTTCCCATCCTTATTCCGGTCTTGGTTTTGGAACATGTCATTGACCACTTTTTCCGGGTCAGGGCCTGGCATGAGACGACCTTTGCCTTCAGAGATCTGAGCTTTGATGAACTCTGAGAACTGCGGGGGGGGGGGGTGGAGAGAGAGAAAGCAGGGAAAAGGATAAGCCATTTCCACTGGGAAGGGTGTGTGTGGCATATGCATTCAACAACATGGGAAACAGCATTTCAAGACATCCAGCTCCTATGTCTGGCTTCCTTTATATCAGTCTCTTAACTTTCCTTTGCCTACTGCTTGCCATTTTTCAAGGTTGAGCAAGATGCCAGACTGATGGGGAAAAAAATGAATTGCTAAAGGTGCCTTAACTTGAGTGGCTCTAGATGACAACGCAAGACAACTGGAAAAGGGCTGCAGCGTTCACAGGCTGTGCCCTCTGCAGCAAGACGAAGGAAAACCAGGTCCTTAATTGTGTTGGGAGTTTCCATGAGTATAAAAGGCTCTCTACTGCAAAAGTTACATGGGAACACGAAGGACCCACCAGATGATGGGGCTTAAATGCATGACCCTACAACCTTTTCTACCCAAGTTGCTTCCTCACGTCTGTAACACCTTAAAAGGGCCCACATCTCACTGCAAGTTATAACCAAAATATTTATCATCTGCTACACATAGCTGTAGCAACCCAATGCTTCCTCTTCCTCTTGCTTCCTCTAGCGACCCAATAATGTACAGATTGTTTTTGGGTGTGTGATGTAACGTTGCATTTTTGATTTCACCATCACTGCAGAAGGGAAAGGACTTCTATAGATGATTTGTTAATTGTTTTATATGATTTAAGCTGTATTTGTGATGTTCTGTTCTGTTTTATTACGTTATTGTTATTTATTGTTTGTAAGCCACTTTGAGGTTCATATGAATGAAAAGCAACATAGAAATACAAAAAATCAAATCAAAACAAACAAATAGTCACTGGGAAGTAGGGCTACAATGTTAAATCAATTGGTCAGTTAGTTTTTTAAAAATAAAATTAAAAAAGCTTTTCAGCTGAATGATACGGTGCTCCTGGTTAACCAGCCAACCAATTTTCTAAAAAGAAAAATATTTTCAATGCAATGCTTATACAAACTGTAAATGGTGAGCACCATCATATAGGCAGGGATGTCTCTTCCAAGACAATGCCTCCAAGACAACACACATGTGCATCTTTTTAAAATAAAAAGTTGCTCTTTGCTCCAAGCTATTGTTTTTACCCGTATACAAATGGAATAAATTTTTCCCTATTAATTTACTAAAACTCGAACAACTAACTATAGGGTAGATGCTCTTACTCTGGTGGAACGAACAGTTAGTACAAATGGATCCAGCCGTGGATCCTGTCACCCCCCCCCCCCCGCCCCCAGTTCAGATTCTTCAGTACCAGCTGCACCCTTTCTAATACAGAATGCAAAATCTCACCTCCTCAGGTGGGACTTCACCATCCTTGTTGAGATCCATGGCTTCAAACAGGTTTTCTGGTAGGTCGCTGTGCCAGACAAACAGGTATCCTTCTGGAACTCCTGGCTCCCGGTGTAGCAGCTCTAACTCAAAGTAGAGAACGGCACTGCCAGGTACACCCCGGGCTGAAAATGCAAGGTGCACATATCAACAGGGCAAGGTCATCCACAGAGGCACTGGCTAGGCAGCAGTGACCCGGAGTCAAAGCTAGGAGAAACCTATTGACAGGAAGTGACCTCGCTTCCTGAGAGGAAGTGGTATCAGAGGGTTTAGCTACTATTTCTCCTCCTCCTCACTGTTTAATGCCATCACAAGGCCATATAAGGAGCCGTATTGCCACTGCCTACTGGCTATAACGTTATTACTCCTAAATTATAATCATGAATTCAATTCATATAGCCTAGTTTCTCACAAGAACGTCTATAAAACCTGGACCTCAAAATATTTTTGTCCTGAAGCACAGCTCCTGTGATAAACCGACAATGCCCATGTCAAGTTTGAACTACTCTTTCTTAGCATTTGGGCTCTGTAAATATTGGCTACTAATCATGCCTAGTGATGAATAGCAAAAAAGTTTCTATATTCTGTGCTAAAAAATAATTGCAAAACTCTACAAAAGGCGATGCAAATTATGCTAAGTTGCGTGCTGCCTTGCGTCATTTATTTTCCTGCTAGTCATAGGGAAGACCACTCCGTCCTACTCTGGCTTCTGAGATTTTACCAGGCAATGCATGCACAGACTTCCAACTGTATTTCTGCAGCCTTAGGAGCTAGAAAGTCACTTTAGGGAAAAAGAAAAAAATAAAATAAAAAAAAGAAGGGACTGTCCGGTTGTTGAACCCTGAGTCCAGTCTCCATTTCTTCTGCCGGCCCTGTGATGTGGACTCTGAAAACAGATGCCAGAGGCATTTCCCACAACCTTACCTCCACTTTCGCCATGACCCAAATGGGGAGGAACGATGACGGAACGCTTTTCCCCCACGCACATGTTGAGCAGGCCATTGTTCAGGCCTTCAATTATCTTGTTGGTCCCCAGCGTGGCTTCTTGAGGGCTTTCATAGTCATGGCTGTCAAGCAGGAAAACAGGGAGACCATTGGAATCCTTGGAAATATTTTCTGCAGGAATCTCAGAAGTGTGTCTGGGGACCTCTTCCCCAGAATTCTGCTCTTAAGAAAATCATACACACACACACACACACACACACACTGGTACCTCGGGTTACATACGCTTCAGGTTACATATGCTTCAGGTTACACACTCCGCTAACCTAGAAATAATGCTTTAGGTTAAGAATTTTGCTTCAGGATAAGAACAGAAATCATGCTCCGGCGGCAGTGCGAGGCCCCATTAGCTAAAGTGGTGCTTCAGGTTAAGAACGGACCTCTGGAATGAATTAAGTACTTAACCCGAGGTACCACTCTGTATATATATATGCGCACTGATTGGCATATATATTTATTTTGCATAATTATCTTTGCTACTCCCAGTGATGGAAAGGGGGAAAAGAGCCGTGGAAGATGCAGGAAATGTGCTTTCAGGTTTCAGTGAATTCTGATCCTCCCTGCTCTCACGGCAGACAGCCAAGGAAGTAGACAAGGAAGCTCTTACAGAGTCTTTATTCAATACTGACAGAGAGAGGCCTCTGTACGCTGCCTCTTAGGTCAATGGCGTTGCTCCAACTGAGCTCCTCCCCACTCCCTTCCCCTTACGCTGGTTGCCAGGGGCTAATTGTCTCTGAGTCTTTTGCTCTTCCACTTTCAATGCACGCCGTGTTCTGGGAGATGGGGGGTCGGAAATGCTCTCCAGTGATAACGTGTCAGCTGGCTGCTCCGGCCCTGTCTTCCCCTTCTCTTCTCCCAACACCTCCCAACTCTTCTGTTCACTGATGCGATGATCCACTGTCTATGACAAAGTGGATCATCGCATCATCTCGTGCCATCTGGAATCCACCAGCTTCTTAGCTGCTAAGATCCTGAGTGGACTTTATTTAAGCACACTGAAGAATGCACTGGAGTGTTTTGCAGCTTCCTCTATCCGCTGTTGATCTCTGCTATGCTTTGCTCAGAAGCATCGGAATGAGTCGGACCTTTGGAATGCCGGCCAGAGGCCTGCGATGGGGAAGCGTGCCGGACCTCACGCTTATCTGAGCAATAAATCTAACATTCACCTGTCTCTGAGCTGTGACCTTCCTCAAACCACTGCTGGAAGCCACATGACCCGGAAGCTGTACGCCGGCTCCCTCAGCCAATAAGTGAGATGAGCACTGAAACCCCCGAGTCGGCCACGACTGGACCTAATGGTCAGGGGTCCCTTTACCTTTACAACTCTGTGAGGCACTGACTTAGCCCCAAGGTCACCCAGTGAGCTTCATGGCTGAGTGGGGATTTGAACTCTGGTCTCTCAGGTCCTGGTCTGACACTTGTAACCAATACACCACACTGGGAAGCAACAGTGAAATGGGCCGGATGAGTGCTGCCGCCCCATCAGGCCGTCCACTACTTCCCTTTAGGTTACTCTGTGATAAGGCAATGTAGGTATTTGTTGACATTTAAATTCCTGCATTGCAGGGGGTTGGGAGCAGATGATCCTTGAGGTCCCACCCAACTCTACAATTCTATGAGATAAGAAGAAGAAGAGTTGGGATTTGATATCCTGCCTTTCACTCCCTTTAAGGAGTCTCAAAGCGGCTAACAATCTCCTTTTCCCTTCCTCCCCCACAACAAACACTCTGTGAGGTGAGTGGGGCTGAGAGACTTCAGAGAAGTGTGACTGGCCCAAGGTCACCCAGCAGCTGCATGTGGAGGAGCGGGGAATCGAACCCGGTTCCCCAGATTACGAGACTACCGCTCTTAACCACTACACCACACTGGCTCTAAACTTTAAGCAAAAGACTCACGAGGAGAAGAGTTTGGTGCCATCCAGGAGGGAGCAGTTGTAATGGTAGCGGACAAAGTCTCTGTCTTGGGTGGTGACGTTGCAGTCCGCAGGCCGGTGGATAGTCTGTATTTCCACAGGGTCTGCGGGATTGTGGAAGTCGATGACATGGACGTCGAAGATGAGCACAGCCGAGCCAGGGATCTTGTTCCCTAGAGGACAAGAAGGACAGAGACTGGGGGTTTTTTGGGTGTAAAGAGTGGGGATGCATACACACAAAAGTCCTCCAAGGGTCACAGCTGATTCGAGGCAATTTGAAACCTCTAGTTGCAGAACCCAGAGTATGTCTCTGGGATCCCTTGCCAATGTCCCAGCATACATTCGGGGGCCATTATTTCCATTTCTTTATGTTTCATTGTTTGGCCCAGTGTTTTCAGCCTTTACACCTTCTGGGTAAAGGTAAAGGTAAAGGGACCCCTGACCATTAGGTCCAGTCGTGACCGACTCTGGGGTTGCGGCGCCCATCTTGCTGTATAGGCCGAGGGAGCCGGTGTACAGTCATGGATGACTCTGGGGTAGCGGCGCTCATCTTGCTTTATTGGCCGAGGGAGCCGGCGTACAGCTTCCGGGTCATGTGGCCAGCATGACTAAGCCGCTTCTGGCGAACCAGAGCAGTGCACGGAAACGCCGTTTACCCTCCCGCCGGAGCGGTACCTATTTATCTACTTGCACTTTGACGTGCTTTCGAACTGCTAGGTTGGCAGGAGCAGGGAACGAGCAACGGGAGCTCACCCTGTCATGGGATTCGAACCGCCGACCTTCTGATCAGCAAGTCCTAGGCTCTGTGGTTTAACCCACAGTGCCACCCATGTCCCAACACCTTCTGGGAGCCCTCCCCAAATCAACCTTTGTTTTCTTCGCATACGAAAGCCAAAGCAACATTGGTGGATTTGTGTGGCCACTCAAACCCAGCAGAGATTTCAAAGCTGGGGGGGTTGGTTTGTAGATAAAAGCCTTCAAAGGGTTCTGCTGAGGGGCTCCCCACACACCTCAACCTGTTCGCTCTACTTACCTGCCCCAGTTTCTCCATAGGCCAAGTGGGGCGGGATAATGACTCTCCTCCTTTCACCAATACAGACTCCTTGAAGCCCCTGGTCCATTCCTGGAATAATGTAGCCTTTCCCAATGTAAGTGTCGTAGGTGTGGTTTCGTGAATAACTGGAATTGGAGAGAATCCGTGGGGAAGAAGTGTCTTACAAACTGACGTTACAGCAAAGCCTCAAGTTTTCCCCTCCAGATTTCTTAAACTGTGGCTGAGCCCATCCAGAGACAGACCGAAAGAGCAGGGCGAGACATGAGCTCTGTGGCTCCGATAGGCTGGAAAGTGAGAATATGTCATCTTCCCACTCCAGCAAAAAATTATTGGGCAAGGTTCAGTTAGGATCCTTGCCGCTCCTGTGGCATAGAGGAGTATTTTCTGATCTTCTCTTGCTATACCTGTGTCCATTATCCCTAGTAGAAAAGCTTCTGTATTTTTCATAAAGTTATACTTAATTTTTTTTTTTACGCTCGTCATATACTGTGTTCCAGAAGCTTTTGATTTTTTTCACAGGTCCACCAGACATGCATAAGTGTCCCCTCTGCACACTTCCTCTATATTTTGATGCTCTTCTCACCTTCCCCTGTCCTGTTCTGCCTTGGATAGACTCCTTCTGAGCTAGGGATATAAAGGGCGTTGTTTTCTGTTCTGCCTTGCATCTGTCGCACGCCTCACCTGGGATAGCTCAGTCAGTAGAGAATGAGACTCTTAATCTCAGGGTTGTGGGTTCAAGCCCCACATTAGGCAAAAGATTCCTGCATTGCAGGGGTTGGACTAGATGACCCTCGTGGTCCCTTCCAACTCTACAATTCTATGATTTCTGTTCCACTGCAATTAAAGTTCCATGAAAACGACATTATTCAGCTCGCTGTCCACTGTGCCCAAATATAACAATGCAATTAACAATGTAATTAACTACATTATTATTGCATAATTTCAAGAGGGAGGAGGAGATAATAAATAACATAATGAAAAAAAAATGATTATAGAAAATTGGAGACTGGGGAATGGAGGCTGTGAATACTGATCATAATCACCTGCCTGATTTCTATTTCTGTTTGCAGATGGCTATGCAAATTGACTCAATTTCAGGTAGAGCTTCCCATTTTGAGGAAATTTCCCAACAACCCTATTCCAGAAAAAACTGAACTTCTGGTTACGTTAACCTAGCCATACAAAGAATACTGAGGAATGACAGCTTGGTGGAGAAGGGAAGGGAAGATGGTAGCGCTTTCTTATCAATGACAGCTGCATTTCAGTCCCCGTTACCTGGAGTCAAAGAGGGTCCCGTCCATCAAGGTGCCATTATAATGGTACCGCACAAAATCTCCGGTCACGGCCTTGCGCTTGCAAGACGCTGGCACTTCCAAGTGCTCCAGGGAGATGCCATCTTTTGGGTTGTGCAGGTCCACCAGGAGAACATCAAAAACCAGGGAGGCTTGAGGGGGGATGACAGTGCCTGAGAAAAGGAAAGGAGAACCAACTCAGCTCAGGCGGCCACAGGGACCCAGGTCACGTGGAGGAACACTTTAAACCACCCCATTTTTTAGAGGGGACGCCAGCTAATCCGCTTTTGAAATACCATCCCTTTCTTCAAGAGCACTGTATGGCAAAGTGAGCTAAGGTTGTGGTTTCTGCCATTTGTGATAAATCCACAATTGAATGTAGCTGACTTCAGCCCACAAAAGTTGTGGCTTTGAGGCTTTTAGTAATGGGGTCCCCAACATGGTGCCAGTGAACGTCATGGTACCCTCAGACACCCCTCTCAGTGCCCACCACAGCCCCCTACCAGTACATTCTTTTTTATATTTGTAGGGTTTTGTTTGGCTTTGTGAAGAAGAGTTTGGATTTGATATCCCGCTTTATCACTACCCGAAGGAGTCTCAAAGCGGCTAACATTCTCCTTTCCCTTCCTCCCCACAACAAACACTCTGTGAGGTGAGTGGGGCTGAGAGACTTCAGAGAAGTGTGACTAGCCCAAGGTCACCCAGCAGCTGCATGTGGAGGAGCAGAGACGCGAACCCGGTTCCCCAGATTACGAATCTACCGCTCTTAACCACTACACCACACTGGCTTGTGAGCTGTTGTATGGTTGGGAGGGGTTTGTCTGTGTTTTGGAGGTGTTCACTTGTGTGTGTGTGCTTTGCAAGGAGGGGGTCTGGTGCATGCGCCCACCCTTGCATTTCCAAATGTGCCCCCCAGGCCTTGAAAGATGGAGGACCCCAGTCTTAAACATTAGTGCATAGCCCCTTGGCAGACACCATGTTTTTAAAGACATCTCTGTGTGTGGATGCTTTAGCTGAGATCCCTGCATCACAGGGAGTTGGACTAGATGACCCTCAGGGTCCCTTCCAACTCTACAATTCTACGAATTCTTGTCCCTCATCACCAAGTTTTTGTACAGGAGCAAAAACGTACATACATTCTTATGTAAGCGGGACCCTTGAGATCTGCTAGCAGGTACAATCCTATCCCCCCCCCCCAAAAAAAAGATATTTATTTCTAAGTACAATAAAGTCTTATTGTCCTTTTTTTTTTTTGAAAGAAACAAAGAAAGAATTGGTTTGGGGATTTCTTTGACACAGAATCTGAGGTGATTTCTTGCATACTTTCAGAATAATATTTAAATAATATAATAAATTTAAATTCTTCTGCAGATATGTAATAATAATATAATAATTTATTATTTATACCCTGCCCATCTGGCTGGGTTTCCCCAGCCACTCTGCGGCTCCCAACAGAATATTAAAAATGCCTTAAAATATAACACATTAAAAACTTCCCTAAACAGGGCTTCCTTCAGATGTCTTCTAATAGTCAGATAGTTGTTTATTTCCTTGATATCTGGTGGGAGGGTGTTCCACAGGGCGGGTGCCACCACCGAGAAGGCCCCTCTGCCTGGTTCCCTGTAACCTCACTTCTCGCAGTGAGGGAACCACCAAAAGGCCCTCAGAGCTGGACCTCAGTGTCCAGGCTGAACGATGGGGGTGGAGATGTTCCTTCAGCTATACTGGGCCACGGCCATTTAGGGCTTTTAAGGTCAGCACCAACACTTTGAATTGTGCTCAGAAAAGTACTGAGTGAATACAGTTCACCTTGCGGTTCAGATTCACAATTTCTTGACCACCTTACCGTAGCCTTTCTCTCCGTAGGCCAGGAACGGGGGGATCACTATTTGTCGTTTCTCTCCAGCACACATGCCTAGCAGGCCCTCGTCCATCCCTTTGATCAGCCAACCTGAACCCACGTAGGTGTCATAAGTACTGTCTTTTCCATAGCTGGGAGACAGGTGAGGATGGAGAAAAGGAAAGAGACATCAGGCAAGGAAGCGGTTCAGAGAAAACAACGCCACCTTCGCAGCACAGCACTGGTCAAAAACAGCCACCCACTAAAAGGTAAAAAAACAAAAAGGTAAAGGACCCCTGGACGGTTAAGTCCAGTCAAAGGTGACTATGGGGTTGCAGCGCTCATCTCGTATTCAGGCCGAGGGAGTCGGCGTTTGTCCACAGACAGCTTTCCAGGTCATGTGGCCAGCATAACTAAACTGCTTCTGGCACAAAGGAACACCATGATGGAAATCAGAGTGCATGGAAACGTCATTTACCTTCCCGCCACAGTGGTACCTATTTATCTACTTGAACTAGTGTGCTTTCGAATTGCTAGGTTGGCAGGAGCTGGGACAGAGCAACGGGAGCGCACCACCATCACGCAGATTCGAACTGCTAACCTTCTGATCAGCAAGCCCAAGAGGCTCAGTGGTTTAGACCACAGCGCCACCCGCTCCTCATCTTATTCTACATGAGGCTTCCTCAACCTTGGCCCTCCAGATGTTTTGAGACTACGATTCCCATCATCCCTGACCACTGGTCCTGCTAGCTAGGGATCACGGGAGTTGTAGGCCAAAAACATCTGGAGGGCCGAGTTTGAGGAAGCCTGTTCTACATTGTTCTTAATCACTGCATTTAACTGCAACTAACACCACTACCAGAGATCCAGCATCTTTGACCGGACAGCTGCTCTACCTATTATACAGAACGAGAGTCAACTTAAAAACATAATGCTAAATGCATCTTTGAATCCTGTGGCTGGAATCCTCCTTCTGTTTTTTAAACCACCAGCAGCCTTGGAAGGGTAGGGGTCAATCCAGTTCGGGACTGTAGCCAAGGGACTGCTATAATTGCAACTGCAATGACATTATTTTGCTGTCTTTCACTCTCTGTACCAGACCTCTGAGCCAAAACATGCCATCTCCCCTTCAGCACATCCTACCTGGAGTCGAAGGGGGTGCCGTCGAGAAGTGTGCCGTTGTAGTGGTAGCGCACAAAGTCGGAGTTCTCCACTGTGCGGTTGCAGCGCTGTGGCTTGGAGACGGTGGTGATCTGCAGCTTGTCTTCTTTGTTCCAAATGTCAAGCAGGATGACATCGAAGTAGAGGGTGGTGTCCGGGGGTATCAGGCCAGCTATGGGGTTGAAAATGAGGAACGACCATGGAGACTGAAACGATAATTCTCAGGGGGACTGGGAGGCCACCACAACCACTGCCCCTTCGCCAATGGCACCAGGCCATTCAATACAGTGGTACCTTGGGTTACATACGCTTCAGGTTACATACGCTTCAGGTTACAGACTCCGCTAACCCAGAAATAGTACCTCGGGTTAAGAACTTTGCTTTAGAATGAGAACAGAAATCGTGCAGCGGCAGTGGGAGGCCCCATTAGCTAAAGGGGTACCTCAGGTTAAGAACAGTTTCAGGTTAAGAATGGACCTCCAGAACAAATTAAGTACGTAACTCGAGGTACCACTGTATTACTATTTATCTATTTCTATACTGCCATCCATCTGCGTGGAACTTTACCGAGTACAGGAAATGCATAAAAGGGAGGAGAAAAGAGTGGTGGACGGGGAAGCCATGTAAAGCGAAACGGGTGGAACCGGAAATGACAAGAAGTAGGGAAGCTCAAGCGTGTTTGGAGACGGGAAACAATTTCTCAGTATAGAAACCTGCTCTTATTATATTAGGGCCTTCCAAAATCCCAAAATGTATTTTATATAATTGACTTTTTATTTCTATTCTTTGTATATCGTATTGTTGTTTTATTGTGATGGCCAATGGCTGATGCAAATAAAGAAGAAGAAGAGTTTGGATTTGATATCCTGCTTTATCACTACCTGAAGGAGTCTCAAAGCGGCTAACATTCTCCTTTCCCTTCCTCCCCCACAACAAACACTCTGTGAGGTGAGCGAGGCTGAGAGACTTCAGAGAAGTGTGACTAGCCCAAGGTCACCCAGCAGCTGAATGTGGAGGAGCAGGGAATCAAACCCGGTTCCCCAGATTACGAGTCTACAGCTCTTAATCACTACACCATGCAAGATTCATTCATTCATTCTCAGGGCCTTGCAATGCAGTACAGTGCTATCCTTGCTGTGGCTAGCTCATTTGGTTAGAGCATGGTGCTGACAATGCCAAGGTTGCAGGTTCAATCCCTGCAAGCGACAGCTGCTTATTCCTGCATTGCAGGGGGTTGGACTAGATGATCCTCAGGGTCCCTTCAAACTCTTATGATTCTCCTGCCCCCATGCTAGGATATAATTGATCAGATCACTGTGCGCACTCCCTGGCATTTTTGTGTTTTTTTAATGTGTCCTTAAAGGCACAGATATGCAGCTAAGATATTGTCAGGCTCAGGCAACGCCTGTCAACCCTGGACTCTTGCCACTCACCCACGCCGATGCTGCCGTAGCCAAGATGAGGGGGCACAATGAGGTGCCTTCTCTCGTTCACACACATCCCCTGAAGGCCTCTGTCCATGCCGGTGATGAGCCGCCCCACGCCAGCCACACCGGCCACTGTGGCACCCCGATCATAGCTGGAAAGGGAAGAAGGCATTGATGGAAGGGATGAGCAGAAACAACAAAAATGGAGCAAAGAGAACTCTAAAATGGCCAGTTAACAGATAACATGATGTGTGGTCATGGCCACTGGCTTAGATTGCTTTAAAGGGGATTGGACCAATTCACGGAGGATGAGATGATCAAAGTCTACTAGCTATGGCTCCAGGTTCTCAGGCGGCATATTGGCAAATGCCATTTGCTGGGGAGCAACACTACACAGTGGTGTGGTGTGGCGCTGTGGGTTAAACCACAGAGCCTAGGACTTGCCAATCAGAAGGTCGGCGGTTTGAATCCCCGTGATGGGGTGAGCTCCCGTTGCTCGGTCCCTGCTCCTGCCAACCTAGCAGTTCAAAAGCACATCAAAGTGCAAGTAGATAAATAGGCGGGAAGGTAAACGGCGTTTCCGTGCGCTGCTCTGTTTTGCCAGAAGCAGCTTAGTCATGCTGGCCACATGACCTGGAAGCTGTACGCCGGCTCCCTTGGCCAATAAAGCGAGATGAGTGCCACAACCCCAGAGTCAGCCATGACTGGACCTAATGGTCAGGGGTCCCTTTACCTTTAACACCACATGAAGGTAAGGTAAAAGGTAAAGGACCCCTGGACGGTTAAGTCCAGCCAAAGGTGACTATGGGGTTGTGGTGCTCATCTCGCTTTCAGGCCAAGGGAGCCGGCGTTTGTCCACAGACAGCTTTCCGGGTCATGTGGCCAGCATGACTAAACTGCTTCCGGTGCAACGGAACACCGTGATGGAAACCGGAGCACATGGAAATGCTGTTTACCTTCCCGCCACAGCGTACCTATTTATCTACTTGCACTGGTGTGCTTTCAAACTGCTAGGATGGCAGGAGCTGGAATGGGAATGGGAGCTCACTCCATCGCGGGGAATCAAACCGCCAACCTTCTGATCAGCAAGCCCAAGAGGCTCAGTGGTTTAGACCACAGCGCCACCCACATCCCCTGGAACACCAGGTGAGGGTTGTGGCTCTCATATCCTGGCTACAGGCTTATCCCATCCGTGCGGTTGGCTGGCAACTGTGAGAAACAGGATGTTAGACTAGCTAGGCCACCCTTGGCCAGCTACCAGATGTTTGGCACTACAATTCCCATCAGGCCCAGCAACAATTCTGGCCAATTCAGAGGCAAAGGCAAAAGAGGCAAAGTTTGTGTGGCATGGTGGAAGTGGAAACACGTCTCCCTGAGTTCACTTTGAGGCCTGGCCTGGCTGTTCCCTCCTCAGAGTGGACCTCGTGGAAAACTATTTGAGAACCAGAACTTAAGGCTGAAAAGCAGCATTGTAGTATAAAAAACCCCCACAAACTGTTCCTGTAACTGTTGAGGGAGCAAAAAGGAAAAGAAATCTTGCTGGCTTCAAGATGCGCTTGGATACATTTACGAAAACTATTTTAGGACCGATTCAATTATTTACCCAAATTGCACCGCAACAGCAGAAACCACCTTTTTTAACAAAACTATGCCCTGAAGCAAGGAATGTGGGTGTATGCCCATTTTAGTAAGGCAGAGATTCCGTAAAGTTTTGCTGATGAGGAAAAAAACCCCAAAACCTCCCAAACTATTCCTGCTAGCAGGGAGAGGAGCAAATGAAACCCGATCTCCAACTTCCTTTCAGTCAGAAAAGGAGGAGCAGAATAGCCTGATCCTGCACTCTGAATTCGCCAAGAGGATCAGCCCGCATGTCATGATATGGGGGAGGAAAGGCAGTTAGCACTGAGGTTTCAAATCAAGACCAAGTTTTCTTCCAGATCTCTAGAAAACTAGATCCATTTTATAGGACTGCTGCTTCCAGTGTGTGCATTTTGGACGGGAAAAGGAGTCGCCATCCTAAGTTGCAAAATCCAGCCTTCTAAAATGCATAAGCAGCTGCAGCCTCATGCGGATGACACGTCTACAGCCCAAACGGCAGATCCCATCATGGACGCCATCTCCTCCCACAGCCTATAGCAGCTCACTGCCTGCCCCCTTCCTTCCGACACTCCGCTATCTTGCTTCGTAGCTCAACCTGGCTCTGTGGGCAGTGAGGTTTGATGCTCAAGACACAATTTCAAAATGCCCTAATAGTTTTGTTATCACGCTAATATACCTTAGGATGTGCCAGCTAAATTACACATAAGATTCAGCGATGCTGAACCAAGGGATAATGTAATAGCAAAGGAGAGGGATTGTTGCACCCATTCTCAGTCAAACAATTTGTCTTTTGATGCAAGGGAACTACCAGAAAAGTGAGTGAGTGTTCCTTATTTATTAAGGGAGTTCGGACGCATGACAGGTTTAACTAAAAGTTCCACATCTTTATTTTTTTCAGTTTTAAAATGAAGCCTGCAGAAGTTCAGATCTAAAACATCCTTACGTGAAAACGTCCTACTCTAGATGTGTTCCCTTCTCCCTCTTAAAATTTATTTTATCAATTCTGTCCTTATTTGAATTTCGCTTTACTATATCATGTAGAATGTTGGGCTGCAATTTGGTTTGATCCAGCAAAAAAATTATTACACAGATGACTTTAACTTTCCTTTCCTCTGACATGCCCCCCCCCCCATATGCACCTTCAAATTCTGCTCCAGAGGGTTGGGAGAAGATTTTGGGGACATGGTGGGGGGGGGGGGGAGAAGAGAAGGGAAGTCCGATTGCCTGAATGGGAATCCATGCATGCAACACTGGCTACAATTCTATGTTCAGAAATTCCAAATAGTGCACCGCGGTAGTATGCTTGCAACCATAGAAAAAGAGTCCGTCCTTTAAAAAACAACCACCAGCCATTCAGCAACGATAATCTTTCCTTTCCTTCTCTCTCCCTTGATACCCATTACCTGGGGGAAAGTCCCACTGAACTCTATGGGACTTATTTCCAAGGACTGCACGGATGGAGAAGGGAGTATCAAGGAGAGGTGAAAACTGAAGGTTTATTATCCTTTGAGGTGATCTGATTTTATCATCTGTGGACTTGAGGAATGTGGGTTGCTCTGAGTTTTCACAGGAGCAGCCTACAGCAAAAACAGGCCAGACCTAATAGAAGGACGTCCATTTTGTCTTATTTCAAACACTTCGCCCTCCTCAAAACACTCCTTGCATCTCCTTACCCCCCACAATAATAATTGTTGTTTTTTAACAAGTTCCTGGGACTAAATCTCATTGAGTGTGGTCAGATTCCACAACGATAAAACCTAAATTTAGCCGATGGGAAGAAATTATCTAAAGTATGTTTGCTAAGGCAAGGGTTTGTGGCCTGAATTGCCCCCGCTTTCTCAGAGATTTTAAATGTCCCTTTCCTGAATATCCAGCATTTCTGAATGGAAATCTCTAATTCTGATAAAAAGAAAAACATGTCAACAGTATTCTATCCAGTTCCCCCCAAAACAAACAAACCTCTTTCCAATGCTCTGGTCACAGAGACATGACCAATATGTACTTTTAAATATATGCTTTTAATTAAATTATTTTAATTTGAAGCATTACAAGCATTTCGTGTCCACCCTCACCCTTGCTTTGCTCCTCACCAGCGCCCCCACAAAATTTATTGCATGCCTGCCCATGTTTGTACCAGGGTGGACCCCTTCTTTTTTCCAGACCTGGCTCTTTGCAAAGTCCACCCTGCACCCTTCTAGCCAGAAGCTGGCTTGGCAGCTGCAAACCGCTGTGCAAAAGCTTCTGAAGTTATGCGAGGGATCAGCGGCTCCATATTTCTCTTTCCCCCCGAGGCCCCAAAGAGGCAGAAGATAGAAGGCACATACCGCCAGAGGCACGCAATTCCTCTTGCAAGGGAGAGAGAGGGAATGAAGGTTTCTCATTGCTGGCGGGCTGTTGTTTTATTTTAATAAAGGAAGGGCTGTTTTTCTAGGTTGCACGCATGGCTATTTCAAAAGCGCAAAGATGAAACATTAAAACGTGGGTCTCCTGTCTCTCAACTTATGGGGGATCTCCTAAGGGGAGGGGCAGGGACAGTGTTAGAAACTGAGATATGAAATCTAGGCACAATGGCACCTTAGGTTATGGATGCAACAACAGAATGTCTAGGCGCACTTTTTGATAATACAAAGCTGAAAATGAACTGCAGCTAAAATATTATGCTCCTTTTCCACATGGTCTAGTCCTTCCCCTGCCCACCCCCTTAATATTCTTAAGAGTGTCTCTTCTCCAGTCCTCAGAAAGTAGGGGAGGCAGAAAAAGGTCCTCCTTTCCTTCCACTCTGCAGTTTTACTCTGAAATCTTGCGCCCGGAACTCAGAAACCGCTTTTGCTCATGAAATAATTCCGTCGCAAAATGCGCCTAGAACAATCGGAGTTTTGAACACGGGGGCGGGGAAGATATTTTGCCACTCCTTAATTCCAATTTGCCAGGGACTGCAGGTGAGCCACCACCTAACCCTTTGTCTCTGGATCAAAGGACCCAGTCCTGCCCTGGACGGGCGCTGCTGCGCATTTCTCAGCGAGGGAAACGAGAAGGGGGGAAAGTACCTGGAGTCGAACTTGGTGCCGTCCTGAAAAGTGCCATTGTAATGGTACCGGACGAAGTCGCCCATCTGGACTTCTCGCAGGCACACTTTGGGGATGTAGTATCTGTCGATGACTACGTCCTCCAACGGGCCGGGGTCTCCCAAGCCGCGGACCCCCAGCAGGCTCAGCGCCAAGACGAGGCACAGCAAGCTCATGGTGATGATCTTCGACGGTGCGCCCTCGGGCAGGAAAAGGAAGGCTCGGCAGCTGCGCCTGGCGCTGGAAGCAGCCGAAGGGGGAGCGGACGGGGGGTGGGAGGGAGGGAGGGAGAGAAGAGCAGAGGAGGCGCTTTCCTAAAAAAAAAGAAGAAGAAAAAACCCGAAACGGAGGCCTGGAGGATTGCAAACCAGCCGCTCCGATTTCTGTAGACGTGTAAAAAAGCGGCCTGCGGTTGGCTTGCAAAAGGGATCGTGGCGGGATCCGATCGCTCTCAGCAGGCAGGGATTGCTTTGCAACCGACTTGGGAATGTGCGCGTGTCCCCCCGCCCCTTGCTTTTAGGCTTTTGCAGCAAAAACTATTTCAAAGCGTGTCCGGGCAGCCAGAAAAGCCCTGAGAAGAGAGGGCTTGCTTTTAAAAAGTTTTTTTTTGTTTTTTGGTTCGCCAGGTCCTAGTGCTTGTTGGCTACCCGACTGGAGAGTAAGAGAAAAGTCATGCTTACGTGGTCCCCGAGGGTGCGGTGGGGCAGGAGCCTTACTGTACAACATCCCATGGAGAACCCTCCCCCAGGACCTTTTTTTTTTTTTTTTTTGCACAAACTTAACTTTTGGAATGCGTTGCCTCAGTATGAACTGATGGCTTTGAAAGGGGTTTAAATAACTTTTTAGTGGATATTGGGCATGAAAGCTAAATGGACAGACTGTACGTGTTCAGAGAACCAGCATATCAGATGCTGTTAGAAACAGTCTGGAGGTGTGGATCTTTATATAGACTTTATAGTTGCTTGGCCTGGTTTTTATTTTTATTTTTTCCAGAGTTACTGCATTTCACAAACCTATAATCTGAAAAGTGCCACGGACTGGATTTGGGCGCGTTTTTGCCTAATGATTTGCCCGTGCAAATAAACTTATGTGATTTTAAATCTGCTCCCTTTTTATCCGTTATAACCCGTTTTAACAAAGCTGTATAAGCGGGGAGGCGGGGAGCGACTCCAAGCTGCTTTCTAAAGCTTTCTCAACTACACTGTGCATTCTTGATTTTTAGATGTTTGTTTTGTTGCTCCTCACTGTGCCTTACAAATACCCTAAAGCAAACCCACATCCAAAAATGCACTGTACAAAATAAAACCGGCATAAAACCAACACGACGACACTCCAATCCAGCAAGTCATCCTCAGCTATGACCCCGGCATTCATAAACATAGACAGGATTTATGCTGGGGGGGCATAACCTCAGTTAGATAAGTATTTTTTATTGATTTAGGGGGGCACCTGCTCCTCCCTGCCCCCCCCCCCGGCTATGTCCATGTCACCGTTGAAAGCCAGCATAAAGAGGTAAAGTTGTAACGGTCCTTTTAAAAAATCCAAGAGCCATCCTAATTTCTGTGAGAAATCAGGTCCTCCCTTAAAGAGACCTGGAAACCGACACCCTGTGTTGTGGGTGGGTACGATTGGTCAGCCACAACACCCAATTGGTAGGTCCCTCGTAGCTGGGTGCAATCTGGCCAATGGGACGCAGTCCAAACGGTTCGAGGAACATATTTATACCCATGGATGTGACCCAGAGTTTCCTCTTTCGGAGCATGCATTTGGAAGACCCGCCCACCTCTCCCTGCTTTTAGGGCTTTGCGCTTGACCTTGCTATGCCGTCGTGTGTCGCCTGTCATTGGGACAGGGGCAGGAATTTCCCCACTTGACTGATTGGCTGTTGCCATTTGGGTTTCGCCTGCCGTGTAGCAAATCGTCACAACTTGTAAGGTTGTGGATAGGCTCTGGTTCAGGTGATAGGGATGGGGGAATGCTCTCGCTCTCGCCATCTGTTATGTACTGTGTTGAATAGGATCCAAAATGCAGCAGTCTGATTGGTCCTAGAACAATAGGATTCAGAATGCAGCAGTCTGATTGGTCCTAGAACAATGCAGCAGTGTGATTGGTCCGCAGGAGCCACTCAATCCAGCTCCAGGTGGAAGTGAATCCTCAACCTGATTGGCCTACAGGAGAATCCCGGAATTAGCCAATCATGTGCAGCCCATTGTGTAAATAATGTATATAAAGCAGATATTGTGGGGGAACTTCCATTCCTCCTCACCACTATGAGCTGAATAAAGAGCATGAAATCCACTCTCGACTCAGAGTATATTTCACCATCCCTATGTGAAGGGTATTCCGTTAGAGGAATCCAGGGACTTGATGGTTTGGTCAACCCCTGAGAGGGGGTTGTGCCCATGCCTGAGTCCAGGGGGACATTTGGGTGGCGGAGTTAGCCCGTTCCCGGCTTTCCACTTATCCAGGTGTTCACCCTTGGCTGACCTGTTCCTGAACCCTGGGTCAGCGCTACCTGCATGGCAGGGAGCTAGTCGAACCAGAGCCTATGCAACCACTCACTTTCTGTAATCAATAAAGTTGTGGTCTAAATACTGCCAAAAACCAAAATTTGCGTCAAGTGTGAATTTATTTAGCGGCGTGGTTTCTGGGTCTGAACACACGAGAGTTCACTCAGAGTCTTGCTGAGAAGACTTCTTTCACGCTCTCGCCAACCTGATTTTCTTCATCGGCTGGCACTACCTCAGGCCCACTGATACAGATCTAAGGCAGACTGATTTTATTTTACTTTTTGGCCATTTTTAAACTCCTGACCTGAAGGCCATGAGATTGGGGTTTTTCAATGCCATTTTTTGGCTCCTGACCTATGGGTCATATTTGCAGCCTTTGTTTTTTTCTTGAGCTTCTACCAGCAGGTCACATTTTTGGCCATTTTCCAGCTCCTAACCTATGTGCCATGTTTTCAGCCATTTTTGTTCTCCTGACCTGTGTGGGTCACTTCTTGGAAAATGAGTGAAAATGTGAGCCACAGGTCAGAACTCCAAAAAAGTAATAATGAGAGGAAACAGGACCTGAGGGTGAGGATGGCATGAAAATAAGAAATTTTGGAGGGGAGACCACATTTTGTCCTTGCTCAGGGTGCCATATTACCAAAGTCTGCCCTTGCCTTTGTACTTTTCTTTCTGCCAATTACAGTCACATGAGTGGACAGCAAAGAGCCTACTGGACATGCCCTATGCATCATATCCTTGTCACCTGTGTCACCAACTTTTGTGAGTTGTAAGGGGAAGAACATGCCTACCTGTGTAAGTTCCAGGCATGAATTACAACCCCAACTTTCTAGGACTCTGAACAGGGCCGGATTTAGGTCTGAGGAGGCCCTAAGCTACTGAAGGTAATGGGGCCCTTTATATGTCCAGCTGTCCTTTGCCAACAACAAATTGTCGTCGTTTTCTGTGTTGAATATATGCTATATGGTCATTTATGGAACTAATCGGTATCTAAAGCCATTTGCACCTAACAAAATATGTATTTTATCAAAGTAATTAAATAGAAATGAGCAAACCAGTGATATTTTAGGGAGCAGGCTAGCAGGCGGGGCCCATTACTTATATCATAGGATCCTACACAACACAAAACACTGTTGCTGTATGTAGGTTTTATTTTATTTGTTTTTTATCTTATACTTTGGAAATGTACATCCAGTTTTTCCCCACTTTAATTTTTTGGGGGGCCCGCAAGAGAGTGAGGCCCTAAGCTATAGCTTGTTTAGCTTGTACATAAATCCGGCACTGGCTCTGAACCGCACATAAAACCTGTATGAGCTGAGGAAGATCATGGAACAAAGTTCATTTCTGAACACATGGTAGGTGATGGAGCTGATGATGGGGATGTAAGGGACACCTGAAGATGGATACTGTGGTTCTTTCTCCCTGGGACATTGCTGCTTCACAAAGGCGGAGAGGCCACATCTGGCAAGATTTAACAAACATGTTGTCTTTGTTTCTTCCAATGGACCACATGATACAAAGGGATCATTATTATCTCCCCTGTCATTATCAGTCTGCTTCTGATTAGACCTCCAAAGATTTGCAGAGAGCAACGTCAAAAGCCTAAAGGCGTTTATGAAAACCCTCTATGCCACTCCAAATGCTAGAACAGAAGATGAGGCAGCGTTCATTAGCTCGGTGCTAATTTTTCTCTTGAGTACATAAGACCACTACTGATGCTGCTCCTAATGCATTTTGGTGGAATCGGGAGCTGCTGTCTAGGGAAAGGGTTTTTTCCTCCTGAGTATGGCAGTGTTGGTGATGTTAATATTCTTGCTGCTACGAATCTGAGCCAGTCACATGTCAATCACTGCACCATCAGTGATCTTCTCTACATCCCACACAAGTACTACCAGCCAGGTGACCTTATCATTGGTGGACTTGCTTCTCATCTTCTGTCCTCTCTTGACCATGAAACCTTCAAAGAATGCCAGGCCATCTATCAGATTCTTAGTCTCTTGTAAGGAATTTATTTTTCTTTCTTTCTCTACCCCCCTCCTTTTTTAAAGAGTTTTTAATGCTTTATTGAGATTAAAAAGAAATAACAAGCATAAAAGTTAATGGCAAAAAATAAGTGAAACTATTTGTTACATCATTTCGTTATACATTATTCTTATATTTCTAACGACTTTCCGTCACCACATTGTGTATTTACCAATTAATCTAGCACACTGTTAATCTTCATTTACTTTTTATTGATTTTAATCCGTATTACTGTTTTTCATGATTATTCATCCTATCACAGAACTTACACAGAACTGCCACTGATGTCATATTGTCAAAATATTCAATAAGGTGTTTTTTTATACATGTCCCATTTCCTAATAAATGCCTGGTCAGTATTACCTCTCAATTTGTCTGTCATTTTTGCCAACTCAGCGTACTCAAATAACTTCATTTGCCACTCCAGCTTTGTTGAGATTTCCTCTCCTTTCCAATTTGTGGCAATTAGTATTCTTGTGGCAACTGTAGCATACAAGTTTTTTTTGTTTGTTTGTTGCATTTTTAGGTATATCTGGGCCAAGTATCCCCAGGAGAAAAGCCTCCAGGTTTTTTTTAAAGAAGGATACCTTAAACATTCTTTTAAACTCATTGTAAATAACACTCCAAAATCCCTTAATTTTGTT